ATTGACTTGTACATCTTTGATTTGCAGAGTAAACGTTTTATTCGTGACATTGTGCATGACAGCATAGCGAGAGTGATTCAACAAACTGGTTGGTAATGTCACGGTGGAGTTCATGGTATCAGCCTGGAAATACCACCGTATTGTAAACCTTTCTAAACGAGCTGCTTCATGCCGACAACTCAATGTCACGCAGTCTCCCTTCGATGCAGTAAGAGCTGATAACTGGTGCAAAACCATGTGAGCTGGGTGACACGCTGGAGGGAAGAAATTCAGAAAGGAATTATCACAACAGGTCCATTAGTAATCATACTCCTGAGTTTAAGCTCCCACACACACAGCCTTACAAGCCAACAATTCAAAACAAACAGGTACAAATTCACTTGCCTAATTCACTGTAAATGTTGAATCGATCCCCAGGAAACAATAACAAGCGATATTTACACAGCGCCTTTCACGTTGGGAGACGTCCCAAGGCGCTGGGGGTTGGGATCAGAAGGGTGGAGGCAGGGAGGGTAAGGGTAGGAGGGTGACCGAAAGCATGGTCGAAGAAGCGGGTTTTTGAGATGGTAAACCAGGCTGCAGTAGACCATCCCTTGCCTTGAAGGAGGCAAGAAAGGAGGTGAGGCAAAGGAACCTGAGCTCAAACATACACCCTGTAAATTCAACTCCAGCCCGTCAGATGTTGATGCAAAAAGTGTGTTGTGAGCTGTGAAAATGATCTCGGACCGCAGGTCACCCCATTTCACATCCTGCATTGAATAGAATCATAAACACTTACATGACCCATTTGGCTCTTCATGTCTGTGTCGGCTCTTTTAAACAGCGATCCTTTCAGTGATCATTTCAGTCCCATTTACCTGCCTTCCCTACCCCCAAACCCCACGACATCTAACAAAACAGAATACACTGTAAAGTGAATTGACTGTATATTTGGTGGGCGAAACCTGGCAGCCAGTTGCGCACACCAGCGTCCCACAAACAGTCATAAATTCAGTGTCCAAATTATTACAGTATTATTAGTTTTTTTTTGAAGGGATGATAATGCCCGAAAAGTGATCCACCAATCAACTAACAACCGGGTTCCTACTTAGTGCTACGTAAACCGAGGCCGGTGGAGTAAGGAAACTTGCCTAACAGTTTACTCTGCCCAGTAATCGAACGCAGGTCCTCTCGCCTGTGAGGCGAATGCTCTGACCACTGAGCTACAGGACTCCACAATCACCTCCAGTCACTGATCCATTGTCACCTTTAACTTTATGTATTCCAATGCGCTTTTCCATCTCAGTGTTTCACAGCCATGTTCCACAACAACAACAGCTTGCACTTATATAGCACCCTAACACACGGATTAGCATCTCGGAGTGCTTCACGTTGTTCCTCAGAAGCCCCATACCTGTGAACAACAGCATCAAGGAGAGGTAGGTTAATGTAGCCATTTAACCCAAAGATAAGTCTACTTGTCGGAGATCACTGTCGATGCATCCTACGAAATGAAGGTTAGTACGGAGCCGCTGTGAGGAACTTACAGCCCAACCAGCTCATTTCCTGTAAACCACAAGGCAGTTGATTATTGGTACTCACGACAGTGCTTTCCGATGTTTGGTGTTGTGATGATGCGCTGTATCAAATGCAGGGATTATTATTAGATGTGATTTTCCACTTTTTGCAAAAATCATACCAATTGGCATCCTGACCGAGCAATACAAAAATACCTCAAAAGTTGCACTGTAGTGTTGTGATTAGAGAGAGCACTCGCCTCGCAAGCGAGAGGACCTGGGATTAAATCCATGGCCGAGTGACAGCTTTGGCAAATTTCCTTACTCCACATACACGCCTCTGTTTACCAGCGGTAAGTAGGAACCTGATTGTTAGTCGATTGGCGGAGCACTTTTCCGGGGATAATAATCCTTCCAAAAAAAAATAAAAAAAGTTAATCCACAACTGCTTGTGGGACACTGTTGTGTGTAATTGGCTGCCGTGTTACGCTCACAAAATACACAGTCAATCCACTCCTGAGTATACTCTGTGAAGCGCTTTGAGACGTCTTGAAGACCTGATAAGGCGCGATATCAAACGCAAGGATTATTATATATTCTTATGACAATCAAATGATAACAGATCGAGATGGGCCGCTTGGTTTCCTCTTGTGCAATAAGCATTCTATCGTTCTAAACCATTCATGTGGGTGCGGGGAGCTTTTGATGTTGCCTAATGTCAGTGTCTCTTGTCAAATGATCTAACAAGGGAAATGTGGTTTCTTGTGCGCGGGGACTGGCAGTGAATGGAACAAAATACCGCCGAAAGCAGGTCCCAACCAGCCTTCTTCTCAAGAGAACGCACAGCCAGAGAGACAGGACTACTGCTCGCTCGCTTTGATCTCTGATCTTTCATCCAGGGCTTTGGGGGGGGGTCTTCCTGACATGAAATGCACTATACAAATGTAATTTGTTGTTGTCTTGGCCACGTATAAAGCTATTCTTGCGGCCAGAGGCTGTGAGTCGGACTCCAGCTGACTTATCAGATCGGAGGGTTTCCTGCCGTTGTGTTGCAGTCCCAGTTTCCTGACTGTGACATCGCATCAAGTTCTGAAACGTGTGGCCTGTGGTGTGGAATATAGTAATAATAATAATAATAATAATCCTCGCATTTGGTAAAGTGCTTTTCACGTCTTCGAGACATCTCAAAGCACTTCACAGGATACACTGTAAAGTGTAGTGACTGTGTGTTTTGTAAGTGGAATGCGGCAGACATTTCCGCACAAACGGTTGTGGATTGAGTGACCAAATTATTATTATCATTTTTTTGAAGGGATTATTACCCCCAGGAAAGCGATCCGCTTCCAAAATTCATTAGAAATTTGCTCCCGTGGCTGTGTAAACCCTTGAATTCGTGATACGATACGGCAGTCCCTGTGGATGTCATGTGCTAAATGACACAAATTGATCAAAAACAAATTGACCTCCCTTCCAAAAAACATGCACGATGCCTAAACGAGGGCTAGAGGCCTCCCCATTTAATACAGCAACAAGGGGGAGAGAGAGGCTAAGCTATCAGGGATGGTATAGAGGTGGTCACATTATTGGCAAGCCGCCATGATAGCGCCATATATGGAAAGCTGTTAAAATACAGGCTGTAAAATGCAGCAAAAAGTACTGTGAAACCTTCTCGATACCTTTCCCTCTGTGTAAATAACAAAAATAATCCTCGCATTTGATGCAGGGCCTTATCACGTCTGTGAGACGACTCAAAGCGCTTCACAGGATATACTGTAAAGTGAATTGACTGTATATTTTGTGGGCAAAAAACAGCAGCCAATTGCACATAGAAGTGTCCCACAAACAGTCGTGGATTGTGTAAGCAACTTGTTTTTTGAAGGGATTATTACTCCCAGAAAGTGATCCATCAATTGACTAACAACCGGGTTCCTACTCACTGTGGGGTGTGGGGTAAGGAAACTTGCCCAATGTTTTGCTCTGCCCGGGAATCAAACCCGGGTCCTCTCGCTCCCAACGTGAGTGCTCTAACCACCGAGCTACAGAACTCCACTATATATGTATATATAATTATAAACTTTCTCTATAACTTTCTGTGTATGTATATTTATATACAGACACACTGTAACTCTGTGTATATACACTATATCTCTGTGTGTTTATATACATTGTATCTCTGTATATATGTGTACACTGTATCTCTGTGTATATACACTGTATATCTGTGTATATATACACTGTATCTCTGTGTATATACACTGTATATCTATGTATATATACACTGTATCTGTGTGTATACACTGTGGATATATATCTGTGTGTAAACACTGAGTTCATATATATACAGTCTCTCTGTGTGTAAACACTGTGTATAAATACACTGTGTCTCCGTGTGTAAACACAGTATCTCTGTGTGTAAACACAGTATCTCTGTGTGTAAACACAGTATCTCTGTGTGTAAACACAGTATCTCTGTGTGTATACATAATGTATATACTGTATATACTGTATCACTATGTGTAAACACTGTGTATATATAGATCCACTGTACCTCTGTGTGTAAACATTGCGTATATATACTGTATCTCTGTATGTATACATTGTATCAGTGTGTGTATACACTGTATCTGTGTGTGAAAAGGGGTTGGGGAGGGGGAGGGGTTGGGGGAGGGGGAGGGGTTAGGGGAGGGGTTGGGGAGGGGTTGGGGAGGGGGAGGGGTTGGGGGAGGGGGAGGGGTTAGGGGAGGGGAGGGGTTAGGGGAGGGGTTGGGGGGGGGGGGGGGAGGGGTTGGGGAGGGGAGGGTTAGGGGAGGGGGAGGGGTTGGGGGAGGGGGAGGGGTTGGGGGAGGGGGAGGGGTTGGGGGAGGGGGAGGGGTTGGGGGGGGGAGGGGTTGGGGGAGGGGGAGGGGTTGGGGGAGGGGAGGGTTGGGGGAGGGGGAGGGGTTGGGGGAGGGGAGGGGTTGGGGGAGGGGGAGGGTTGGGGGAGGGGGAGGGGTTGGGGGAGGGGGAGGGGTTGGGGGAGGGGGAGGGGTTGGGGAGGGGGAGGGTTAGGGAGGGGGAGGGGTTGGGGGAGGGGGAGGGGTTGGGGGAGGGGGAGGGTTAGGGGAGGGGGAGGGGTTGGGGGAGGGGGAGGGGTTGGGGAGGGGAGGGGTTGGGAGGGGAGGGGTTGGGGGAGGGGGGGGGGGGGGGGGTTGGGGAGGGGGGGGAGGGGTTGGGGGAGGGGGAGGGGTTGGGGAGGGGAGGGGTTAGGGGAGGGGGAGGGGTTGGGGGTTATGGTGCGATGTTATTGGCTGAGACTCTAAGCCCCGCCTCTGGGCCGCGCATGCGCGCGCGCGTTCTGTTCTGAGTTAATGCGCTGCGCGAGGATCGCAAACCATTTTACTGATTAACTACAGCGACAGTCACTACACCAACAGCGACAGTCACTACACCAACAGCGACAGTCACTACAGTACGTGCTACAGTCACTACAACTACAGTTACTACAGCGACAGTCACGTCAGCGACAGCGACAGTCACTACAGTAAGTGCTACAGTCACTACAGCAACAGCCACAGTAACTATCGGCAGTACAGTAACTATCTACAGTAACAGCTGCAGTAACTATCTACAGTAACTATCTAACAGTAACTATCTACAGTAACTATCGGCAGTAACTATGTGCAGTAACTATGTGCAGTAACTATCGGCAGTAACTATCTACAGTAACAGCTGCAGTAACTATCTGCAGTAACTATCTGCAGTAACTATCGGCAGTAACTATCGGCAGTAACTATCGGCAGTAACTATCGGCAGTAACTATCTGCAGTAACTATTTGCAGTAATTATTTGCAGTAACTATCGGCAGTAACTATCGGCAGTAACTATCGGCAGTAACTATCGGCAGTAACTATCTACAGTAACAGCTGCAGTAACTATCGGCAGTAACTATCGGCAGTAACTATCTACAGTAACTATCTACAGTAACAGCCACAGTAACTATCTACAGTAACAGCCACAGTAACTATCTACAGTAACAGCTGCAGTAACTATCAGCAGTAACTATCTGCAGTAACTATCTGCAGTAACTATCTACAGTAACTACCTGCAGTAACAGCCACAGTAACTATCTACAGTAACTACCTGCAGTAACTATCTACAGTAACAGCCACAGTAACTATCTACAGTAACTACCTGCAGTAACTATCGGCAGTAACAGCTGCAGCGGGTACCCAGCGACAGCACTAACTGAGGGTAACTCGCCACACCAGGTAAATAGCAGCCACTGCAGATAGTGAGTCACAGTGACCAGAAACCCCGGCAGGTAACCAGCACATCACCCGCCCGCCCACCCCAGGAGACCCTCACCAGGACCACCTCCGTCACCAGTAACGAGTGACCACGGCGGCCAGGGCACCGGGACAGCCCAGACAGTCACTACGCTGTATCCCAACAGGTGTAGTGCGGAGCCAGGAGTGTGAAACTCACACAACATCACTAAGTAATAATAACGCCGTTTGATAATAATAATAATAATAATAATAATCCTAAGAACCCTTGGGTTTGCCTGAGTCCAGGGTTGGGGGGTTGGGGCCCATTGTCAGAGGTGAGATGCAGACGAGATGTTTGTGCGTTCAGGTGAATATTTAATATCGATCGACGCTGTTGGAAAAGGGGACGGAGTCCTCTCCAGTTTCCTTCTCGAGAATTAACATTAATTGGTAGTTCGCTCGCATCATGGCTGTTTGCAGGATATTGCTATGTGCCACATTCGCCCTCAAAAACACAGTCTGTTGATAAATAATAATCCTTGCATTTGGCATCCCACCTCTCTTGTCAAAAGGGTATCTCAAAACCTTTCACAGGAGTTTACTGTGAAGTGCAGTTGCTTGTCGCTCCTCAACACGAGGCCAATCGGTGGGACACGGTCGTTGGTGCCCACAGTGTGGAATCCTGCACAGCCGAACGGAAGACTTTGAGGATATTGATTGGAAGGTACAAGGGGAATCCGTCCCAAATTTGATTCTTATCTTACGCTTAATTTCGGGTTTGTGGTAGACACCAATTTCAGCCTGAAGGACCGCGCTGAGAAAGGTGACGGGCACTCATGCTCGTTCCTCTTCAAGGACGGCAAGATCCTAATGTTGTTCACGCTTGTGGCGTACAAGACTTGTGTGCAAACTGTCCTCTGTAGATAGAGCTTCTGGGGATGCAGCAAAGAGGCTTCCTCCGGCCCATTTGTTAAGTCCAGGATCAAGCAGTGAGGCGGATTTATGACAAATGTGGGAAGTGGATGCAGGGAGGGGGGGCTACGGCCTTTACTGACCTTTGTCAGAGCACCCTGGAGGCAGAGATGTCTTTACAGTGGGCATGTATATTTTCCAAGGCCCTCACACGAGGATCTGGATTGAGCAGCCGGTGCTGAGTAAGCCTGGTTCACGGCATTGGACTTGGACCTAGAGAACATCAAGGTGGCTGGCATGTCACATGCTATCCTTATTAGACAAATTAAACAAAGCAAGTTGCAAATTGGAGCAGGTTGTTCTGGGCTGGGCAGTGCCGTGTGGAGGTGAGGCGCTGAGTGACATACTCCGGACTTCTGTTAGGAACCCTGAGGCGAACATTAGAGAATCTGTAGCACAATTCGAAAAAAGCAGTATCTCCTGGTGTCCTGGGCAACAATCCCACAGGCAGAAAAATTAGTCATGACTTTGAACAATGGCAAGATGCTTCGGAAGTGTGTGAGCTCCATGGAAACGCTCCAAGAGGAGATAAGTGAACAAGGATTTACAGTAGTTAGTTGTCTCACTGCTCACCAACTGGTCACTGCAGGATAAGGGGCCTACCCAGCCCCAAAAGGCTGTGTAATTGAGAGCATCGAGGATAATCCCGGTGTGACAGGGTTGAGCTCCGAGCAACAATTAGATATGATTGGACCCATTTACGGGAGAATAATTGGGTGAGTGTTCAGGAAATATGACACTGAGTCAGTGAAAGGGCCTTCTTCATCCAAACCAATCTGAGATATCCTATCTGTGTGAGGCTGCGTTTAAGCTGTTTTTAAGTGGATACCAGGCTCATTGCTAAGTGTGTCAGAGTTCACATTGCAAAAAATATGGGAACAGTACAGTGCTGTGTATGGTTCTGATTGGTTTATGCCCTCGGGGACATTGGCCATCTAATTTTTCTCAGCATAGACTTTGAAATCATTGACAACATTTTTTTCTCTGGTGAAAGATTATCGTCCAGAAAGGAGAGGGCGATGTTCAAAATAGTAGGACTGAGAAGTTATTGTTTTACCCATGTTCACAAACTTAGAGAATGTGATTCCTGAATTCCACTGTTCAGGAGGCATTTCTGAAGAGAGTAGGATTGGAGTCCCGAGGTAGTGTGGAGGACTGGACTGAAAAGGATGGAGCCATGCTGCAGATAAGTGAGGTTTTTTTTGTCAGTCGGATGTTTGACACATGCTTAAGAGTCTCCAACCCAAAACTGAGATCTCCATGTATTCCACCAACACATGGAAATCCCAGAGATACATCGTTGGAATGGAATGCGCTCTCTCTCTCTCTCTCTCTCCCTGTCCCCCTGGAGGGACACAACCTGCTTAGCTACTTCTGGAAATATCAAGCGCAGGTTGACGAGAACCAAAACTTGGGGGGACTCCAGAGTATGAGTTGGGGTAACTGCTGGAGTCTAACCAACTCTAGCTTGCCCATGCTGAGACGAAAGCGCAGTCAAAGAGGAGCACTTTGAGGTGAGCTTCAAAATTGGAGAGCGAGAGAGCGAATTAGAAGGACTCCAGGATGGAGTTTAATTAATAAAACAAATGAATTTTGTGGGTTGAGGAATTGGACAGTGGTACTTTTGCCCCATGGAGGTGAATCACACTGGATGCTGAACTATTTTTATATAATGTGGCCGCACTGTAGGTCAACAGTCTTGACTTGGTTGTAAAAAAATAATAGTTTGAAGCGGTGAAGAGCAGCGCTGAAGTTTGCATTTAGATCTGAATTGTTTTTGGAAGCAAGTGGAACCGATTGAGTTTGCGTAGGAATGCCAGTGGGACCTCACTTGGCTGCCATTTCCATTGTCTCATTGCATGATAAAATGCAGATAGAGAAAGCAGATTGGTTCTCGAGGATCATCCAAGCAAGTGGGGTGGGGCTGAAACCCCAGTGTTTAGTATTATTTTAGTAGTTTCACCCGGTGTCCTGGCCAACAATCCTTCAAGAATTCCAACCCATACCCTTCTATTCCCTTCTGGAGACCTGTAGAGTAGTAATTAGCGCACTCGCCTCACAAGCCAGAGGACCCAGTTCGATTCCCGGGTGCGGCCAAATCTTAGGCAAGTTTCCTTACTGCACACATCTCTGTTTACTTAGCAATAAGTAGGAACTCAGTTATTGGTCGATTGGCGGATCATTTTCCGGGGGTAATAATCCCTTCAAAAAATAATTTGAATAATAATTTGTTCAATCAATTCACAACTGTTTGCGGGACACTGCTGTGCGCAATTGGCTGCCGGGTTTTGTCCACAAAATACACAGTAGATTCTGTGAAGAACTTTGAGACGTCTCAATGATGTGATAAGGCAATCAAATGCAGGAATTACTATTATTATTATTATTATTATTATTATCATTATGTCTCAATTTCCATAAGTTGCACTCATTTCCAAACAGAACATTAAAGCTTTGATTTGTGGGAATTAGAGGAGTGAAGCGCGAGTGGGAGAAATTGATCCGAACCCACTCACGATGGGGTCTGTGGTTCATTTAATGCATACCCACCGACACTACGTTCTTCTCCCAGGTAGTTTGCAAACTTGTGGCCGTCACTCAGAGGACAATGAAGGGCTTTGGGATTTCAAAACTGGTCAGGCTAATAAACGCGTCCCAAAGTAAGAGCAGACTGGTGTTTTCCTTTGAGAGGCAACTCTCTTTAGGTATTGTATATGCATAGTTACTTTCTTTTTCACTGTTGTGTTTAGTCTAACATATTGGATTGCTGAATTTAGTCTAACATGCTGGTGTGAAACTGTTTCCTGGTCTTCATTTGGACTAATAATCCTTTCATTCGATGTAGCGCCTTCTCACGTCAAAAGCAACTCACCGTTTCGCTGTGTGTGTCGTGATTCTGAAGTGTGGTGACTGTATTGTAGGCAAATGTGGCAGCTGGTCCTACAAACAGTCATGAAATGTTTTTTCCTTCTCTCTTCTCTCTAATCACTCTTCTCTCTCTCTCTTCCAAATGACTGATTTGTGAATGTCTACATTGGAAAACAATTCTAAGTGAATTATAGCAGAATGTATTAGTAACTCATTAACATAGTTATTTACCATTATTTTACTCTAACCAGAGGAATTAAGTTTTAAGAGAGAACCATCCAACTGTCATATGCAGACACACTGTCAAAATATAGCACAGTGTGGTGAGCTGATGGTGAGCTTGTGCTGGGTTCGGGTTGGATTAAACGAATAGTGCTGTGGGATATTTAACATCCATCTGAACAGACACACACCAGAGTTAATGAGATAACAATACATTAAGCTTAACCACTCATTCGTTTTGTTTACTGTTTTCCATTACTCTCCAAGAAATTGTACTCCAAGGTGTTGGAATGAACCATTGCCTCCCAGCTTCGCTCTTCCTTTCCAAACATGAAGCCCTCCAATCCAGAGTCTCTCCAGCTCTCTCGAACTCCTCCTGGAGTCCCTCTGACTCCACTTTGAGAGATGCCTTTACGTGGTTCGAGGCCTGTTTTAAGACCTAACTCTTTGACTGCGCCTTCAGCCATCATCCCCCCTCCCTTCCCATCCCCAAAGGGTTAGGTCTTAAAACAGGCCTCAAGTGTCAAGCCAGCAGCGTGCAGAGCTTTGAGAGATCTTCCGATGTTAAAGACACTATGTATTATAAATTGTATACTGGCGCACACAATTAAGTTTGCCACATAAACTTATCTTATTTAAAACTTATCTGCCTTTTCCTGCAGTCCTCCTCCCTGCAGCACATCATTGGTAGGGGAGCTTTCAGCCACTTTTCCCCATTCTCTGAAACCCCTTTAAGTCCCTCTGCCTCATTTCCTCCCTTTCTGGTGTGTCAAAACCATCTATAACCCTCCGCTCATCCTAACTGCTTCAATCTTGCGCGCTGATGGGGCTCCATTACTGTAAAGCACTTTGAGATGCTCCACGTGAAAGGTGCTCTGTAACTGCAACTTGTTGTTGTTGTTGTTGTAGGTATTATGAGCAGAAGGCGCCTTTACAGCGTGGCACCTATAATCAAAGTGGAGCCAACCAGAGGACTGATGGATGAACTAATGAAGATGGAAGTTTCGCATTTAGTCCCCAATCAGCCCGTCACATTGCACTCGAGGCTGGAGTCTGATGATTCTTTCTTTTGGGAAGCATACGCTCACTACGTCAGCGATGCGGAGGGCACTGTCAAAGGTTTGTCCAGTGTTACTGGGGCACCGGTTCTCAGCTCCTAGATTCCACAGAACCGTCAAAATGTAGAACCATCGTGATGCAGTAAAATGTCACTCGATGTGTTTTTCTTCCGGTGCTCGCTCCTCCAAGACTTTCCTCTTCCTCCCACTCCCCCTACTCTGCAGCCCTCTGGATTCCAACCTCCACCTCTGGTACAACCCTTATCTGTCCAGTGTCATGGGATGTCCTTCTGAAGTGAAAGGTGCTATATAAACGTAATGTTGTTGATGGGTGAGGTGAAGGGACTCTGGGATGAAGTTCCAGAGGATGGCAAAGAGGCTGAAGGCCCGACTACCGATGGTGGGATGGGCAGGGCAGGGGATATGAAGCAGGCTAGTGCCCGCCGAGCAAAGGGAGTGGGCAGGATGGTAAGGTTTTAGAAGCTCACAGAGGTAGATAGAGCAAGACCGTGAGTGTCAAGCCCATTGGTGGGGGGAGGGTAGGAGTTTGTGGTTGGGGTTATCTAATCTCAGATGTTTTGAAGCTTGTGTGAAGTATGTGTGTGTGTGTGTGTGTGTGTGTTGCTTGTATCAGTGCCGGGTTTAGCCCAGTTGGAATGAGCAGTTGGTGATGTCTCCTCTGATGTTCACAGTCACCAGAGACGTGTCAGTCGGAGGAACTTACACCGGTCGGGAACCAATGGGCCTGATTTGGAGTATGACAGCTGCTCCCGGGACCCAGCATGGAATGAGGTACCCTTGTTTTTCAATGCATTTCTCTCCCACCTTGTTCAATAAAAGTATTGTCGGATTGCCTGGGTCAGAAGTAATCTTGACACTGGGTCAGAATTTTTGGGTTCCAGTCCCAAGTAGGATAATGTCTCTTTCAAGTAAATGCTTGAATAGAAAATGCCACATCGGCTTCACGCACATTTGAATTTAATTTAAATGCAGCTTAAAAAAAAAAGCATTTCTTTTTTGGTGGAGTCCTGCAGCGAGGTGGTTAGAGCACTCGCCTCGCAAGTGAGAGGACCCGGGTTCGATTCCTGGGCAAAGCGAATCATTCGGCAAGTTTCCTTACTCCACACACACGCCTCTGTTTACCCGGCAGTAAGTAGGAACCCGGTTGTTAGTCGATTGGGGGATCACTTTTCCAGGGATAATAATCCCTTCAAAAAAAATAATAATCTGGTCACTCAATCTGGTTACGACTGTTGGTGGGACACTGCTGTGCGTAACTGGCTGCCCACAAAATATACAGTCACTGCACTTTACAGTGTAATCTGTGAAGCGCTTTGAGACGTCTCAAAGACGTGATAAGGCACTGTATCAAATGTAAAAGGATTATTATAATTTGCATCTGCAAGATGACAGAACATTTGCATCCATTTCTGAACCCACGTTTTAGGCTCCGGAAGATTGATGTGACTAAGCCATACCTGGTAAACATCTCTCTGTATGATGGGCACCTTTCCCATGGTTTTGAAGCGAAGGCAGAACTGGCGTCTGTTGTAGTGGAACGTTCATATATAGCTCCAGGCGTCACCAGGTCAGAGCTGGAAGGGCAAGTTGTTGGAACATTGTTCCTTCCACCAGGTAATGGTCTTATTTCAGGTAATGTGTCAGTGTTAGCACTCTCACCTCTGAGTCAGAAGGTTGTTGGTTCAAGCCCCCTCCACATCTGGACTTGGAATCACACAGTCTAATCTGACGCTCCAATGCAGCTCTGTGGCGGGGGCGGGGGCGGAGAGGGACGGTGTAGGGGTGTTGCATTGTCATAGATGCCGTCCTTCAGATGAGATGTTAAATCAGGGTCCCATCTGCCTGCTCAGGTGGATGTTAAAGATCCCGCGGTGCTGTTCGAAAAGAGAACTGAGTTTCTGTCTTTCTCCCGGTGTCCTGGCCAACAATCCCCAACTAAAATTAGGCAATCACTCCATGGCTGTGTGCAACTGGCTGCTGCGTTTCACCCACTAAATACAGTCACCCTATTTTACAGTGTATCCTATAAACAACTTTGAAACGTCTCGATGACGTGATGAGACGCTATATCAAACGCATGGATTATTAGTATTATTATTATGTCAAAACGCAGCAAGGCCCTTCACTGGGAATTGTTGGCGTAGTGACTGTGCATTTGTAGGCAAGCGAGGCAGGCGTTTTGCGCTCAGCAAGAACTCACAAACAGCCATGAACCACTCCCTTTACTGCACCAATCCTGACCTGCTTCCTGCCCTCGGCTAGCTCTGCCGCACAGTCAGAGGGCAAGCTTGCAGCCACCTCACCTCCTCGCTTTGGGAACTCTTCCATAAGCCCTTTGCCTCCCCTCCCCTCCCTCTTCAAAACCCATCTAAAAACAACTGAACCTTCAAACATTCCCTCCCCATTGCCCTTCCAGCTTCGGGTTTTTTTTTTGTAAATTACTTTTGTCATATTCTCTCCAGGTGTAGAGCACTCAAAGTGCAAATAGTTTTCATTTCTAATTAATTTCATTCTGTGGGAACACTTTCAGACGTTTCATTTACGTGAAAGTCTCCGTATCAACATAAATTGTTGCTCTATTGCGAAATATCCCATTGATATGTCAGCAAAGTCTAGCAAATGTTAGTGTGTGAATTGTGTGTAATTAATTTAAGGGTTTAAGTAATCTCTTGAGTTTCTGTCAGTTGTCTCTGTAGTACAGACATTAAGAAGTGTTCTCTATTGGCTCCAGATATTCTGCCAGGAATAGTCTATTTCTAATCATCTCAAAGATTTCTTCCACTGTGTTTTACCAGAGTTCAACGGGATTTAAAACAGTAAACTGTGTTATGATAGCCTCGCTCTTCTACTGAACGCTGGTTTTGTACCTTCCCTTTTTATCTCTCTGCAGGTCCGGGACCCTTCCCTGCCGTCCTAGATATGTGGGGTGGTGGAGGGGGTCTTGTGGAATATCGTGCTTCTCTGCTGGCCTCCCGAGGGTTTGTCACGTTGGCGCTGGTTTACATGGCACACAAGGATTTGCCAGAGAAGAAGCAGTCTTTCAGCTTAAACCCTAAGTACTTTGAGGTAACGCTTTTTAAGGGAGTTCAAATGTTTTTCTACACATGGGTGAGACGGGCACGGGGGAATGCGATGGGTTAGGGTGGAGTGGGATGAGGTCAGGGAAGCCATTAATGATTTCAGGGCCACGATGATTGTTTTAATCCTTCCATTCTGAGATATATCAGAGTGGAGTCCCTGTAGCTCAGTGGTTAGAGCACTCGCCTCGCAAGTGAGAGGACCTGTGTTTGATTCCTGGCTGCGCAAAACATTAGGCAAGTTTCCTTACTCCACACACATGCCTCTCTTTACCAGCAGTAAGTAGGACCATAGTTGTGAGTCGATTGGCGGATTGCTATCCGGGTGTAATAATCCGTTCAAAACAAAAATAAATTTAACAAAATAATAATTTGGTCACTCAATCCACGACTGTTTATGGAATACTGCTGTACGCAAATTGTCCGCCGCGTTTCGCCCACAAAATATGCAGTCAATTCACTTTACAGTATATTCTGTGAAGAGCTTTGAGATGTCTCGATGTTGTGAATAGGCTCTGTATCAGATGCAAGGATTGCAATTATTATTCGATAATTATTATCTATATCTATAACTATAATCGTAGTAGGTAATTATTTGGGGAGGACAAGTTTGCAGGGCAATGGGGAGAGCACGGGAATGGGATTGATTTGGAAGCTTTTTTCAAAGAGCTGGCATTGACACGATGGGCCAAACGTCCTCCTTCTGTGCTACATAAGTCTATGATTCTATGATTATTATCTCTCTTCCTGTATCTCGGGTGTGTTTGATGTCTCAGCCCAAACTAACCTTTCTAGTGCAGCACTGGGTGGGTGGGGAGCAGAGAGAGTTGTGTTGTCAGCTGTGTCATGCCTTCAGGTAAGACGTTAAACTGAGATCCTGTCTACACCTGTTCAGGTGAATTTCTTTCCACTATTGGAATAAAGAAGAGTTTCTCTCTCTCAGATTCCTGGCAAACAATTCCCCAGACAAAATGACTCAATCGCTTTGTGGCTTTCCCTACAGAAAACATTGCCGTGTGGCAGCAATCACAGTGAAGTACTTTCCTTGTGTTACGCTGCTTTTAAAGTTCTTTCATAACAATAATAAACCTTGCATTTGATGTAGCGCCTTATCATATCTTTGAGCTGTCTCAAAGCGCTTGGTGTAAGTGGTTGTTAATGTTTTACAGGATGCTTTCAATACCCTGAACAACCATCCCAAAGTGGCCAGAGGCCATGTTGCCATTTTGGGGCTCTCATATGGAGTTAGTCTAGCACTCTACATGGCAACGGAGATCAAAAATATCAACGTAAGTTCACCTTGTTTTTGGTCTGTTTACCGCTTTGAGACAGTTGAACGTTCCAGGAGTTGAGAAGGGATTGATTTCTATCTGCCACTCTGCCGCCCACACCGCTTGCTGGTTTGATACTTTCTGCCAGAATCATAGAGTCTTACAGCACAAAAGGACTCTTTAAAAACGTTGGGATCGGGCCGTGCGACAACAACAAATGACATTTACACAATGTCTTTCACGTCGGGAGGACGTTCAAGGCGCTGGACAGTCAGGGATTTGGACCCGAGCAAGGGGGTTGGGATCAGAAGGGGTGTAGGCCAGGGCGGGTGGGGGTAGGAGGGTGGCCAAAGTCGCGGTCAAAGAGATGGACCTTGAAGGAGGTAAGCGAGGGGGTGTGGCAAAGCAACTGTGGGATGGAGTTCCAAAGGGTGAGGGAAGAGAGGATGAAGGTCCATGTAGTTGAGTCTCTAATATGCCTGTGCATTCTTTCTCTCAGCCCAGTTGTCTAGTGTGCATTAGTGGAAGCCACGTCTTGCTCAACAAGAAAGAATCTGAGGATATGTTTGGCAATTTCCTCATGTAAGTTGTTTTTATGGTGTAAGGCAGCAGCCCTTTCTGTGTGATGCATGTCAAATTAACGTCATGTCGTTATAAGAAGGATAGCACAGTGTTGGAAAGAGTACAGAATAGGTTTACTTGGATAATATCTGACATATTATTGCTATCAGGAACAAAACAGCCAATTAGGCTTGTTTTTGTGAAAATAAACAGCTTAATTTTTAAGTTAAACTTGCTAAAACTTGTGCTTTTCCCCTTTTGAAGACTTTTCTTGCAAAGTTTGTAAACCACTAACCTAACTGGCCACTCCGTTACCTACAGCAGGCAACACATAATATTTTTGGGCTAGTATTTGGTGGACTTTGGGCTATAAACATATTTTAATTTCTGAGCACACTGATCAGGATCTGAATATGTTAAGCCTTTCTTCGCTAGAGAACAGATGTTTTAGAGAGGACCTAATAGAGGTGTTTATAATTATAAAACAGTTTGATGAGATTGGCATAAGTTGGCTGTTTCTGCTTGTTGGGGAGTCCGCAACTGGGGGACAATAGTATATGATAGTGACTCGAGGATGTAAAAAATAATTTACAAGGAATTTCACAGAGGAGAGTGAGACTGTGGAACTCGTTGCCTGAAACATGGTTACAGCACTCATCTCATTAGGCAAGTTTCCTTGCTCCACACGCCTCTGTTTACCTAGCAGAAGGTAGGAACCCGGTTGTTAGTCGATTGGTGAATCGCTTTTTCAGGGATAATAATAAAAAAAATAATTTGGTCACTCAATCCACGACTGTTTGTGGGACGCTGCTGTGTGCAATTGGATGCTGTGTTTTGCCAACAAAATATATAGTCAATTCACTTTACAGTATATTCTGGGAAGCGCTTTGAGATGTCTTAAAGATGTGATAAGACGCTGTATCAAATGCAAGGATTATTGTTATTATTATGCGTGGGTCAATCACCCGGATGGCCAAAAAAATCAATCGTTTGACCCTTTATTTTCTGTTGCCAGAGAAGGCACTCTTGCATTGCACTACAAGAGTAAACAACAACATTTCATTTGTACAGCGCCTTTCACGTCAGGAGGACACCCCAAGGCCTGGACAGCGAACAGCATTTCAGATCCGAGCTGGGGGTCAGGGAGGGGGAGGGGAGGGGAAGGGGCGCGGCCGATGGAATGGTCGAAGAGGAAGGTTTTGAGGTGGGACTTGAAGGAGGCTACGGAGGCGGAGGGGGTGGAATTCCAGCGGTTGGGGGCAGAATGGCTGAAGGCTCTCCTGCCAATGGTGGGGTGGGTGGGTCGGGGAACGTGGAGCAGCCGGAGCCGGCTGAGCGGAGTGAGCGGGCGGGTTGGTAGGGGGTCAGCAGGTCGCAGAGGTAGGGTAGGGTGAGGCCATGGAAGGCTTAGTAGGTGAGGACCAGGCTCTGTGTTAATGCTAGCACAGTAACTACCTATACAGCAAAACAGGACTGTATGGTCTGGGTGAGTTTTTGTAGCCAATATGATGTTATATTCGACTAACAGCTTGGTTCCCACTTACTGCTGGTAAACAGAAGCGTGTGGAATAAGGAAACGTGCCTAAGGTTTCGCCCTGCCCGGGGAATTGAACCTGCAAAGCGAGTGCTCTAACCACTACAGTCCGTGATGTATGGGAAATGTGTATTTATGGTTTTCATTGTCTGCCTACTGACTGATTGTTCTCTCTCACTCTCTTTCTCCCCCGCACCCCCCTTCCCAATTCTAGTAAAAAAGATCGGATTAAGTTGGCGGACAGCGGAGCAATGATCTGGAGAAATATTGCCTTACCAATAACAGACAATCCAGAGCATGTTGTGGAGGTAGAGTGATCTACTTGTGTGGGATATTCACATGTTCAGACCTATATTATAGCATCCCTTCTATGTGGAAAAAAATAGGGGCAGGTTCAAGGCAGTGGATTGGCTCAGTAGGTTGCACTCTCACCTCTTGAGTTTGAAAGACGTGGCAACGTAAGGTCTCTCACTCCAGTGCAATGCTGGGGGGCAGCACTGCATTTGTCTTTTTAGGTGAGATGTTAAACTGTCTCCTGGTTTCCTGGCCAACAATCCCCAGATAAAATAAAATTGGTCGCCAACTTCATAGCTGTTCATGGGACATTGCTCCGTGCAAATTGGCTGCTGGGTTTGCCTACAGCATACACTTTACAGAAATAGGCAGAGAAGAACTCTCAGATGTTTTTACTTGATGTAAGGACACTATCTAGTTTTTACTGTTAAACTTCTTCCTGAATCATTCGGTTGTCAGGTTGCCAAAATCAGATGCCCTTTGATGTTGATTGTGGGGGAAGATGATCAGAACTGGCCTGTCCCGGAAGCAACTGTTGAAGTAAGTTCATTGATCCTCAGTGTGGGATGGGATAGTAATCCAGTGGTAGCTCTCTCTCTCTCTTGTCTCTGAGTCAGAAGATGTGGGTTTAAGCTATCAGAACTTGGAATCACACAGTCTAAGCTGATGCCCAAATGCCGCGCTGGGGGGTGTTGCATTGTCAGAGACGCCATCCTTCGGATGAGATGTTAAACCTCACTCCCTGTCTTCCCGTTCAGGTGATTGTTCAAATAGCACTATTTGAAAAGAGAAGCAAGCTTCTCTTTCCTGGTGTCCTGGCCAACAATCCCCCAAATAAAATTGTCCGCTCAAACCACGACTGTTTGTGGGACACTCTTGTGCGCGAATTGGCTGCTGCGTTTCGTCCACCGTAAGTCCACTTTGCAACATATTCTGAGAAGTGCTTTGAGATGGTCTCAACATCGTGATAAGGGTACTATGTCAAACACAAGGATTATTATTATTATTATTTCTTTCAGATCACCAAGTTAATGAAGACTGCAAAAAATGCTCACTTGCTCACGGTACTCTCCTACCCTGGAGCCGGACATCTTATTGAGCCTCCATATAGCCCGCATTGCAGGGAATCCAAGTTCAAAATCAACTCCACCCAGCAAAGAGGTCAGATGGAAATCAGGACTGCAAACATTTACACACGGACTGGGCTCGCAACAGTGGAGTCTAGTAGCTTAGTGGTTAGAGCACTCGCCTCGCAAGCGATCGTTTGACTCCAAGGCAGGGTGAACGTTGGCCAAGTTTCCTTACTCCACACACCTCTGTAAACCTAGCAGCAAGTAGGAACCCAGTTTTTAGTCAATTGGTGGATCTCTTTCCGGGGATAATAATCCCTTTTTTAAAAAATAATAATGTGGTCACTCAATCCATGGCTGCTGTGCACGATTGGCTGCTGCATTTCGCCTACAAAATACAGTCACTACACTTTACAATATATCCTATGAAGTGCTTTGAGACATCTGAATGATGTGATAAGGCACTATATCATATACAAAGATTATTATTATTATAAGTTAAGGCATTAAAAGAAGAGCAATTTTTCAGCAAAGAAAGAGCGAGCTCCTGGTCCACTACTGGCACCTGTGCCCACCACACCATGAGGGCTTTCCTCCTCAGCACTTGTTTTACACTCGCCTTTTGTTTTTGCAGTGATCCTGTTGTGGGGAGGAGATACCAAAGCTCATTCCTATGCACAGGAGGACTCCTGGAGAAAGATCTTGGCCTATCTGGAGAAGCACACCGTTCTCAGACACCAAACTTCGGCAGCCCAGTGCAAACTTTAAAATGAATGAGAAATGAAACTGGAAATGCACGAGCAGGTGAAGGAGAGCAGGTTCCTGTCCCCTGTGTCGTCATGCACATGCTGATCAGCCTGAATCTATCATGAACAGTGAGAGAAAAGATTTGTGTCCTGATTACTGTGGCTTAATTCTCCCCAGGATTAACACTATTTTTTCTCTCCACACACCATTTGGCCCCAGGTGTTTTTAGCTGATTTACCCTACCTCTTCAATGCCTTTAACTACCTGGTTAGTTTGGTGCATCAGACATTTGTTTCGTGGGTTCAGGTTATCAATATCTAAACTGAAATGCTGAAATGTTTCCTATTGAGGTTTTCAGACCCCAATTAAATGCACACGTGTCAGGTTGGCTCTGTCTCCGCCTCTGTCGTTGTTAGGTTCAAGCCCCAAATTGAGCCTTTGAGCTGACAATCCAGCCAGGCCCGAGGAGGAGTGCTACATGTCGCAGGCACCAAGCTTTGAAATCAAACCAACCTCTTGTCAACCTTGGCAGATTGCTTTCTAGGGGTAATAATCCCTTTTTTAAAAAAAAATTATTTGGTCACTCAATCCATGACTGTTTGTGGGACACTGCTGTGCACAATTGGCTGCCGCGTTTCACGCTCAAAAATATAGTCAATTCACTTTGCAAAGCGGTTTGAGACGTCCCAAAGACGTGGTAAGGCACAATATCAACTGCAAATATTATTATTATTTTCATTCAAAGTGGAGCAACTGATGAGATACAACTAAAGACCTCATTCCTTTTTATTGTGAATGAGACATTAAATCAAGACCCCGTATGAGCCTGTTGAGGTGCACACTGAAGATCCTTTTAAAAAAAAAGGGAGATTCTCTTTCTCTCTCTCCCCTGGAACGCTGGCTAACAGTTCCCCAGATAAAATTGGTCCTTCATTTTGTGAGATGTTGCAGTGCGTAAATTAGCAGCCGGGTTTGTCTACAAAATACAGTTACTACACCATACCTGCCAACTCTATGGATTTTCCCAATAGACTGCATAGAATAAAGGGACTGCTTTTATGTCTATCTATGGCTCTATGGGGAAAACTTAACAGTCTACAGGACAAAAGGCGCAATAGTATTTATAAATTTACCTCTGCTCTGTTGATGTCTGACACATGCGGAAACACGTCACTGTGTGTAAGAGTCGCCAAACCCAACTGAGAATTCCTTGCATCCCACCTACACATGGAAATGCAAGAGATAGATTGTTGGATTGGAATGCTCTCTCTCTCTCCGGAGAGTATTAGGCGCAGGTTGGCACGAGCCAAGGCTTGGGGGTGGGAGCCCAGAGTGTGCATTGGGAGTAACTGCTGGAGTCTAACCAGCTAAACCCACACATAGCACGGCCATTGAGAGAGAGCGCTGTCTGGCAAGCTTTCCCACTGCTTGTTCGATAGGGCATTGGCTGCAGGGTTAACAGGAGGTGTACCGATCAGTATGTGGGCATCCATGTGGAATGGATTTTGAGCTCATGGAATAATTTCAAGCTTCAAGAGACCGGAACAACGTTTCTGAGCATGCACACCGAACCTCCGCCAAGCACCAGAAAAGGTAACAGGACTAGTTATGTGTTAAGTGGCGTGACAAGTCAAGCAGAGGACCTTATTAACAGCAACCGGAATATTGACAGCACGACAACTTAAGTGGTAGTGACAAATTAATCCAGGGTCCTATTATCAGTTTACTGCATCTTATATGGTTCCATAGCACCAGAATATTTCAGCACAATTATTATATGTACAATATATGTACAATAATACATTTTCCGACTTATTTTTATTCTTTCAGCACTTTTATATTGATTAGACACCAGGTAATAAATGACTTGAAACTGGCTCCTATCCTGAGTGGTGTGAATTGTGACATATTTCCTTCCACTGTTCCTTCCCCCTAAAACCTTAAAGGATGAAACGAGATGAGGTATATGTAACGTTGAGTCCTGCAGCTCATTGCCTCGCGTGCAATAGGACCTGGGTTTGATTCCACAGTAGGGTGAAACGTTGGGAAAGTTTTGTTACTCCATACGCCTCCATTTATCAAGCAGGTAGTAGGAACCCTGTTGTAAATCGCTTTTCCGGGCTTAATAATCCCTTCAAAAATAAATAAATAATAATAATTTGGTCGCTCAATCCATGACTGTGGGACACTGCTGTGCACAATTGGCTGCTGCATTTCGCCCACAAAATATCGTCAAATCACTTTACACTATTATTCTGTGAACTGCTCTAAGACTTCTCAAAGACGTGATAAGGATTATTGTTAAAACCCGCAATGGACTCTGCCTCTAACCCCTTACTTGGCAGCACATTCTACATCCCAATAACTCTTGAGTGAAACAAAAAAAAAACCTAAACTCTCCTTTCGCTCTTCTTGGGACTATGTCTGCATCCTCCATTCACCGACCAGGAGAATTTTTGATGCTGATTTGGCTCAGATGACGTGCCTGACAACAGAATGTTGGAATGAGTCAACCCCCTGTGGTGGTCTCTAGTCTGGTTCCTGAGCCAGTTGGATCCGCAGTGTTCCAGGGCACTGCTGATGACAGCACAGCCCAGCCTGGCTCATCGGCAGGACCTGGAAGGCCTGACCAGTCAGGGAATCAGCCCACTCAGCTCCTGTTAAACCTGCAAGCCAAAGCCCTAAGGGGTAGGGCTGGTAGCTGGAAAAATAACAGGAAGCCAAATCCATCAATCGCCACCATAGGTCCTTGTCAACACTGAAGTATATACATAAGATAAGATATTTAGTTAAAACTTGTGTCCACTGTTGGAAGAAAGATGTTTCAGTTCGGAGCGTACCCTGGGCATGAACGGGTTCGGAGGCTAATGCCCTCGGTAAATGCATCATATATTGCTGATATGTTTGTTGTCAGAAGTAATGACTGATACAATTTACAAAGGTATAAGGCATTCAAAAAGACACTTCTCTGCTCTGCATTGTTACGCAGTGAGGAGGCCTGTAGCTTAGGGGTTAGAGCACTCGCCTCGCAAGTGTGAGGACCTGAGGGTGATTTCCGGGCAGGGCAAAACATTGGGCCAGTTTCCTTACTCCACACACTCACCTCTGTTTACCCTACTTGCCCGCACCCCCTCTCAGCACTAACCTGTCTTTGATCTCAAAGTTCCAACAATGCTTCTTGAACCCATAACCTTCTGACTCAGAGGTGAGAGCGCTATCATTGAGCCAGGGTTACACAAAGCAAAATAATAATGATAATAATAATTCTTGCATTTGATATAGTGCTTTATCAAGTTTGAGACATCTCAAAACGCTTCAAAGGATTGACTATTTTGTGAGCGAAATGCGGTAACAAATTGCATACAGCAGTGTCCCATAAACAGTCATGGATTGAGTGACCCAAAATTATTTTGAGAAATTACTACCCTGGAATGGCAATATCATAGGTTTATATCCTGATGTTAAATCAAAATCAAATGGCAATGATTTCTTTAACAAGTGTGCAGTTCGTGGGGCTTAGGGAAAAAAGTTCTAAAACAAGACCTCTGTCAAATATTTACTCATTTATCTCTTATCAAATTGGAGCACACCCTCTCTGAGATAGGAATTCTATCTTTCTGTGATAGTGCTGTTAGGAAATGTCTAACCAGCTGCCCATTTACTCAGTGATCGACACCTCCCTTCTCCCAGACCTTCACGCCGTGATCAGGGAGTATGTATGTTTGTTCAGGCCAACACCTCAGTTCTTCTATTTCATGTTTCTCAGCAGAGCGCCTTGTCACAACCAACCCGCCTGAGAACAGTGTGGAGGAACTCTGCATCTCAACAGACATCATGGTTTCCAGTTTGCTGGTTGTGGTATTCTTGGGAACAATTGCGTTGAGAGCTGAGGCGGCTGGAGCCAGTGATGGTAAGAATATAATGAAAGTCAAGATTGCAGCATCTGATGGGCATTATGCCAAAACAAGTATATTTGGCTGAGTGACAGAAAGCAGAGGGTGGTGGTTAATGGGTGTTTCTCGAAATGGAAGGAGGTGTGCAGCGGTGTCCCCCAGGGATCGGTATTGGGACCACTGCTCTTTCTAATATATATTAATGATCTGGACTTGGGCATAGAGAACACTATTTCCAAGTTTGCAGATGATACCAAGTTAGGTCGGGCAGTAAATAGTGAGGAGGACTGTAACCAACTGCAGGCAGACATACACAGAATGGTGGAATGGGCTGACATGTGGCAGATGGATTTCAATGTGGATAAGTGTGAGGTGATACACTTAGGGAGGAAAAATGATAGGAGGCAATATAGACTTGGAGCTCAATCTTAAGGGGGGTGAACGTACAGAGAGATCTGGGTGTTCAAGTAAGCAATTCATTAAAGGTAGTGGGGCAGGTAGATAAGGCAGTAAAAAAGGCATTTGGTGTACTGAGCTTTATTAGTAGGGGCATAGAGTACAAGAGTAGGGGTTATGGTTAATCTGTACAAAACACTGGTTAGGCCTCAGCTGGAGTACTGCGTCCAGTTCTGGGCACCTTACCTCAGGAAGGACATTAAGGCACTGGAAAGGGTGCAGAGGAGATTCACGAGAATGATACCAGGAATGGGGAACCTTAGCTATGAGGACAGGCTGGAGAAGTTAGGACTTTTCCCATTAGAGCAGAGAAGGTTACGTGGGGACCTGATAGAGGTCTTCAAGATCATGAAAGGTTTCGACAGGCGAGATAGGGAAAAGCTATTTCCGCTGGTAGGTGTGTCTGTGACTCGTGGTCACAGTCTTAAGATATCTACCAAAAGAAGCAGAAGGGAGGTTAGAAGACATTTTTTCACTCAGCGAGTTGTTGGGATTTGGAATGATCCGCCCGAAAGGGCAGTGAAGTCCGATTCGACAACAGCTTTTAAGAGAGAACTGGACAGGTATCTGGGGAAGACGGGTTTGCAGGGTTATGGGGAGAAAGCAGGTGAGTGGGGTTAATAAAAGTCAGTTGCTCTGTCAAAGAGCCGCACAGACTCGATGGGCCGAATGGCCTCCTTCTGTGCCATAACATTCTATGAATCTATGAATCTATGAATTTGGATGATATGTTCTGTAATTTTTTTTGTGTGTGATAAGGAGAGGGCATTTTAAATATTTACAGAAACTACAGTATTGTAATTAATTAGGTTACCATACAGAACTTGTCTTTGACCCTGGCGTGAAGCGCTGAGGACATGTCTAAATATCTGGATTAACATGATTCAGTCAGAAGCATGCTCGCCTCTGGGTCAACAGATTGTGGTTTCCTACCCCTCATTGGTACTTGAGCTCGAAGATCTGGCTGACTCTCCAGCCTGGTGCTGGGAGAACGCTGCATTGTTCGAGGTACGATCATTCAAATGAGACATTAAACCAAGGTCCCATCAGCCCTTTGTAGTGTAGCGCAATTCAGAGAGAGAAACTCTCTTCTCCTTTCAATTATTGCCGTGGGATATTTAAAGTCTCTCTGAACAGGCAGATGAGGCATCGGTTTAATGTTCCAAAGGAACGACACCTACAGCAATCCAGTGCTCCCCCGGTGTGTTAGCTGAAAATCCCCAACATTGAGCTCAAACCTTCTGAACCAGAGGCAATGGTCTCCCCAGTGAGCCGGGCTGACAATTTCCTAGTGATGCTGCTTTGATCATTGACCAGGTTTTGTCATTTCTTCGTTGAACAGAACCTCAGGTCGCTGTGAAAATCAACGCTCGGGGAATCATGAGAGGCTACTCGCCTGTCCTGAAAGATGGCTGTTTTACAAGTTTGCCTACTACAGCTTCCACACAATAAACCTGGGCGGCAGCCGAGATACTGATAGTTTTAATATTGACTCTTCACATATGTAAACTCAGAGCAACTACAATACACAGATGACAAGAGGGTGGATATAAGTCCAGGATGTGTAGGGCAGGTTTCAAAAAGAGACCAGGAGATATTCATCTGTCGGCCTGGCTCAGTTAATAGCATTCCCCACTCCGAGTCAGAAGATTGTTCAATCCACCTTGCATCAGGACTTTGAGCTCACAGTATAGGTTGTCACTCCAGCTCAGTGCTGTAATGGGGGACCCAGGGGGTGCTGCACTGTCCTTCAGGTGGGAGTGGGGAGCAAGCACTAGCACGACATGATGGGGAGAGAGCAGGGAATGGGGTTAGAGTAGAGAGCTCCAGCAGTGGAGCGAGCACAAGCACAGGCATGATGGGGAGAGAGAGAGAGAGAGCATGACTCAGTGGAAAACAATATAGTTGCTGCAATAATAATGGAGAAGGAGAAAGAAGATGTCAGGGTCTGGATTGGATGGCATGTTCCTGAAGAGGTAAAGCAATCAGGTGTGGACACTGATCTCTAGTCGCGCATTCCCAGGATCAGTGCCAATCTGGGAGACATTGTGCGAGGAATACAACAACAACTTGCATTTACATAACGCCCTTAATGCAGGGTAGCATCTCAGAATGCTTAACAAAGGTCTAGTTTGACTCAGAGAGAGAGGAGGTGACCGAGGTGACACAATTTTGTGACTGTGACTTTTATGGGCCTTGGCGCAGGGATTGGTCATGGCACAGCAAAGGCCACCGTCCACAGTGATGGAGTCTGGGAGCTCAGCGAGAGGACCTGGGTTCGTATCTTAGGCTGGATGAAACCTTAGGCAAGTTTCCTTACTCCACATGCCTCTGTTTGCCAATTATTAAGTAGGAACCTGGTTGTTAGTCGATTGGCAAATCGCTTTCCTCGGGTAAAAATCCCTTTAAAAAATAAAAAATTTGGCTCACCCAATCCACGGGTGTTTGTGGAATACTGCTGTGTGTAATTGTGTGCTACATTTCACTCACAATATACAGTCAATCCATTTTACAATATATTCTGTGAAGTGCTTTGAGCATCTCAATGACATGATAAGGCGCCATATCAAATGCAAGGATGATTATTAAATAAAACCAAAGGTGAGGTAAGCATGAAACCCAGTAAGGACAGAACCGAGAGGAGTGGAGCACAGAGAAAAGGCGGTGGAGAAGCACAGAATGGTCAACAGTGTCAAAGACAAGACAAGGAGTCAGAGAGAGCCTTGATGACAAATGGAAAGTCGTTTGTGACATTGACCAGGGCATTCAAACAACAGCGATTCCATAGAGTTTCTGGGAATAAGCAAATAGCAGCAATTAAATCTGCCTTTACTGAAGGAGGGGCATAGTCCAAAGTAGAATTCCCGTAACTGTAGTATGCAGATGAGAAGAGGTATGGATATAAAAGAGATAACATAGCTCATGACATTGCACTTGCTCTGGACAAGTTGTAATATGAATCGTAAGGAAAGTGCAGACTCCTAGATTGGGACGTGAGTAAGGTAATTCCGATATTTACACGAGGAGATCAAGAACGCAGAACGAGGTAAGTTTAACATCAGTTATGTAAAGAAAAATCTGGAAGAGTGTTAAGAGAACAATCTAATGTAGAAAATCACCTCTTGCCCCATATCAGTCGGCTTTTTGATCTGTGAAAAGGAGGTCATGTTTATCAAAGTGTCAAAATGTACCAGTTTGACTGTGCTTTCAGTCTCGTTCCCCTCCTCACCCCCCCCAGCTCAGGTGCTATTCCAGCACTGTCAATCACTTTGAGAAGTCCTCCGGATGTGAAAGGCGCTGGATAAATTGCAAATTGTATTTTATTGTAAAAGTGGAATTTTAGGTATTATATCATCGGAAACATTGAATGCAAATGCACAGAGGAAATGTTAAATTTACACAGGACATTTAGTTAAGCAACAGTTTGGATGCAGTTTTGAGTATTGCCTATGCCTGCTTTTAACAAAGGATTGGATCTCCATGTATTCCCACCACTGTTCTACAAGTATTTTGGCCTTTTTATGTTGCAGAAGGTGCCAACTCTACTCTCTGACGGGAACACAGTGAACCATCTACCAATGGCAAGCATGACGTTCCTCCAAAGACTTTGTTTGGTTCTTGGGTACTGTGTCTTGGCTCAGGCGTTATCTCCTGGTATGTATCATTGCCTTTCTCTTCAAATTAACTCGGAATGATCCAGGTTAGTTTCAACCCCGACTTGGGAATATGGAGAAAACAATTTCTTTAGATAAGACAAACTTCATATTGGGATGTTCAATACTAGCTACAGAGTGGTGAGTAAGGGCTTAAAAATCCACGACTTTCGGATGTCAAATGACTAACTGTGCTGTGTCCTGTGCTGCCGTAGTCTTCAGACTATCTCTGTTTGCTCTGTGTTAAATTCCCTCCTGCCTCATCATTCTGGTCACCTTCTTCACATTTGTGAGATTCATTCCTGGTTCACATCACTCCATGCCCCAAACACTCCCTTTCATTCTCTCAGAATCTCTTCAGTTCACCTTGCTTCTTCATTTCATACCCCTTACATGACCCAGACCCACCGAGGATCTCGCCTCCTTAAATACCAAGGATGAGTGGATACAGCTGTCCAGAAAGATTGGAAAGGTAGCAGTTAGTTCAGAAGAAACCCAATAAAGGGGTTTAAAGATTATGAAAGGATTCTATATAGTCCTTTTCCATGTGTTTGTGAGTTCAAATGTAATCCAAATATATGTAGGATAGTATATAAATATACAGTTAGTAACAGATCTACAATAACAATTGGTCACCATAGCATGAGGCAGCTACCCAGGTCCTAGAGGCAGTGCAGAGGAAAGCAATAAGGATGACTGCCAATAATAATATAACGATAATCCTTGCACTTGATACAGTGCCTTATCACATCGCTGAGACGTCTCAAAGCACTTCACTGAACATACTGTAAAGTGAATTGACTGTGTATTTTGTGGGCAAAACGCGGCAGCCAATAGCACACAGCAGTTTCCAAAAACAGTTGTTTGTGAGAGGAATGAGAAGTGAGCAACAATTAAACAAGCTTAGGGTCTTCAGTCTTGAGAGAAGATGATTCAGAGAGGAACTCAGTGATGTATAACATTTTAAAAGGGATTAAAAAAAAGTAAACCCAGATCAAGACCAAAGAGCAAGAGGACATAGGTTTAGAGTTGGAAAGGGTCATTTCAGCACAGACACCAGGAATTATTTATTTAGAGAGAGGGTGTACAACAACTGGTTGCCAGGAAAGGTGGTAAAGGCCAGGACACTGGACTCATTTAAAAGCATTTGTTGCAGTGCCAGGAGGGATGGTACGGTGGGTGTTCTGGAGCATTGAGATCAGAAGGGCTGAAGTGCCTTCTTCATTCAAACCAATCTTGTGATCTTGTATCACTCTATATATCAATGTAAGCCTATGACTATGTTTAGGGTGAGACAGGACTGTACGTAGGCAATGCTCAAAAGCAGCCAGTATCAGATGAAGACTGGGGTGTAGGTTTTGAAGCAAATCTGAGGGTCAAAGAAAATATCAAGTTTCCACCGAATAAATAACAATTGGTTACTTATAAGTTTGATCTTTGCTTTGTGAAACTGACAATAAAGCTTTCTTTTGTTTCAGTGACGAACTCCTCAGATATCACAATGTTAACAACCAAGAATCCAATGATAACAGCATCATTTCCGGGCTCTCAATTCGGTGTGTATGTTTTCTTACCGTCTCTTTGATTTCATTACATATTATAAATAATAATCCTTACATTTAAATACCAATAAATATAATAATCCTACATCCAGCACATACCTACTTTCATATAATGTCTTTCATATTGGGAGGATGTCATAAAGCGCTTCTCATCAGCAGTGAACTAGAGAGCACTGCGGAAGGTTGACTTGATTCTGACATTCTTTGCCAAGTTCCAAGGAGACCCCAATTACCTCCCCCTAAGGAGGATAGTCACCAGTTAGTCATTTGACATCTGACAATCGTGGGTTTTTGAGCCCTTACTCACCACTCTGTAGCTAATATCAAACATCCCAAAGTGAAGCTTGTCTTATCTAAAGAAAACTAATCCTTTTGTTTTCTTCAGATTACCAAGTTGAGGTTGAAACTAACCTGGACCTTTCCGAGTTACTGTTGGAAAAAACAAATTCTGATATTTCCAAAGGACTGGAGATAGTGGATGATGTCCTAAATATTGGTGATAAGATAACTCAGGTCTCTCAGATTGAACTACTGAGCAAACAAACAAAACTGCTGAAGTTTGCTTCTGGTTTAGGAAATGTTCTATCGGTACTCAATGTTTTTGGTGCTGTGGCCAGTTTTATTTTCTCCTTCTTGTTGCCAAGTGACCTGGAGATTATTAATAAGAGATTTGATGAGGTTAACCGAAAGTTGGACAGCATCTCTAACAAACTTACCCAAATGGAAACCAGTATCAAAACATCCATAGCATTCCATACCTTCCTTACAACCTACATCCAGTGGGAATACGCCATCAGGAATGGAGCAGAGAAACTGCAAGCTATCAGAGAGGAAATGGGAAAAACACGAGATGAAAGGAAGCAGATGATCCTGGCTTTAGATTACGTGACCTACTACAATGACAATCAATTGGAGGCAAGCACGCTCAACATGTATCGTATAACAGTTACAGCAAACAGCGCAACTAACAGGAACCTGTTTGATCTCTTCATTGAGGAACACTCTTGTGATATTAATGAATTATCAGGTACAGAATCTCCTTGTCATTCTTTGGTGTCAGTGCAGTAACTAATTTAAATCCAACTAGAATTGCATGTGAGACAGTTTTGTTTAAAATGTAATATTAATAATATTTGTTATGGTCTGGAATGCACTGCCTGAAGGGATGGAGGAAGCAGATTTGATAATAGCATTTAAAATGGAATTGGATAGGTACCTAAAAAGGAAATAAGTGCAGGGCGATGGGGTAAGAGCGGGGCAGTGGGACTAGTTGGTAGCTCTTTCAAAGAGCCGGTTCAGGCACCATGGGCTACATGGCCTCCTTTTGTGCTGTAAGATTTTATGATTCTATTCTATGAGTCCTTACATTCAGGAGGACGTTCCAAAGAACTTCTCTGTAAAGTGGAGTGAGCTAATGCAGCAGCTAATTTGTGCACAACAATGTCCCGCAAACAGCCAACTAATAGTCAATTTTATCTGAGGGACTGTTGGCCAGGAAACCATAACAGAGAAACTATCTTCTTTTCGAATCGTGTCATGGGATTATTAACATCTAAATGAACACGCAGGCAGGGCCTTGGTCTAATGTCTTAAACAATGGACAGCACCTCCAACAATGTACCCCCTACCCCCCAGTCCTGCGTTCGAATGTCCGCAGAGGTAATATAAGATCCCAGTCCCAACATGGGGCTTGAACCCACAACCTTCTGACTCACAGGCGGGAGTGCGACTGACTGAGGCAGCTTAACAAACAAAGATCACAGAATTGTGGAATCTTCTTAAATTTGAGACTTTAAAAAAAATCCTAATTAAGACTTTTCCTTCCCTTTTCCAGGTTTAATGATCATTCTGAAAGGTCTGATGTTGAGTGCTGCTCAGCAAACACTGACTTATCACTATTTCAAGGGTAACGATGCTTTAGCCAAAAGCTCACATGAACGCGTGATAAACTACCTCTTTGAAATGCGCCAAGAATTTGAAAAACGTGTCTATTATTGCAAGGAGCACTCAATTGAAAATGCAAGGAAGGAAGTTGAGAAGATACTGACGGCCATTAACACACCATTACCTGATATAGTGGTGCCAGTCATATCCCAAAGACTGACTCGCCTGTATCCCTGGTACGCCTGGGCAGTTGCTGAATTTAAGGAAATTGGCGATAAAACATGTGATTCACATCTGGAAAGAAAAGGTTCAAACTATTTCTTGGTTCAGAACTATGGCGAGCACCAAAAGAACATCATTGTTGCTTGGCAGGATGTCAATGAACACTTGAGCTGCACTGATGTTTCACATGTTAGAACCCTAGTCCCCTATCAGCGCTGCGCTAAGTGTTCCGATGAACATGTCAAAGCTTCAGAGGATATACTGACCCAAAAACGCTGTCCGGACAAAATGAAATGCCAGCTGCCTCATTATATCAAACTCCCGGTCTGGGACTGGCTTGGAGTCCATGTTGAGGCACAGAGAGATCTGTGTAGTCAGCCAATGGCCTGCAATGGGCACGGGGGCTGTAACCTGATCCCACACACCAACCAGTTCATGTGTATCTGTCATCCGATGTACGAAGGTGAGACATGTGAGAAAGAAATCACTTTAAACAATGAGATTTTAAGCCATTTGTCCACTCTGCGTTCAGAGTTCATGGCTGCTAATGGGATACCTAATGTCGTAGACATTTATTTTGAATTACAGAATGTCGCTAAAGGATTGCAAGCTACTATGGGCAATATTGTAGATGCCATCACACACACACAGTCCTTGGTTAAACATTCAGAAATTCTGTATGAAACCAGCTATATTGCTGAGCTTTACACTGATTTACAGCAAGGAAACAAGAGTTTCAACACATTTGGAGAATTAATGGAAGAATTTCTAGCGATTAATTCCGAATACTATATTCTCTACAGATTGAAAGGCATTTTGCTTGGTGAAGGGATCGGGGACTTAGAAGAAGGAGATGATTTTTTTAACACATTCAAGAAAAACTATGTGTCTAACCACAACAATCCCTGTTCTAAAATGTATGCCACTGATGTAGGCAATTTGAAAAAAAAACTGGTTTTTCTTGATGAGGCAATTGGTGAAGCTTTGTTAATGTACAAACAGTGGAGCATTGACAAGGGTGACAAATCTGTAATTGTCAGTCTTGATGCATTTTCTGAGGATTTCAGGACCAGGCAAAGTAAATATCATGCCTATTGGAATAGGACGAGTTGTCCGAGTTTATCGGTTCCAGATTTAGTCCCAAGTTACTGTGATAAACAGCTCAGTTATGAAAATATGAAGGTCAGCCTCAAGTGTTTAGATCACAAATCCCCATCTCATAAGACAATAGAGTGCGTCAGGAGAAATGGTCAGCTGGTGTGGAGTGTGACACCGACCTGCAATTACCAATGGGCTGACTGGGGAAGTTGGAGTGCCTGTTCTGTTACCTGTGATGGGGGGAGGAGGAGTCGTACACGTGAATGTATTGGGCACAAGGCAAGTCTTTGTGGCTCAGAATCAAGACAGGAAGAGACCTGCAATACTGTACAATGCTGTTTGCCAAAGCATGGAAAGTACCAGTGTGGAAACGGGAGATGTATCTCTGCATCTTCACTGTGTGATGGGAAAGATGACTGTGGTAATGGAGAGGATGAGTCCAAATTAAAGTGTCCTCATTATATCCGGAACGGCGACACCATAGCTCTCAAATCCTCTTGTACAGTTGACAACTGGCTGAGCAGTGAGAGGGATCATTGCAGGGTTAGACCTTGCCCAGGGACTGAAATGGAAGATTATGATTGGAATAATTGCCGTAATGAGGTGTTTGTCATAAAAGCAGGAAGAAGAAGTGGTGATTCTCCTATTTATTATGGTGATGAAATTGCTATGTACTCTAATAAAGTGAGTCTCTGGGTAGCTTGCAGCCCTAGAGGAGGCTGGTGCGACTCTCGCCCTTGCCCAGGAAATGTTGATGGAAGGAATTTGCAAAACTGTGGTTTTGAACAGTTTCATATCTTTTCCTCTGCAAGAAGGGGTGTGTGTTCCTTAGACACTTACTCTGGATGCATAGGGAAACCTATTCAGCACGGAGACACTGTATTCATTCGGGCCAATTCTGATCGAAAATATTGGCTCAGTGACGATGGGAAATGGGTAAGAACAAGGCCGTGTCCTGGGCGATATCTTCCTGAAAATTGTCGTTGTGAGAAGTGGAGGATCTCCAAAAGAATGTAGGATAAGAGAGTTGCGTTTCAACGCTTGGTGGTGGTGTTTTACTGTAGAATTTAATCCAATTAATCAATACAAATCATTGTCAGGCTGCACGTGATTATATATTCAAACATCTTAGAAACTCACTTTATGGTTCACTGGTCCCGGGATAGTGATGCAAAGTAGCCCTGAGAGGGAGAAAAGCCAAGAAAATCCCACAACAATATATCAGGATGCTACCAGCCATCATCCTCATGGGTATGTGTTTGTGTGAACGGCATCAGGCTCAGAATAGGGCACTAACTTTATTGAATACTACATAGAGTTAAACAGATACAAAATCTGGATCTAATCCCAATCAGTGTAGAGAACATTGTCTATAGGTTTATAATTGCGTAACCTAATCAACAACAACTTGCTTTGTAATAATTTTTACTGAACAAGGCACAAAAAAACTCTATTTCAGCTTTTTAATGATTAAATTTAATTGCGACGTTAAACATATCCACAGCGAAAACTGGTGTTCGATATTGACTGTAATGATTGACTGACTTACTGATGATGATGATGAAATATTGATTCATTTACAGATTTGTGTCTCTTCACTATGTAAATAGTGAGTGTGATTTTGTGGGGGGTGGGCTTGGGTAATGGGGCAACAGATAGCTAAAGGGCACTCAGTGATGTTGATACTGACAAGTTCATCCATGAATTTATTGCTGTCTCCCTTTTTTGGCTGTTCTGTGTACCAAGCAAATGTAAAAATTATAATGAAAGATTAAAAAGTAATGAAACTTTACCTTGAGCAAACAAAGAGTCAGGTTTTATTTGCAGCATAAAATATTTTTTTTCTTCCCCTTTCAGTGTATCCTGTGAAGCACTTTGAGAAGTCACGACAACACAATAAGGTGCTGTATCACATGCAAAGATTATTATTATTATTATTATAATCTGACCATGTGAAGCTCGATAAGTTCATGAGGGAGAAAGGATTAGAAGGTTGTGCTGATAGGGTTAGTTGAGGATGGGCTCATGTGGAGCATAAACACCAGCATAGACCAGTTGGGCTGAATGGCCTTTCGGTGCTGCATATTCTATGTAATTCTATGCAATTTGTATGCGCACACTGCTGAAACATGTGGGTAACATCTCCCTCAAAGGCCAACTCATGGCCTTCGGGGCTGTCAGGAGGCAAAGTAAACCCAGGACATACTTTAGGATGCACCAAGACAGCAGAACAAGAGGACACGGGATCAGAGTTGTAAAGGACAGAAACCAGGAAGAGTTTTTTTACCCAGAGGGTAATTAACAACTGGAACTGGAGAGATACAGGTACCGGGAAGGGTGGTTGATACCAGGCCCCGTCACTCTTCTAAAAAGCAGCTTGATGCTGTGACTGGGGATGGGTAGGGTGGGAGCTCTGGAGAGATGAGGTCACATGGACTGAAGGGACTTTTTCATCCAAACCAATCATGATCTCTATTAACAGATGTCAATTAAATCCATGTGGCAAACATCCAGTTTTCAAGCCGGGAAATGTGGGCTGGAGAAAGCATTGTGTAATTGAGGAAGCGGTTTCCTGTCAGTGCGCTCTGTTGATGGAGAAATTTGTATTTGAAAAATGAACAGCCAGTGACACTGTAGAGGATGAGGCGCTGTCACCCAACAGGACCTTACACACTGTATTTTATGCCACGGTTAAGTTCAGCCTAAACAGAACCTACTTAATTAAGGTGCAATTGAAGAATTTTCCACAATTCTGCTCCACCTTAAATTTCAAGACAAAATGATACTACAGGTGAGACTAAGTGGAATTTTTTTTTCCATTTGTAGAGCGCCTTTCACGTCGGAGGACGTCCCAAGGCGCTGTACAGTTGGGTCAGGACCCGAGCAGTGGGGAAATGGTCAGGGTGAGGGGAGGGAAGGGAGGGAGCGAGGAGGGGGGAGATGGTCAGGGTGAGGGGAGGGAGGGAGGGAGCGAGGAGCGGGGAGATGGTCAGGGTGAGGGGAGGGAAGAGAGGGAGTGAGGAGGGGGTAGAGAGTCGAGAGTGGAGCTGAAGGCTGAAGGTCAAAGAGAAAGGTTTTGAGACCGGCCTTGAAGGAGGAAAGGGAGGAAGTGGCGAAGGCACTGGGGGATAGAGTTCCAGAGCCTCAGGGCTGAGAGACTGAAGGCCCGACCACCGATGCGGAGGCGCTAATGTGAGCCAATCAGGAGGGCCTCAGTTTTGCGCTCGTTGAACTGAAGAAAGTTGTCTCTCATCCAGGACTCGATGTCGGACAGACAGCCGTCAGGACATCAGGGGTCGTGGAGTTGAGGGTAGAGGAGGAAAGGTAGAGTTGGGTGTCATCCGCATACATGTGGAAGTTAACCCCATGTCTGCGGATGATGTCCCTGAGGGGGAGCGTATAGAGAGTGAAGAGGAGGGGACCGAGGACAGAACCCTGAGGGACACCGCACAAGACAGTGCGGGGGGTGGAGGAAAAGCCGTTTGTGGAAACAAAATGAAGACGGTGGGAGAGATACGACCTAAACCACTCAAGGACAGGGCCTTGAAGGTTGAGGTGGGAGCACAAGCGGTGGAGGAAAATAGAGTGGTCGACCATATCCAATGCAGCCGATAGGTCGAGGACTAAGCACTTTCAGATGTCCAGAAGACGTCAAAAGGGCTATATCAAAGGCAAGGATTATTTATTATTATGAAGTTGAGGCGGTGTGAGAGGTATGATCTGAACCAGTCAACGATAGAGCCGTGGAGGCTGAGGTGAGAGGAGAGGCGGTGGATGAGGATAGATTGGTCCACGATGTCGAAGGCAGCAGAGAGGTCAAGGAGGCAGAGGGAGCCTTGGTCACAGATGGGCAGAATGTCATGTGTTACTTTGACCAGGGCTGTTTCTATGCTATGGGCGACACGGAAACCAGAAGGGAGTGGCGGGAGAGGAAGGAGCAAAGCCTGTGAGCGCGTTTCATGTCAGGAGGACATCCCAAGGTGCTGAAAGTGCTCGATACTGCCTACCCCGACACCCCAACCATCCACAATTCTACCAACCCCACAATTCTCCCCCACCCACAGACCCACACACCTATACCCCATTCCCCCCTCCACTTACCCCAAAACACACAGACACTGCAGAGGATTCACGTTGTTCGTTCCAGGTTTTGCTATTTTTATTTTATTTTGGACAGAGAGAAAATGCTGAAAGCTTTTTAAAATGTAGGTTGTTCTTTACCGATGGGCTAACCACACCCATCGAACCGAGCAACGCAGACATACTAATAATACTAATAATACTACTAATAATAATCCCTCATGAAAAGACAATCAATTGGTCACTTCAATCCACGACTAGAAGACGTGAATCAAATGCAAGGACTATTATTAATATTAATATTATTATTATTATACATATAACTAAAAAACCAAAAGTAAAAAACATATAGTATTCATATCAGTATCAGTTTCAGTAAAGTTAAGTATCAGTGTTGTTTTTCACAATTCAGTAAGTTTAGGTACATTATTATGTCGGTTGTCTGTTTCTGTTACTTTCAATGGTTAGCTGTTTCGGTACTTCTTCAGAACATTCCTTTCAATCTATTCCATACAAGAGAGGCTGCTACTTATTTCTCAATCACTCATCTTCAGTACTTTGTCTTTGGTGGACTCCGTTCTCCATCCGCAGAGAAAGTACGCCTTACGCACCAGCACCAAAGGCACCGGTGTCCCTGCTTTGGAGGCAGGAATGCTCCTCCCTCCTCCTATCAACAAAACACACAGGAGGATTGCAAAATAATAATATTTCTTGCATTTGATACAGTGCCTTATCACATTGTTGAGACGTCTCAAAGCGTTTCATAGGATATACTGTGAAGTGGATTGATTGCGCTTTGTGGGTGAAACGCGACAGACAATTTGCGCACAGCCATGTCCCACAAACGGTTGTCGGTTGAGTGGCCAATTTTTTTGTGGGGGACGGAATTATTACCCCCAGAAAACAAATCGACTAACAACCGGGCTCCTACTTACTGCTGGGCAAATAGAGGCGTGTGGAGTAAGGAAACCAAACATGACGGGGAAAGAGCAAAGGAATGGGATTGGAGTAGAGAGCTACAGTGGGGAGTGAGCACCAGCACAGACCATGAAGGTTCCATTGCCTCTCCTTGTTGTAAAGGACCTGTGATAAATAGTACTCACCATATGAGATAACTACTGCAAGCAAGGAAAGTGGGGATCACCCAACGGCATCCCTGTGAAAAGAGGATAAAACAACCGATAACGTTTCTATGGTCAGTAACATGATTTAACAATAATAATAATCCTTGGATTTGATATAGCGCCTTATCACATCTTCAAGACATCTCAAAACGCTTCATGGAATATATTGTAAAGTAAATTGACTGTATATTTTGTAGGCGAAATACAGCCAATTGCACACAGCAGTGTCCCACAAACAGTCGTGGATTGAGTCACCAAATGATTATTATTATTTATTTTTTGAACTGATTATTGCCCCTGGAAAAGAGATCCGTCAATCGACTAACAACTGGGTTCCTACTTTCTTCTGGGTAAACAGAGACTTGTGGATTAAGAAAACTTGCCTAAATGTTTGCCCTGTGGAGTCCTGTAGCTCAGTGGTTAGAGCACTCGCTTTGCAAGTGAGAGACCCGAGTTCAATTCCAGGCAGAGGGCGAAACCTTGGGCACGTTTCCTTACTCCACACAGAGCCTAATAATAATCCCTCCAAAAAAAAACCAAAACAATAATTAAATTGGTCATTTTCAATCTACGACTGTTTGTGGGACATCGCTGTGCGCAATTGGCTGCCGCGTTCGCCCACAAATATACAGTCAATTCACTTTACAGTGTGTACTGTGAAGCGCTTTGGGACGTCCTCCCGACGTGAAAAGCGCTATATCAAATGCAAGGATTATTATTATTATTATTATTATTCCCTCTCGCTTGGGAGGGAAGTGCTCTAACCATTAAGAAACAATTGAGTAGAAAACACATTACATAATGGTAGTAACATGTGGGACTTGCATGTGGGAAATGTACCAGAGCAGTCTTGAACTCAGATGAATAACATCTAATTCACCATAAAATCATAAGAGGTTCCGATCAGGGAGGCCTTTCAGTAATTCGATCCCTGACCTGATGTCCTCCCATTACAGCGTAATCCGTTCCCTACACTAGTCCCAATATCCTAACCTCAGCCATCTTTTCTGGTAACCCAATTAAAATCATGGCTTTAGTATGTTTTCCTAATGTTCCCAGAGGGAATGAGAGAGGGAGAGCAAGTGAGGGAGCAAAGGAGAGAGTGCGAGTGAGTGAGGGAGAGAACGATGCAGAGAGCAAGGGAGAGTGAGACAGTGAGTGAGAAAGGGAGAGTTAGTAAGAGGGAGAGAGAGCAAGGGAGAGAGGGAATAGCAAGGGAGAGAGCAAGCGAGAGAATGAAGCAGTAAAGCCAGGCCATTAGTAAAGTTTCACCCACAAATACAGTCGATTCACTTTACACTCTGTGAAGCGCTTTGAAACGTCTTTAACGACGTGATAAGGCGCTACATCAAATGTAATGATTATTATTATTAAGTACAAGAAATGATAGCGCAACAGGTCAGAGAGGGAGAATCAAAAAAAGAAGCAAAGGAGAGAGGAGTGCAAAATACACAAAGGAGAGAAAGTTAAAGCTCAGGCAATAATGAACAGAGAGAGAGAGAGAGAAAGAGTGATTCGGGGCATAAACAAGTCGATCGTCAGCCTTACCTCAGAAAGGATAGAGCAGAAAGGAAGAGCACGGCCGAGAGCAGCCTCTTATAGAGCACAGTCTGGCACTGCCCCAGACGTAACACTACGTTTCAGTCACCCGTCAGAAATGTGAAACGAAACCGATACTCAGCAGCAATGTAAAGGGAATTGAAGCTCCAAGGAGTGCCCACACCACAGCAGCTGGTTGTTCTGAGCGTGCAAACCCCACAAACAAACGTGTCAGTTCAGAAAGATCAAACACTTTGTGGTCCATACAAGTGTTCTGCTTACAAGCAGGTTAACAATTCAATGCTTAATAAAAACAAAGGGATTGAGTACCGATGATGCACAAGAACTAAGAATTGCTCGACGAAAGAAGACCAGAGTCCACCCAGTTCGCCTTCCACCATCCTAGCAATCGGATGTTGTGTCCCGAACTATATACAATAACCCAAGATATTACTTCCTATAAACTTCACACAGATGCTAGCGTTTCTTTCTCTTTAGATCCTGAATTGTCCTGTTGGTGGATTTTCATTCCACCTTTGCTTTGTTTCGGTCAGTTTTATGAGAAGGGAATGGAATGCCAGAGCGAGGGGAAGAATACAGTTTGGTTCGCGACTTATCTCCATTGCTCCTTTGACTCTTAATGTTGGATACTCCGATTGTCAGGCGTGAAATCAGGAATTTTTCACGCAATGGGTAGTGGAGATCTGGAGCTCTCTCCCCAAAAAGGCTGTGGATGCTGGACGCATTCAAATTTTCAAGACTGAGGTGGATAGATTTCTGTTCGGCTATCAACGGGATATAGGGTGTTGAGGTACAGAGCAGCCATGATCTAATAGAATGGTGTAACAGGCTTGAGGGGCTTGTCCAGCTGGATTAACAGGAGCTGAGTGTGAGGATTTGAAGAGTCAGCGCAGAGGGAGAGAGAGAGGGGTGGGAGACGGCGTTCGCAGCATTATTCATCAGGTCAGAAATGTGAAACGAAACTGAAACCCCCACACAACTGATCAGCAATGTGCAAATAAGTGAGTAAATGATTTGCAGTCGACTGAAATACAAAATTAGCTGACCTCAAAGTGATTGGGTGGGTGGGAGGGAAATCATGAAATCCTCGCACAACCCACACCCACACCCTCCCCCCACATACCCCAAAACAAGCCATTCAGCCTAACTTCTCAAATTGCTTCATAGAATATACTGTAAAGTGAAATCACCGTATGTTTTATGGGCGAAACAATTACCTGAACATAAAGCTATTGTTAATAAACCTTGCAGTTGATATAGTGCCTTCAACATCGAAATGCCTCAAAGCATTTCAGAGAGTGTTTTTCTAAAGTGCAGTGACTTGGGCCAGTGAGTCAGTGAATAGAGGGTATTAATTTAAGATAGTTAGCAATAATAATAAACCTTTGCATTTGCTATAGTTCCTTATAAGGTTGTTGAGACATCTCAAAGCGCTTCAAAGCAAACAAACAAATGGAGGGAGGCTAAGAGGATTTTTTTCACACACAGAGTGGTTAGGATATGGCAAGGAATGGTGGTTGAGACAGAATTCATATTGGGTTTCAAAAGGAGTAAAGTACAGGGGTGTGGGAAAAGGGCAGGTAAATGGGACTGAAAGGATTGCTCTTTAAAAAGAGCCGGCACCAACGCAATAGGCTTCTGTGCTGTAACTTTCTGTGGTTCTATAACAACAACAAGATTACATTTGCATAGCGCCTTTCACATCGGGAGGACGTCCCAAAGCGCTGGACGGTGTACAGCATTTCAGACCCGAGCTGGGGTTATATAGAAATGGTTCTGTGGCCCTACAGCATATCCCAAGGCAGCAAAACAACGTAAGATCGGTGAAGAAAAACCTTTCTTTTCCTGCTAGTGCCTGCTCAAGATTTGTGGTTTGACAATCTTACGATCTGTTGTTCCCTTCGATCGAGCGTAGTGCTCTGGTCTGCTCCATGTCTCCCGCCCTGCACCCACCCTTTGGAATTTCATCCCACAGTCCCTACGCCTACGACATCACCAACCCCAACACCACAAATCTTCCCTCCTCTCTACACACACAGACGCACATATAACCCCCCCCCCACCCCACTCCCCTTCACATACCCCAAAACACAAAGACAATGCAGGATTCATGTTCATGTTCCAGGTTTTGCTATTTTTATTTTATTTTGGACAGAGAGAAAACGCGTACAGCCTTTTAAAATGCGGGGTGTTTGTCTTTACCGGCTGGGCGACCCAAGCCCACCGAACCAAGCAACGCAGACATACATAAGCCGCAAAAACGTAAATAAAATATAGTTTAGGCATTCAAAATTCAGTAGGCTTTAATTGCATTATTATGTCGGTTGTTTGTTCTGTCGCTTTCAGTGCTTTCAGTGCTCAGCTCTTTCAGTACTTCTCCAGGTCATTACTTTCAATCTACTCCATACAAGAGTGGGTGCTATTGATTCCTCAATCGCTCATCTCCAGTACTTTGTCTCAACGGATGGAATCCGTTCTCTGTTCTCATCAGCACGTCTCGCGCACCAGCGCCAAAGGCACCGGTGACCCTGCTGTTGGAAGCAGGAATGCTCCTCCCTCCTCCTATCAACAAAACACACAGGAGGATTGCAAAATAATAATATTTCTTGCATTTGATACAGTGCCTTATCACATTGTTGAGACGTCTCAAAGCGTTTCATAGGATATACTGTGAAGTGGATTGATTGCGCTTTGTGGGTGAAACGCGACAGACAATTTGCGCACAGCCATGTCCCACAAACGGTTGTCGGTTGAGTGGCCAATTTTTTTGTGGGGGACGGAATTATTACCCCCAGAAAACAAATCGACTAACAACCGGGCTCCTACTTACTGCTGGGCAAATAGAGGCGTGTGGAGTAAGGAAACCAAACATGACGGGGAAAGAGCAAAGGAATGGGATTGGAGTAGAGAGCTACAGTGGGGAGTGAGCACCAGCACAGACCATGAAGGTTCCATTGCCTCTCCTTGTTGTAAAGGACCTGTGATAAGTAGTACTCACCATATGAGATAACTACTGCAAGCAAGGAAAGTGGGGATCACCCAACGGCATCCCTGTGAAAAGAGGATAAAACAACCGATAACGTTTCTATGGTCAGTAACATGATTCAACAATAATAATAATCCTTGGATTTGATATAGTGCATTATTAAGTATTCTAGACCTCTCAAAGCGCTTCAGAGAATATGTTGTGAAGTGAATTGACTGTATATTTTGTGGGCAAGAAACGGCAGCCAATTGCACACAGCAGTGTCCCACAAACAGTCTTGGAGTGACCAAATAATTATTATTAACCCGGGGAGTGCTCTAACCACTGAGAGGGGGAACGCGAATGAGAGGACGTGAGGGAGGGAGAGCGCAAGTGAGAGAGCAAGGGAGAGTGAGAGAGAGTGAGTGAGAGGGAGAAAGTGAGAGGGAGGGAGAGGGGAAGAGAGCCAGTAAGAGAGCGAGAGAGAGAAGCAGAGCTCGAGTGAGAGCGAATGAAAGAGTGGAGCAGTAAAGCCGGGCCATCAGTAAAGTTTCACCCACAAATACAGTCGATTCACTTTACATTCTGTGAAGCGCTTTGAAACGTCTTTAACGACGTGATAAGGCGCTACATCAAATGTAATGATTATTATTATTAAGTACAAGAAATGATAACGCAACAGGTCAGAGAGGGAGAATCAAAAAAAGAAGCAAAGGAGAGAGGAGTGCAAAATACACAAAGGAGAGAAAGTTAAATCTCAGCTTAAAGGCAATAATGAAGGCAATAAAGTTAAAGCTTAAAGGCAATAATGAACAGAGAGAGAGAGAAAGAGTGATTCGGGGCATAAACAAGTCGATCGTCAGCCTTACCTCAGAAAGGATAGAGCAGAAAGGAAGAGCACGGCCGAGAGCAGCCTCTTATAAGCACAGTCTGGCACTGCCCCAGACGTAACATTACGTTTCAGTCACCCGTCCAATGTGAAACGAAACCGATACTCAGCGGCAATGTAAAGGGAATTGAAGCTCCAAGGAGTGCCCACACCACAGCAGCTGGTTGTTCTGAGCGTGCAAACCCCACAAACAAACGTGTCAGTTCGTCTGGTTCTTGAACCAACAGGCAGTGGACATTTAAATACATCAAGCAGTGGGGAAAATTCAGTCCCTCGGAATTCCACAGCAGTCATTTCAAAATTCCCCAACATTATCTTCCATAATAATAATATAATAATAATAAAGACATTGGAGATTTTGTTGGTAGTAGCCCAGCCGGTCACTGTTTAGGCAGTGATGTTGTGGTACCCGTAGTGAGTCCTCATCAAATGAAGTCGCTTTTGCCTTCAAAGCCCTCCACGGCTTTGCTCCTTCTTACCTCTGCGAATTGCTGATGCCATATCAACCTGTCCACTCCCTCCACTCAGTAGGTTCCAGCGTGCTCCACATTCCCCCGACCATCAGCGGTCGGGCCTTCAGCCTCTCTGTCCCCACCTTCTGGAACTCCATCCCACAGTTCCTTTGCCTTGCTCCCTCCCCTGTCTCTTTCAAGGCCAGCATTAAACCCTCCTCCTCTTTGACCGTGCCTTCAGTCACCCTCTTACCCCGACCCTCTTGCCACACTATCCTCCACCCTTCCTCATCCGAACCCCCAGCTCGAGTCCAAATCTCTGACTACCCGGCACCTTGATGCATCATCCTGATGTGAAAGGCACTGTACAAATGTTATTTGTTGGTTTTGTTCCATAGTGTAGTGGTTAGCGCACTCACCTCGCAAGCAAGTGGACCCAGGTTCAATTCTTGGGCATGGCAAAACCTTAGGCAAGTCTCCTTACTCCACATGCCTCTGTTTACCCAGTAGTAAGTACCCAGTTGTCAGTCGATTGACCTTTTCTGGGGGTAATAATCCCTCAAAAAGAATTCACTCAATCTACGACTGTTTATGGGACAATGCTGCGGGCAAATGGCTGCCACGTTTCGGCAACAAAATACAATCAATTCACTTTTTACACTATAGTCTCTAAATCGCTTTCAGACACCTCAACGATGTGTTCAGGCGCAATATCAAATGCAAGGATTATTATTATGATTAAATACACGAAACATTGCTTCATGTGCACAAATCTGTTTTTGATGTGGATTTGGATAAAAGTGCCCCTTTGAGTTCAGTCCCCACTACTGACAATTCCTTAAAAACTGCCAACAAAATGTAACACAAACACATCTGGACTCGTTCAGCAGAAATGAAGAAGAGATATTTGCTCATCCACCCAATTGGCATATTTGGAAGTCTTTGGGTGTTGAAGTTTTTTTCTACATTGGCCATCTCTGACACTATCTCTCCCCTCATTTTTCCGAGCCCATCGCCCTCATCCTCCCTTGGCTCTGCTGGCTCGCCATCTCCCATCGGACTGAGTTCTAGATCCATGTCCTCACCTTTAAATCCCTTCACAGTCTTCCCCCAACCCCACCTCTGGGATCTCCTTCGCTTAGTGAGCACCAGCCTGCTTCATGTCCCTGCCCCACCATCAGCGGGCAGCCTTTCTGCCCCTCTCTCGGAACTCCATTCCGGAGTCCATCCAACTCTCTCTCTCCCGCACCTCATTCAAGGTCTGTCTCTTTGCCCGTGCTTTCCCCTCCCTACCCACTCAGCTCCCACCCGCTGCTCGGGTGCCCAACCAGCATTGTCAAGCACTTTGGGACACCTTCTTGTGTCCCTGGAAAGGTGCTGTGTAAATGTAAATTTATTATCTTACAGTTATGAAGCTCCGAGCCCCAAAATTGCACTTATGGATTTAATTGACATCTGTTAATAGAGATCATGATTGGTTTGGATGAAAAAGTCCCTTCAGTCCATGTGACCTCATCTCTCCAGAGCTCCCACCCTACCCATCCCCAGTCACAGCATCAAGCTGCTTTTTAGAAGAGTGACGGGGCCTGGTATCAACCACCCTTCCTGGTACCTGTACCTCTCCAGTTCCAGTTGTTAATTACCCTCTGGGTAAAAAAACTCTTCCTGGTTTCTGTCCTTTACAACTCTGATCCCGTGTCCTCTTGTTCTGCTGTCTTGGTGCATCCTAAAGTATGTCCTGGGTTTACTTTGCCTCCTGATAGCCCCGAAGGTCATGAGTTGGCCTTTGAGGGAGATGTTACCCACATGTTTCAACAGTGTGCGCATACAAATTGCATAGAATTACATAGAATATGCAGCACCGAAAGGCCATTCAGCCCAACTGGTCTATGCTGGTGTTTATGCTCCACATGAGCCCATCCTCAACTAACCCTATCAGCACAACCTTCTATTCCTTTCTCCCTCATGAACTTATCGAGCTTCACATGGTCAGATAATAATAATAATAATAATAATAATCTTTGCATGTGATACAGCACCTTATTGTGTTGTCGTGACTTCTCAAAGTGCTTCACAGGATACACTGAAAGGGGAAGAAAAAAATATTTTATGCTGCAAATAAAACCTGACTCTTTGTTTGCTCAAGGTAAAGTTTCATTACTTTTTAATCTTTCATTATAATTTTTACATTTGCTTGGTACACAGAACAGCCAAAAAAGGGAGACAGCAATAAATTCATGGATGAACTTGTCAGTATCAACATCACTGAGTGCCCTTTAGCTATCTGTTGCCCCATTACCCAAGCCCACCCCCCACAAAATCACACTCACTATTTACATAGTGAAGAGACACAAATCAGTAAATGAATCAATATTTCATCATCATCATCAGTAAGTCAGTCAATCATTACGGTCAATATCGAACACCAGTTTTCGCTGTGGATATGTTTAACGTCGCAATTAAATTTAATCATAAAAAAGCTGAAATAGAGTTTTTTTGTGCCTTGTTCAGTAAAAATTATTACAAAGCAAGTTGTTGTTGATTAGGTTACGCAATTATAAACCTATAGACAATGTTCTCTACACTGATTGGGATTAGATCCAGATTTTGTATCTGTTTAACTCTATGTAGTATTCAATAAAGTTAGTGTCCTATTCTGAGCCTGATGCCGTTCACACAAACACATACCCATGAGGATGATGGCTGGTAGCATCCGATAAATTGATGTGGGATTTTCTTGGCTTTTCTCCCTCTCAGGGCTACTTTGCATCACTATCCCGGGACCAGTGAACCATAAATTGTCTCAGTGAGTTTCTAAGATGTTTGAATATATAATCACGTGCAGCCTGACAATGATTTGTATTGATTAATTGGATTAAATTCTACAGTAAAACACCACCACCAAGCGTTGAAACGCAACTCTCTTATCCTACATTCTTTTGGAGATCCTCCACTTCTCACAAAGACAATGTTCGGCAAGATATCGCCCAGGACACGGCCTTGTTCTGACCCATTTCTCATCCTCACTGAGCCAATATTTTCGATCAGAATTGGCCCGAATGAATACAGTGTCTCCGTGCTGAATAGGTTTCCCTATGCATCCAGAGTAAGTGTCTGAGGAACACACACCCCTTCTTGCAGAGGAAAAGATATAAAACCGTTCAAAAACACAGTTTTGCAAATTCCTTCCATCAACATTTCCTGGGCAAGGGCGAGAGTCGCACCAGCCTCCTCTAGGGCTGCAAGCTACCCAGAGACTCACTTTATTAGAGTACATAGCAATTTCATCACCATAATAAATAGGAGAATCACCACTTCTTCTTCCTGCTTTTATGACAAACACCTCATTACGGCAATTATTCCATTCATGATATTCCATTTCAGTCCCTGGGCAAGGTCTAACTCTGCAATGACCCCTATCACTGCTCAGCCAGTGGTCACGTGTACAAGAGGATTTGAGAGCTATGGTGTCGCCGTTCCGGATATAATGAGGACACTTTAATTTGGACTCATCCTCTCCATTACCACAGTCATCTTTCCCATCACACAGTGAAGATGCAGAGATACATCTCCCGTTTCCACACTGGTACTTTCCATGCTTTGGCAAACAGCATTGTACAGTATTGCAGGTCTCTTCCTGTCTTGATTCTGAGCCACAAAGACTTGCCTTGTGCCCAATACATTCACGTGTACGACTCCTCCTCCCCCCATCACAGGTAACAGAACAGGCACTCCAACTTCCCCAGTCAGCCCATTGGTAATTGCAGGTCGGTGTCACACTCCACACCAGCTGACCATTTCTCCTGACGCACTCTATTGTCTTATGAGATGGGGATTTGTGATCTAAACACTTGAGGCTGACCTTCATATTTTCATAACTGAGCTGTTTATCACAGTAACTTGGGACTAAATCTGGAACCGATAAACTCGGACAACTCGTCCTATTCCAATAGGCATGATATTTACTTTGCCTGGTCCTGAAATCCTCAGAAAATGCATCAAGACTGACAATTACAGATTTGTCACCCTTGTCAATGCTCCACTGTTTGTACATTAACAAAGCTTCACCAATTGCCTCATCAAGAAAAAGCAGTTTTTTTTTCAAATTGCCTACATCAGTGGCATACATTTTAGAACAGGGATTGTTGTGGTTAGACACATAGTTTTTCTTGAATGTGTTAAAAAAATCATCTCCTTCTTCTAAGTCCCCGATCCCTTCACCAAGCAAAATGCCTTTCAATCTGTAGAGAATATAGTATTCGGAATTAATCGCTAGAAATTCTTCCATTAATTCTCCAAATGTGTTGAAACTCTTGTTTCCTTGCTGTAAATCAGTGTAAAGCTCAGCAATATAGCTGGTTTCATACAGAATTTCTGAATGTTTAACCAAGGACTGTGTGTGTGTGATGGCATCTACAATATTGCCCATAGTAGCTTGCAATCCTTTAGCGACATTCTGTAATTCAAAATAAATGTCTACGACATTAGGTATCCCATTGGCAGCCATGAACTCTGAACGCAGAGTGGACAAATGGCTTAAAATCTCATTGTTTAAAGTGATTTCTTTCTCACATGTCTCACCTTCGTACATCGGATGACAGATACACATGAACTGGTTGGTGTGTGGGATCAGGTTACAGCCCCCGTGCCCATTGCAGGCCATTGGCTGACTACACAGATCTCTCTGTGCCTCAACATGGACTCCAAGCCAGTCCCAGACCGGGAGTTTGATATAATGAGGCAGCTGGCAAATCATTTTCAAATTGTCCGGACAGCGTTTTTGGGTCAGTATTTCCTCTGAAGCTTTGACATGTTCATCGGAACACTTAGCGCAGCGCTGATAGGGGACTAGGGTTCTAACATGTGAAACATCAGTGCAGCTCAAGTGTTCATTGACATCCTGCCAAGCAACAATGATGTTCTTTTGGTGCTCGCCATAGTTCTGAACCAAGAAATAGTTTGAACCTTTTCTTTCCAGATGTGAATGACATATTTTATCGCCAATTTCCTTAAATTCAGCAACTGCCCAGGCGTACCAGGGATACAGGCGAGTCAGTCTTTGGGATATGACTGGCACCACTATATCAGGTAATGGTGTGTTAATGTCCGTCAGTATCTTCTCAACTTCCTTCCTTGCATTTTCAATTGAGTGCTCCTTGCAATAATAGACACGTTTTTCAAATTCTTGGCGCATTTCAAAGAGGTAGTTTATCACGCGTTCATGTGAGCTTTTGGCTAAAGCATCGTTACCCTTGAAATAGTGATAAGTCAGTGTTTGCTGAGCAGCACTCAACATCAGACCTTTCAGAATGATCATTAAACCTGGAAAAGGGAAGGAAAAGTCTAAATTAGGATTTTTTTTAAAGTCTCAAATTTAAGAAGATTCCACAATTCTGTGATCTTTGTTTGTTAAGCTGCCTCAGTCAGTCGCACTCCCGCCTGTGAGTCAGAAGGTTGTGGGTTCAAGCCCCATGTTGGGACTTGCCAACTCATACTGCCTACGCTGACCCTCCAACTCAGGACTGGGGGGGATGGGGGGGGAGCGGTGGGGTGTTCATTGTCGGAGGTGCTGTCCATCGATTGAGACATTCGATCCTGCCGGCCTGTTCAGTTAATGATCCCATGGCACTATTTGAAAAGGGAAGATAGTTTCTCTGTCTTGGTGTCCTGGCCAACAGTCCCTCAGAGAAAAAAAAACAGAAGTCACTGGGAACACTCAGCAGGTCAGGCAGCATCTATGGAGAAAGTGAGTCAATATTTCAGGTCCACGACCCTTCGTCAGAACTGGGGCACGTTGGGACGGAGAGTCTTTTGGGGCTAACAGAGAAGGGGGAGGCAGAGCAAGGAAGACAAAGGAGAAAATGAGGTAGACGACAGGGGATGGATGATGGGTTAAAGAGGTGTTAATGATGCAAAGCAAAGGGGGAAATTGCAATGAAGCAGGGGAATAGAGGTGTTACTACTGCAGAGCAAAAGGGGTGGGGGGAACAACTTGCAACAAAACAGGCAGATCAGGGAGAGAAAAGCTGTGTCCGGGACCAAGATGCTGTGGTAATGGTCACAGAAGAGGGGGAGGGGGAAGGTGAGCTGTTATGGTCTGAAATTGTTAAAATCAATATTGAGGCCAGAGAGCTGTAAGGTCCCGTGCAGATAAATGAGGTGCTGGTCCTCGAGCTTGCGCTGTAGCTCATTGGAACAGCATAGGAGACTGTGGATGGAGAGGTCAGAGTGCGAGCAGGAGGGAGAGTTGAAGTGGCAAGAGACCGGAGCTCAGGGTCCAACTATGTCCAACTCTGGACAGTGGTATGGGATTAAACGTATCTTTCCCTCCCCTCCCCTCTCAGCACTCCGAAGGGACCTTTCCCTCCGTGACTCTGAGTCATTCCTCCATCACCACTAACAGTTCCTCTGCTCCCCCTCGGCACCTTCCCATGCCAGCACAAGAGGTGCCACTATACCACCTCCTCCCATTCCACTATCCAGTCCCGCCTGAAAACCTTCCTCTTCGACCATGGTTACGGCCACTCTCCCTGACTCAGAATCAGGCTCCGCCACTGTAAAGCCCTCTGAGACTCTACCCTGTGTGGAGGGCACTATACAACAAGTAAGTGCAAGTTGTTCTTGTTGTATAGCCCTGCACATTTTTCCTTGTTAAGTACCTATCCAATTCTCACATGCAATTCCAGTTGGAATTAAATTAGTCACTTCACTGACATCAAACAATGACATTAAAAAAATTCTGTACCTGATAGCTCATTAATATCACAAGAGTGTTCCTCAATGAAGAGATCAAACAGGTTCCTGTTAGTTGCGCTGTTTGCTGTAACTGTTATACGATACATGTTGAGCGTGCTTGCCTCCAATTGATTGTCATTGTAGTAGGTCACGTAATCTAAAGCCAGGATCATCTGCTTCCTTTCATCTCGTGTTTTTCCCATTTCCTCTCTGATAGCTTGCAGTTTCTCTGCTCCATTCCTGATGGCGTATTCCCACTGGATGTAGGTTGTAAGGAAGGTATGGAATGCTATGGATGTTTTGATACTGGTTTCCATTTGGGTAAGTTTGTTAGAGATGCTGTCCAACTTTCGGTTAACCTCATCAAATCTCTTATTAATAATTTCCAGGTCACTTGGCAACAAGAAGGAGAAAATAAAACTGGCCACAGCACCAAAAACATTGAGTACCGATAGAACATTTCCTAAACCAGAAGCAAACTTCAGCAGTTTTGTTTGTTTGCTCAGTACTTCGATCTGAGTGACCTGAGTTATCTTATCAGCAATATTTAGGACATCATCCACAATCTCCAGTCCTTTGGAAATATCAGAATTTGTTTTTTCCAACAGTAACTCGGAAAGGTCCAGGTTAGTTTCAACCTCAACTTGGTAATCTGAAGAAAACAAAAGGATTAGTTTTCTTTAGATAAGACAAGCTTCACGTTGGGATGTTTAATACTCACTGCAGAATGGTAAGTAAATGCTCAAACGATTGCCGGATGTGAAATGACCAACTGGTGACTATCCTCCTTAGGGGGAGGTAATTGGGGTCTCCTTGGAACTTGGCAAAGAATGTCAGAATCAAGTCAACCTTCCGCAGTGCTCTCTAGTTCACTGCTGATGACAAGCGCTTTATGACATCCTCCCAATACGAAAGACATTATATGAAAGTAGGTATGTGCTGGATGTAGGATTATTATATTTATTGGTATTTAAATGTAAGGATTATTATTTATAATATGTAATGAAATCAAAGGGACGGTAAGAAAACATACACACCGAATTGAGAGACTGGATTCTTGGTTGTTGACATTGAGGAGTTTGTCACTGAAATAAAAGAAAGGTTTATTGTCGGTTTCACAAAGCAAAGATCAAACTTATAAGTAACCAATTGTTATTTATTCGGTGGAAACTTGATATTTTCTTTGACCCTCAGATTTGCTTCAAAACCTACACCCCAGTCTTCATCTGATACTGGCTGCTTTTGAGCATTGCCTACGTACAGTCCTGTCTCACCCTAAACATAGTCATAGGCTTACATTGATATATAGAGTGATACAAGATCACAAGATTGGTTTGAATGAAGAAGGCACTTCAGCCCTTCTGATCTCAATGCTCCAGAACACCCACCGTACCATCCCTCCTGGCACTGCAACAAATGCTTTTAAATGAGTCCAGTGTCCTGGCCTTTACCACCTTTCCTGGCAACCAGTTGTTGTACACCCTCTCTCTAAATAAATAATTCCTGGTGTCTGTGCTGAAATGACCCTTTCCAACTCTAAAACTATGTCCTCTTGCTCTTTGGTCTCAAATGTAATGTTGTTGTTGTTGTTGATCTGGATTTACTTGTTTTTAATCCCTGTTTCGAATGTTATAGAACACTATGAGTTCCCTCTGAGTCATCTTCTCTCAAGACTGAAGAGCCCAACTTGTTTAATTGCTGCTCACTACTCATTCCTCTAACATTGGGAATCATCCTCATTGCTCTCCTCTGCTCTGCCTCTCGGAGCTGGGTAGCTCCCTCATGTTATGGTGACCAGAACTGTAAGTATGCAATTTTTGTTGTAGATCTGTTGCTATCTATCCTACATATATTTGGACTACATTTGGACTCACAAACGCATGGAAACAGACTATACAGAATCCTTTTATAATCTTTAAACCCCTTTAACTGTCTCAAGTCCAGAGAGAAAAGCTGCTACCTTTCCAATCTTTCTTGTTAGCTGTATCCACTTATCCTTGGTATTTAAGGAGGTGAGACCCTCGGTGGGTTTGGGTCAGGTAAGGGGTATAAAATGAAGATCAACAACAACTATAGCACCCTCCAAGCAGGTTAGTATCTCCGTTCGATGATGGGGAGCAAGTGGAGCTTGGTCAGAACTGGTGAGATGTGGGTACGGAGTTTGATCCGGGTCAGTATGCGGGCGGCAGACTTCTGAATTAACTTTTGAATAGTGGAGCTGGGGAGACCAGCGAGGAGTCAGTTTGAGTAATCCAGGCAGGAACTGACAAGCGCATGCACGAGGTTTCGGCTGTACTTGGGGTAAGGTAAGGTCAGAGGCAGGCAATGTGGCGGAGGTGGAAGAAGTTGGTCTGGTCAGGGACTGGATGTGGGAGAGGAAGGAAAGCTAGGGGTCGCACCAGGCGCCTAGATTGCGCACTTGTTCGATGAATGTGAGGGAGAGGAGTTCAGATCTGCAGGAGTGAAGACGTTGATGGGAGCCAAGGAGTATGGCTTCCGTCTTCTCCACATTCAGCTGCAGGAAGTTTGCGCTCATGAAAGCCTTCATGTCTGCCAGACGAACTGATAGAGCATCAGGGGGACGTGGAGTTTGTGCTGGAGGCAAAGTAGATTTGTGTGTCATCCGCAAACATGTGGAAATTTACCCCGTGTCTGTGGATGACATTGCTCAGAAGGAACATGTAGATAAGGAAATGAAGAGGTGAAGGATGGAGCCCTGGGGTAACCCGTATGTGTCCAGTAAGAGGAGAAACCATTTGCCAAGATAAAATGGAGGTGGTTGGTTAAGTAGGAGTCGAACCATGCGAGGAGGATGGCGTGTCGAATATGGCCATGGGATCCAGGAGGACAAGGGGGCTGATGGATAAAAAGGCACAAATTATAACCTTTAGTAAACCCTGCAATGAGAAGCTTGGCAGACTGTGTTATCTGATCTTAGAAACGTGCAGCTCAACTGCATGGAACCAGTTACGACTGATTCCATGAAGGAAGTAAGCCCGAATCAACAGATGTATGCGCAGACTGGTTCCATGAAGGAAGTAAGCCCGAATCAACAGATATATGCGCAGACTAACCGCAGCCTCGGAGTATGAGACAATGGACAATGCCCAATACACATTCTATGTCTCGACCACATTGTCACCTATGACCAAATCTAACGATTGGAGGAGAAGGATCCTCCCCATAGTGTATAAATGCCATTGTTGAATCCTACACCGGGGTCGGCAGCTACGACCCTAACTCTGTACCAGACTGAACTGACTGGTCCTGAGTTAGTTGAATAAATGTACTCTTAGTGATTGAACTGTGTGACTGTGTTTATTGCTGAATGAACTAACATCCAATTGCAGAAGTATACAAAGAAGGTAGAAACGGAAAATTATCCAACAGGGGCAGAGGGAGTCCTGATCACCAATAGAGACATTATTTGTGACTTTGACAAGCGCTGTCTCTGTGCTGTGGGCAGTCAGGGTGAAAACCTGACTGCAGGGGCTTGAGTAGGGAGTGGAGGGAGAGGTGTGACTGAAGTTGACCTGCAACAGTGCATTGCAGGGGTTTGGCAAGGATGGGTAGGATGGAAATGGTATGGTAGTGGGGAGATTAGAGGGATCGAGGGTGGGTTTTTTGAGGAGGGGTGTGACACAAAACAGCTGTTTTCAGGGAGAGTGGAAAAGAGCCTGAGGAGAGAGATTGATTGACTGTGTCGGGTGAATCTCATAAACATGAAGAAGGTGACCCAAATGGTGAGGCAGGGGGGAATTTATTGACACAGAGCGAACAAGACAGTCTGAAGACTACGGCAGCACAGGACAAGTTATTTGAAGAGAAAGCCAATGATACGTACCAGGAGATAATGCCTGAGCCAAGACACAGTACACGAGAACCAAACAGAGTCTTTGGTGGAAAGTCATGCTTGCCATTGGTAGATAAAGAAGAGGCCAAAGATGGAGCCTGTGCTCTGCTCAGGGAGTAGAGTTGGCGCCTTCTGAAACATAAAAAAGGCCAAAATATTGAATTGAGCAGTGATGGGAATACACGGAGACCCAATCCTTTGATAAAAGCAGACGTAGACAATACTCAAAACTGGGTGCAAGCTGTTGCTTAACTGACATTTCCTCTGTGCATTTGCATTCAATGGTTTTGTTGATATTATACCTAGAATGCCACCTTTACAACAAAATACAATTTACATCTATGCAGCGCCTTTCACACTGGGAGGACGTCTCAAGGTGCTTGACAGTGCTAGTTGGGCACCTGAGCTGGGGGTGAGGAGGGAAACGAGACTGAAAGCGCGGTCAAATTGGTATGTTTTGAGACTTTGATAAACAGCAGCGGATCCCATAAACATGGCTTTCCTTTCACAAATCAAAGCCGAATGATTTCATGTGGCGAGAGGTGATTTTCTACAAGTTAAATATTCCTCTTAACATTCTTCCAACTGTTTCTTTACATAACTGACATTAAACTTACCGAGTTCTGCGTTCCGTGTTCTTGATCTCCGCAGTGTAAATAGCGAAATTACCTTGTGCAGTCCTGTAGCTCAGCGGTTAGAGCACTCACCTCGCAAGCGACACGACCTGGGCTTGATTCCCAGGCGGGAGGAAAGGTTGGGAAAGTTCCCTTACTCCACACGACTCTGTTCATAAAGCAGTGAACAGTGAGAAACCTGGTTATCAGTCGATTGGTGGATCACTTTTCTGGAGGTAATAATCAATCAAAAAAAAGATGATAACAATAATTTGGTTACTCAATCCACGACTGTTTGTGGGGACACTGCCGTGTGCTATTGGCTGCTGCGTTTTGCCCACAAAATACAGTCAGTTCACTTTACAGTATATTCCGTGAGGAGCTTTGACTCGTGTAGAAGACATGAGGCACTGTATCAAATGCAAGGATTATTATTATTATTATTATTATTATTACTCTTACCTCACTCACAGTCCAATAGGAGTCTCCACTTTCTTTACAGTTCATATTGTAACTTGTCCTGAGCAGGTGCAGTGTCGTGAACTATGTCTGGACATGAAGAATGGTTTCAGCTGATTAAACTCCAGCAGTTACCGCAGCGCAAATAGAGACTAAGTTTGCGCAACCTGTACTCGCAATTTAACCCTTTAAGCCCTGCTACCACATTTACAGTGTCACAACACATCAGTCGTGTCTCTGAGACATTACACCATGGGTGTGGCATAAGGAAACTTACCCAAAGTTTTGCTTGCCCGGGAATCAAACCTCGGTCCTCTCACTTGCGAGTGCCTCTCACCAAGAAGCTACCCACTTGATGTTAGATTTACCAACCTGTTTGATGTTAAACTTACCTTTCTTTTCTTTCAAATAATGGCTTCACTGTTAGCTACTTGCCAATCCACAGGAATATTTCCTGAATTGACTGAAATTAACTTGCAAAACTTGCAATGAAATGTATCAGTCCCCATCTCCTTTAAGATTCAAATGGTATTCTTGTCTGGATAGCGAGGGTTCCTATCTTTGCTAGTTATGAAGAAATCCACCTTCTTTATCACAAATCTTGGCATTATTTACATACTGTGCATTTCTTGTTGTACATTTTCCTTGTAAATCTGATTTTAATTTATCCGTGGAATTAAAACAGGTTTCAGACTGACTCGGATGAGGCTTCAAGCCGCATTTCAGCACTTTTAGTGCATAGCCTAATCTAATAATAATAATAATCCTAGCATTTGATATGGCGCCTTCTCACATCTTCGAGACGTCTCAAAGCGCTTCACAGAATATACGGCATAGTGAATTGACTATATTTCATGGCAAAATGCGGCAGCCAATTGCGCACAGAATTGTCCCACAAACAGTCATAGATTGTTTTTTGAAGGGTTTATTACCCCCAGAAAAGTGATCAAAGTGATCCGCCAATCGACAAACAACCGGGTTCCTATTTACTGCTCGTTTAATAGAGGCGTCTGGAGTTAGGAAACTTGCCTAACGTTTTGCCTGGGAATCGACCCTGGGTCCTTTCACTTGCGAAGCTAGTGCTCAAACCATTGAGCTATAGGACTCTACAAAAGAAATCAGAGTCCCGGTTCCAGAGACAACATTCGCTTATTCGAGTTCCAGAAACAACAGGAAACTCTTGAGGCAGATCTTGGAAGAGGTGAAGGAAGAGGTGAGTCGAAGGGATTCCAGATGGAATTCCAAAGAGTGGGTAATTACACAGAAAGCTCGACTGTCAATGGCGAGGGGTAGGACAGGGGACATGAGGCAGGCTGGTGCCCATGAGAAGAGGAAGTCCTGTAGCTCAGTGGTTGGAGAACTTGTTTTGCAAGGGAGAGACCTGGGTTTGATTCCGGCAGGTCAGGGCGAAACCTTGGGCAAGTTTCCTTACTCCACACGCCTGATAATAATAATCCCTCAAGAAAAAAACAATAATAAAATTGGTCACTTCAATCCACGACTGTTTGTGGGGACGCTGCTGTGCACAATTGGCTGCCGCGTTTCGCCCGCAAATATACATTCAATTCACTTTACAGTATATTCTGTGAAGCGCTCTGAGATATGCGTGATATTAAATGCAAGGATTATTGGGAGCGGCGGGGTGGTGGGGGGGGGGTGTTGGGCTTGGCCTTCAGTCAGTGAAAGTTGCCAAACAAAACTGGAAGGAATTTTGCCACATTTTTTATTGCCAAACGATTTTCAGATAAGAAAGGACAGAGGTGATGAAAAGAACCAGTTCTGCTTGAAAAAGAACCCAGGAAGTAGTAACACACAACCTTCACAGGGTTTGCCACAATGTCGTGAGCAAACACAGCAACCAATTTGTGCACAGCAATGTCTCCCAAACAGCCATAGAATAAATGATCAATTTTCTCTGAAGGATTGTTGCCTAAAACCCACTTGGGAGTGAAATCAGGATGTAGTTTTTCATCCAAAGGCGAGTCGAAATCTTCAACATTCCTCCTGCCCCAAAAGGGTGGAGATGCTGGGTCCATTCACATTTTCAAGCCAGAAGTGGATAGATATTTATTAAGTCGGGGTATCAAGAGATGTGGGGCAGAGGCGGGTAATTGGAGCTCAGGTACAGATCAGGCATGATCTTATAAAATGGTGGAACAGGCTTGAGCGGTTGAATGGCCGGTTCCTGTTCCTACAGGACACCGGGAAAGAAAAACTCCATTCTCTTTCCCAATATTGGGTGTAGGGAGTCTTGCTGGGAGACAGGATAAGGGCTACATAGCTTTATAATGGGTGAGAGTTAGTGAGGGGTATCAGTAGGTAGTTCACTTGATTATCAAGCTATTACGGTGTTGGTGCAGGGAGTTCTGTTGTTTTACTTACCGTGATGCTTCGCTGGGGCAAAGTTTGGAATTCTGTTGTGAAGAAGCACTCTCTGGATCACTATTTGAGTGTTTACTTTTGAACAGTAACCCTTTGTTCAAAATCAAACACTCCCTGATAATAATCCTTGCATTTGATATAGGTTCACCTGACGAACACTGATTCCTCCCAGCCTGTCCGTCCCCAAAAAGACAATGAACTCCAACCACGAATCCCTTTATTTATAGATCTTTTTATTGTGAAACGTTCAAAAAAGATAATTTTAAATAAACATACTTTTCTCGCAGGTTTTTATGGATCTCATGGCAATCCGAGTGGGGTCAACCCAGGAACTGGTAAGGAGTTTGCACTTTCAGCAAATGTCCGGCAGGAAAGGGCACAGAATGACATTAACCCTTACAAAGAGCTTCACAGGAAATTGCCATCAATTGACTGTGTGTTCGGAGGCAGTTTGCACATCGCCAGGTCCTACAAACTGTAAATAATAGAAATAGTAAAATAACCCATGATTTGGTTCAGCACCTTTCACCCCAGAAGGGCGTCCTCATGCGCTTCACAGGATATACTGTAAAGTGAATTGACCGTATATTTTCTGGGAGACACATGGCAGCCGAATGAATGAAATGAATGAAATGTGTCAGTCCCCATCTCCTTTAAGATTCAAATGGTATTCTTGTCTGGATAGCGAGGGTTCCTATCTTTTCTAGTTATGAAGAAATCCACCTTCTTTATCACAAATCTTGGCATTATTTACATACTGTGCATTTCTTGTTGAAAATTTCCTTGTAAATCTGGTTTTAAGGTATTTCATTTATCCGTGGAATTAAAATAGGTTTCAGACTGACTCGGATGAGGCTTCAAGCCGCATTTCAGCACTTTTAGTGCATAGCCTAATCTAATAATAATAATAATCCTAGCATTTGATATGGCGCCTTCTCACATCTTCGAGACGTCTCAAAGCGCTTCACAGAATATACGGCATAGTGAATTGACTATATTTCATGGCAAAATGCGGCAGCCAATTGCGCACAGAATTGTCCCACAAACAGTCATAGATTGTTTTTTGAAGGGTTTATTACCCCCAGAAAAGTGATCAAAGTGATCCGCCAATCGACAAACAACCGGGTTGGTTCCTATTTACTGCTCGTTTAATAGAGGCGTCTGGAGTTAGGAAACTTGCCTAACGTTTTGCCTGGGAATCGACCCTGGGTCCTTTCACTTGCGAAGCTAGTGCTCAAACCATTGAGCTATAGGACTCTACAAAAGAAATCAGAGTCCCGGTTCCAGAGACAACATTCGCTTATTCGAGTTCCAGAAACAACAGGAAACTCTTGAGGCAGATCTTGGAAGAGGTGAAGGAAGAGGTGAGTCGAAGGGATTCCAGATGGAATTCCAAAGAGTGGGTAATTACACAGAAAGCTCGACTGTCAATGGCGAGGGGTAGGACAGGGGACATGAGGCAGGCTGGTGCCCATGAGAAGAGGAAGTCCTGTAGCTCAGTGGTTGGAGAACTTGTTTTGCAAAGGGAGAGACCTGGGTTTGATTCCCGGCAGGTCAGGGCGAAACCTTGGGCAAGTTTCCTTACTCCACACGCCTGATAATAATAATCCCTCAAGAAAAAAACAATAATAAAATTGGTCACTTCAATCCACGACTGTTTGTGGGGACGCTGCTGTGCACAATTGGCTGCCGCGTTTCGCCCGCAAATATACATTCAATTCACTTTACAGTATATTCTGTGAAGCGCTCTGAGATATGCGTGATATTAAATGCAAGGATTATTGGGAGCGGCGGGGTGGTGGGGGGGGGGGGTGTTGGGCTTGGCCTTCAGTCAGTGAAAGTTGCCAAACAAAACTGGAAGGAATTTTGCCACATTTTTTATTGCCAAACGATTTTCAGATAAGAAAGGACAGAGGTGATGAAAAGAACCAGTTCTGCTTGAAAAAGAACCCAGGAAGTAGTAACACACAACCTTCACAGGGTTTGCCACAATGTCGTGAGCAAACACAGCAACCAATTTGTGCACAGCAATGTCTCCCAAACAGCCATAGAATAAATGATCAATTTTCTCTGAAGGATTGTTGCCTAAAACCCACTTGGGAGTGAAATCAGGATGTAGTTTTTCATCCAAAGGCGAGTCGAAATCTTCAACATTCCTCCTGCCCCAAAAGGGTGGAGATGCTGGGTCCATTCACATTTTCAAGCCAGAAGTGGATAGATATTTATTAAGTCGGGGTATCAAGAGATGTGGGGCAGAGGCGGGTAATTGGAGCTCAGGTACAGATCAGGCATGATCTTATAAAATGGTGGAACAGGCTTGAGCGGTTGAATGGCCGGTTCCTGTTCCTACAGGACACCGGGAAAGAAAAACTCCATTCTCTTTCCCAATATTGGGTGTAGGGAGTCTTGCTGGGAGACAGGATAAGGGCTACATAGCTTTATAATGGGTGAGAGTTAGTGAGGGGTATCAGTAGGTAGTTCACTTGATTATCAAGCTATTACGGTGTTGGTGCAGGGAGTTCTGTTGTTTTACTTACTGTGATGCTTCGCTGGGGCAAAGTTTGGAATTCTGTTGTGAAGAAGCACTCTCTGGATCACTATTTGAGTGTTTACTTTTGAACAGTAACCCTTTGTTCAAAATCAAACACTCCCTGATAATAATCCTTGCATTTGATATAGGTTCACCTGACGAACACTGATTCCTCCCAGCCTGTCCGTCCCCAAAAAGACAATGAACTCCAACCACGAATCCCTTTATTTATAGATCTTTTTATTGTGAAACGTTCAAAAAAGATAATTTTAAATAAACATACTTTTCTCGCAGGTTTTTATGGATCTCATGGCAATCCGAGTGGGGTCAACCCAGGAACTGGTAAGGAGTTTGCACTTTCAGCGAATGTCCGGCAGGAAAGGGCACAGAATGACATTAACCCTTACAAAGAGCTTCACAGGAAATTGCCATCAATTGACTGTGTGTTCGGAGGCAGTTTGCACATCGCCAGGTCCTACAAACTGTAAATAATAGAAATAGTAAAATAACCCATGATTTGGTTCCGCACCTTTCACCCCAGAAGGGCGTCCTCATGCGCTTCACAGGATATACTGCAAAGTGAATTGACCGTATATTTTCTGGGAGACACATGGCAGCCGAATGAATGAAATGAATGAAATGTGTCAGTCCCCATCTCCTTTAAGATTCAAATGGTATTCTTGTCTGGATAGCGAGGGTTCCTATCTTTTCTAGTTATGAAGAAATCCACCTTCTTTATCACAAATCTTGGCATTATTTACATACTGTGCATTTCTTGTTGTACATTTTCCTTGTAAATCTGATTTTAATTTATCCGTGGAATTAAAATAGGTTTCAGACTGACTCGGATGAGGCTTCAAGCCACATTTCAGCACTTTTAGTGCATAGCCTAATCTAATAATAATAATAATCCTAGCATTTGATATGGCGCCTTCTCACATCTTCGAGACGTCTCAAAGCGCTTCACAGAATATACGGCATAGTGAATTGACTATATTTCATGGCAAAATGCGGCAGCCAATTGCGCACAGAATTGTCCCACAAACAGTCATAGATTGTTTTTTGAAGGGTTTATTACCCCCAGAAAAGTGATCCGCCAATCGACAAACAACCGGGTTGGTTCCTATTTACTGCTCGTTTAATAGAGGCGTCTGGAGTTAGGAAACTTGCCTAACGTTTTGCCTGGGAATCGACCCTGGGTCCTTTCACTTGCGAAGCTAGTGCTCAAACCATTGAGCTATAGGACTCTACAAAAGAAATCAGAGTCCCGGTTCCAGAGACAACATTCGCTTATTCGAGTTCCAGAAACAACAGGAAACTCTTGAGGCAGATCTTGGAAGAGGTGAAGGAAGAGGTGAGTCGAAGGGATTCCAGATGGAATTCCAAAGAGTGGGTAATTACACAGAAAGCTCGACTGTCAATGGCGAGGGGTAGGACAGGGGACATGAGGCAGGCTGGTGCCCATGAGAAGAGGAAGTCCTGTAGCTCAGTGGTTGGAGAACTTGTTTTGCAAGGGAGAGACCTGGGTTTGATTCCCGGCAGGTCAGGGCGAAACCTTGGGCAAGTTTCCTTACTCCACACGCCTGATAATAATAATCCCTCAAGAAAAAAACAATAATAAAATTGGTCACTTCAATCCACGACTGTTTGTGGGGACGCTGCTGTGCACAATTGGCTGCCGCGTTTCGCCCGCAAATATACATTCAATTCACTTTACAGTATATTCTGTGAAGCGCTCTGAGATATGCGTGATATTAAATGCAAGGATTATTGGGAGCGGCGGGGTGGTGGGGGGGGGGGGTGTTGGGCTTGGCCTTCAGTCAGTGAAAGTTGCCAAACAAAACTGGAAGGAATTTTGCCACATTTTTTATTGCCAAACGATTTTCAGATAAGAAAGGACAGAGGTGATGAAAAGAACCAGTTCTGCTTGAAAAAGAACCCAGGAAGTAGTAACACACAACCTTCACAGGGTTTGCCACAATGTCGTGAGCAAACACAGCAACCAATTTGTGCACAGCAATGTCTCCCAAACAGCCATAGAATAAATGATCAATTTTCTCTGAAGGATTGTTGCCTAAAACCCACTTGGGAGTGAAATCAGGATGTAGTTTTTCATCCAAAGGCGAGTCGAAATCTTCAACATTCCTCCTGCCCCAAAAGGGTGGAGATGCTGGGTCCATTCACATTTTCAAGCCAGAAGTGGATAGATATTTATTAAGTCGGGGTGTCAAGAGATGTGGGGCAGAGGCGGGTAATTGGAGCTCAGGTACAGATCAGGCATAATCTTATAAAATGGTGGAACAGGCTTGAGCGGTTGAATGGCCGGTTCCTGTTCCTACAGGACACCGGGAAAGAAAAACTCCATTCTCTTTCCCAATATTGGGTGTAGGGAGTCTTGCTGGGAGACAGGATAAGGGCTACATAGCTTTATAATGGGTGAGAGTTAGTGAGGGGTATCAGTAGGTAGTTCACTTGATTATCAAGGTATTACGGTGTTGGTGCAGGGAGTTCTGTTGTTTTACTTACCGTGATGCTTCGCTGGGGCAAAGTTTGGAATTCTGTTGTGAAGAAGCACTCTCTGGATCACTATTTGAGTGTTTACTTTTGAACAGTAACCCTTTGTTCAAAATCAAACACTCCCTGATAATAATCCTTGCATTTGATATAGGTTCACCTGACGAACACTGATTCCTCCCAGCCTGTCCGTCCCCAAAAAGACAATGAACTCCAACCACGAATCCCTTTATTTATAGATCTTTTTATTGTGAAACGTTCAAAAAAGATAATTTTAAATAAACATACTTTTCTCGCAGGTTTTTATGGATCTCATGGCAATCCGAGTGGGGTTGACCCAGGAACTGGTAAGGAGTTTGCACTTTCAGCGAATGTCCGGCAGGAAAGGGCACAGAATGACATTAACCCTTACAAAGAGCTTCACAGGAAATTGCCATCAATTGACTGTGTGTTCGGAGGCAGTTTGCACATCGCCAGGTCCTACAAACTGTAAATAATAGAAATAGTAAAATAACCCATGATTTGGTTCAGCACCTTTCACCCCAGAAGGGCGTCCTCATGCGCTTCACAGGATATACTGTAAAGTGAATTGACCGTATATTTTCTGGGAGACACATGGCAGCCGATAGCGCACAGCAGCGTCCTACAAACACGTGGATTGAGCTTTTCTTTGTGGAGAAATCATTAGTCCCAGAAAAGCAATCTCCCAATCGACTAACAACCGGGTTTCTATTTGCTGCGAGGTAATCAGAGGCGTGTGGGGTAAGGAATCTTGCCTAATGTCTCACCCTGTTCAGGAACTGAACCCAGATCCTCTCCGCTTGCGAGGCAAGTGCTCTGACCGCTGAGCTACAGGACTCCACAAATTTGACATACCTGAACCACAGGCTGCGCAGTATTATACGATGCCAAGGAAGGAGAAAATAGGTGAAAAGTTACTTGGAAAAGATGTAAAAAATCAATAAAGAAACGAACAGGAGCCGGAGATCACACCCTGCTCTGCGAGCTCCTCCATCCTCACAGTCCCTCAGTGTTCAGAGACGTCGAGAGCCACGGCGTCTCCAGGGGTCTCCGGTGTGAGGCTGCCCACCTCACTGTGCTCGCTGCCGTTGGCCTCGTCTTCGGACCCCGAATCCTGGTTGGAGGTTTTCCTACACCGTGTGGGGGATGAACCGTGGCCTCCCTGCACACCATGTCCGCTCCCCTCACCCCTCTTTCGGCTTGTGAGGAAGTTGCAGATCAGTCCGGCCCTCCGCGTGAATTCGTTATCGTTAAGCTTCAAATACTCCACACCTCCTGTGTTAGGGAGACATCCATTACAGCATTACTAGAGGGATTTACCAGAAACTGCAAAACTCATACGGCATATAATCACAGAAATTTTTCAAGCAAATAGTTGGTGCTCGCTCCCCCACTGGAGCGCTCTACTCCAACCCCATTCCCTGCTCTCTCTCTCTCTCCCCATCGTGTCTGTGCTGGGGCTCGCTCCCCCACTGGAGCTCTCTACTCTAATCCCATTCCCTGCTCTCTCTCTCTCTCCCCCCATGGTGTCTGTGCTGGGGCTCGCTCCCCCACTGGAGCGTTCTACTCCAACCCCATTCCCTGCTCTCTCTCTCTCTCCCCATCGTGTCTGTGCTGGGGCTCACTCCCCCACTGGAGCTCTCTACTCTAACCCCATTCTCTGCTCTTTGGGAAGATTGGTAAGGATTTTTAGTAGGTTACAAAGGTAGGGAGGAGCAAAACCGTGGAGGTCTTTGAAAGCGAGGATTTTAAACTCTATTCTCTGGTGGATGGGGAGCCAGTGAAGCTGGACGAGGATGGGGGGTGATCGGCCTCCCCCCCACACACATATTTTGCTCATCTCCACAGCACCTGACAAGCCCACCATAGCCAGACCACAGGCTTGGTCCAACAGACCACCCTTGGTGGTGAAAGGGAGTTTTATTACCTCCCGGACAGTGAGCCACCAATCGACTAACCACCGGGATCCTACTCACTGCAGGTAAACAGAGGCGTGTGGAGTAGGAAACCTGCCGAACATTTCACCCTGCACGGGAATCTAACCCGAAACCTCTCGTTTGCAAGACAAGTGCTCTATCCGCTGAGCTACAGGACTGGGTGAGGTGCCAGTAGGCCTACAGGGCTTGTGGCGCTCAACTCCTGTGACAGTCCGTTCCTTTCGTAAAGGACAGAGCCAGAGGAGAGCCTGAAGCAAAATAACCTGCGCTCTCGTCTCCCTCCTTGTCACTGAGGAACGTTCGCTTCATCAGCAGCTTCTTCGCCGTGTGGCATTTGTACTTCAGCAGCGGTTTATCCTCCGCCTCGGGATCTGCAACACAACAACGGAGCAAGTGAGGCTTTTCTGCGACATGTGCATCCGTGAAACTCCTCTGGAGGACGGTGGAGAGGTGCAGCACCACCGTACATACACCTGACAGAGGGCGTCACAGTAATGTACCGACACTGCCACATTTGCCCCAATAATGCTCAGTGAGTCCACTGTACAGTGTATCCTGTGAAGCGCTTTGAGACGTCTTGACATAAGGCGCCACATCCAATGTAACTACGAGGATTCTTTCCTCTCCTCGGGCTGTCAACACGGCGCTGGAAGTGAACGTGTTCCGCGCTCCCATTCTCGTCGGGCAAACTTACCGTGCTCCGAATCCTCTTCAAATATAATGCAGGTTCCCAGCACGTCTGGCAACGAAATGACAAGGTTAGTGGTGGCCCCAGCCCCTAACCACCCCCCCACCCCCACCCCACCCCCACCACACACAACGCAAACGGTGTACACACTATCACACCACTACACACGGTCACACTGCTGTACACACACACACACACACACACACACACCATGGTCAAATCCTTTCTGTGGTCGCAGCCGCTGTCATAAAACTTTGCCCATAAAATAAAACACAAACCTTCGTACTCTCCAGCAAAGACACACCTGTCCACCTGTATGACGGGCTGGTCAGTGTCAATGCCCTGCGCGGAGAGAAAAAGTGTGAATCATTGACGGGATATTACAGATGCCTGTGACTGTGTGGTTACTGTCTCTGGCTGTTACAGACAGTCTGTGTCTGTGGGGTTACTGTCTGTGGCTGTTACAGACAGTCTGTGTGGTTACTGTCTCAGGCTGTTACAAACAGTCTGTGTGGTTACTGTCTGTGGCTGTTACAGACAGTCTGTGTGGTTACTGTCTGTGGCTGTTACAGACAGTCTGTGTGGTTACTGTCTGTGGCTGTTACAGACAGTCTGTGTGGTTACTGTCTGTGGCTGTTACAGACAGTCTGTGTGGTTACTGTCTCAGGCTGTTACAGACAGTCTGTGTGGTTACTGTCTGTGGCTGTTACAGACAGTCTGTGTGGTTACTGTCTGTGGCTGTTACAGACAGTCTGTGTGGTTACTGTCTCTGGCTGTTACAGACAGTCTGTGTGGTTACTGTCTGTGGCTGGCTTTACAGACAGTCTGTGTGTTACTGTCTGGCTGTTACAGACAGTGTGTCTGTGTGGTTACTGTCTGTGGCTGTTACAGACAGTCTGTGTGGTTACTGTCTGTGGCTGTTACAGACAGTCTGTGTGGTTACTGTCTGTGGCTGTTACAGACAGTCTGTGTGGTTACTGTCTGTGGCTGTGACAGACAGTCTGTGTGTTACTGTCTGTGGCTGTGACAGACAGTCTGTGTGGTTACTGTCTGTGGCTGTTACAGACAGTCTGTGTGGTTACTGTCTGTGGCTGTTACAGACAGTCTGTGTGGTTACTGTCTGTGGCTGTTACAGACAGTCTGTGTGGTTACTGTCTGTGGCTGTTACAGACAGTCTGTGTGGTTACTGTCTGTGGCTGTTACAGACAGTCTGTGTGGTTACTGTCTGTGGCTGTTACAGACAGTCTGTGTGGTTACTGTCTGTGGCTGTTACAGACAGTCTGTGTGGTTACTGTCTGTGGCTGTTACAGACAGTCTGTGTGGTTACTGTCTGTGGCTGTTACAGACAGTCTGTGTGGTTACTGTCTGTGGCTGTTACAGACAGTCTGTGTGGTTACTGTCTGTGGCTGTTACAGACAGTCTGTGTGGTTACTGTCTGTGGCTGTTACAGACAGTCTGTGTGGTTACTGTCTGTGGCTGTTACAGACAGTCTGTGTGGTTACTGTCTGTGGCTGTTACAGACAGTCTGTGTGGTTACTGTCTGTGGCTGTTACAGACAGTCTGTGTGGTTACTGTCTGTGGCTGTTACAGACAGTCTGTGTGGTTACTGTCTGTGGCTGTTACAGACAGTCTGTGTGGTTACTGTCTGTGGCTGTTACAGACAGTCTGTGTGGTTACTGTCTGTGGCTGTTACAGACAGTCTGTGTGGTTACTGTCTGTGGCTGTTACAGACAGTCTGTGTGGTTACTGTCTGTGGCTGTTACAGACAGTCTGTGTGGTTACTGTCTGTGGCTGTTACAGACAGTCTGTGTGGTTACTGTCTGTGGCTGTTACAGACAGTCTGTGTGGTTACTGTCTGTGGCTGTTACAGACAGTCTGTGTGGTTACTGTCTGTGGCTGTTACAGACAGTCTGTGTGGTTACTGTCTGTGGCTGTTACAGACAGTCTGTGTGGTTACTGTCTGTGGCTGTTACAGACAGTCTGTGTGGTTACTGTCTGTGGCTGTTACAGACAGTCTGTGTGGTTACTGTCTGTGGCTGTTACAGACAGTCTGTGTGGTTACTGTCTGTGGCTGTTACAGACAGTCTGTGTGGTTACTGTCTGTGGCTGTTACAGACAGTCTGTGTGGTTACTGTCTGTGGCTGTTACAGACAGTCTGTGTGGTTACTGTCTGTGGCTGTTACAGACAGTCTGTGTGGTTACTGTCTGTGGCTGTTACAGACAGTCTGTGTGGTTACTGTCTGTGGCTGTTACAGACAGTCTGTGTGGTTACTGTCTGTGGCTGTTACAGACAGTCTGTGTGGTTACTGTCTGTGGCTGTTACAGACAGTCTGTGTGGTTACTGTCTGTGGCTGTTACAGACAGTCTGTGTGGTTACTGTCTGTGGCTGTTACAGACAGTCTGTGTGGTTACTGTCTGTGGCTGTTACAGACAGTCTGTGTGGTTACTGTCTCAGGCTGTTACAGACAGTCTGTGTGGTTACTGTCTGTGGCTGTTACAGACAGTCTGTGTGGTTACTGTCTGTGGCTGTTACAGACAGTCTGTGTGGTTACTGTCTGTGGCTGTTACAGACAGTGTGTGTGGTTACTGTCTGTGGCTGTTACAGACAGTCTGTGTGGTTACTGTCTGTGGCTGTTACAGACAGTCTGTGTGGTTACTGTCTGTGGCTGTTACAGACAGTCTGTGTGGTTACTGTCTGTGGCTGTTACAGACAGTCTGTGTGGTTACTGTCTGTGGCTGTTACAGACAGTCTGTGTGGTTACTGTCTGTGGCTGTTACAGACAGTCTGTGTGGTTACTGTCTGTGGCTGTTACAGACAGTCTGTGTGGTTACTGTCTGTGGCTGTTACAGACAGTCTGTGTGGTTACTGTCTCAGGCTGTTACAGACAGTCTGTGTGGTTACTGTCTGTGGCTGTTACAGACAGTCTGTGTGGTTACTGTCTGTGGCTGTTACAGACAGTCTGTGTGGTTACTGTCTGTGGCTGTTACAGACAGTCTGTGTGGTTACTGTCTGTGGCTGTTACAGACAGTCTGTGTGGTTACTGTCTGTGGCTGTTACAGATAGTCTGTGTGGTTACTGTCTGTGGCTGTTACAGACAGTCTGTGTGGTTACTGTCTGTGGCTGTTACAGACAGTCTGTGTGGTTACTGTCTGTGGCTGTTACAGACAGTCTGTGTGGTTACTGTCTGTGGCTGTTACAGACAGTGTGTGTGGTTACTGTCTGTGGCTGTTACAGACAGTCTGTGTGGTTACTGTCTGTGGCTGTTACAGACAGTCTGTGTGGTTACTGTCTGTGGCTGTTACAGACAGTCTGTGTGGTTACTGTCTGTGGCTGTTACAGACAGTCTGTGTGGTTACTGTCTGTGGCTGTTACAGACAGTCTGTGTGGTTACTGTCTGTGGCTGTTACAGACAGTCTGTGTGGTTACTGTCTGTGGCTGTTACAGACAGTCTGCTGTGCGGGGCCCAAACTCACCACAATTTTGCACTTGTTCTGACATTTCAACAGGAAATCGGGGTCAATGATCCCCGAGAGTTCCACCACCAGCAGCTGATCCTACAGCGACACAGCGACACAGCGACACAGAGACGTGAGGGAGAGAAACGGTGAGAAGAGACAATCCTGGAAGGTATTCAGTGGTTTCGGCGACGGCCGCGTCACGATATCACTGTTAATTATTAATCCTTGTGTTCGACACAGCGCCCGATCACGTCGTCAAGACGTCACAAAGCGCTTCACAGGGGGTACACTGTAAGGTGTAGTGACTGTGTGCTGGTGAGCGGAACGTGGCAGCCAAGTGTGCCCACCGGGCGTCCCCCCCCCCCCCACACACACACACACACACACACACAGCCGTGGGTTGAGTGGCCAAATTATTATTATTATTATTATTATTATTATTATTATTATTATTATTATTATTATTATTATTATTATTTTGAAGGGATTATTACCCCCCAATCACCACTGAGCTCCGCGGGGGGGGGGGGGGGGGCGGCCATATTAATTGTTATTGGTTGGATTGTTGGTTGTTGTTATTGGGTTGTAGCTCTTCTGTTGGGCTGTGCTTTATGGGGTGGGGTGGGGCGGGCGGGGGAGGGGGGACTGTGGGGGGGGGTGGGGCGAGGGGCTTGGAGGGGGAGGGGGAGGGGGACCTGTGGGGTGGAGGGGCTGAGGGGGGACGGGGGGGGCTTTGTGGGGGGAGGGGGCTGTGGGGGGGAGGGGCTTGAGGGGGGGAGGGGCTGTGGGGGGGGGAGGGGGGGGAAGGGGCTGTGGCGGTGGGGAGGGGGAGGGAGGGGGACGAAAAGAGCTTCCAATTCAACCCCACTCCCCCGCGCTCTCCCATCGCCCCGATCAACCCCACTCCCCCGCGCTCTCCCCATCAGCCCCGATCAACCCCACTCCCCCCGCGCTCCCCATCGCCCCGATCAACCCCACTCCCCCCATAGCCCCGATCAACCCCACTCCCCCGCGCTCTCCCCATCGCCCCGATCAACCCCACTCCCCCGCGCTCTCCCCATAGCCCCGATCAACCCCACTCCCCCGCGCTCTCCCCATCACCCCACCCCCCCGCTCTCTCCCCAGCCCCGATCAACCCCACTCCCCCCGCGCTCTCCCCATAGCCCCGATCAACCCCACTCCCCCCGCGCTCTCCCCATCGCCCCGATCAACCCCACTCCCCCGCGCTCTCCCCATCAGCCCCGATCAACCCCACTCCCCCGCGCTCTCCCCACGCCCCGATCAACCCCACTCCCCCCGCGCTCTCCCCATCGCCCCGATCAACCCCACTCCCCCCGCGCTCTCCCCATAGCCCGATCAAAACCCCACTCCCCCCGCGCTCCCCATCGCCCCGATCAACCCCACTCCCCCCGCGCTCTCCCCATCGCCCCGATCAACCCCACTCCCCCCGCGCTCTCCCCATCGCCCCGATCAACCCCACTCCCCCCGCGCTCTCCCCATCGCCCCGATCAACCCCACTCCTCCGCGCTCTCCCCATCGCCCGATCAACCCCACTCCCCCCGCGCTCTCCCCATCGCCCCGATCAACCCCACTCCCCCCGCGCTCTCCCATCGCCCCGATCAACCCCACTCCCCCTGCCGCTCTCCCCATCCCCCGATCAACCCCACCCCCCGCTCTCTCCCCATACGCCCTGATCAACCCCACCCCCCCCTCTCTCCCCATACCCCTGATCAACCCCACTCCCCGCTCTCTCCCCATAGCCCGATCAACCCCACTCCCCCGCCTCTCCCATAGCCCCGATCAACCCCACTCCCCCGCGCTCTCCCCATCGCCCCGATCAACCCCACTCCCCTGCGCTCTCCCCATCGCCCCGATCAACCCCACTCCCCCGCTCTCTCCCCATAGCCCTGATCAACCCCACCCCCCCGCTCTCTCTCCCCATAGCTCTGCAAACTTGTCCCCAAATAATTATCTTCTCTCTTAAAAGCCGTTACGGAATCGGTTCCCACCGGCCTTTCAGGCAACGCATTCCAGATCCCAACAACTCGCTGCGTGAACACATTTCTCCTCCTCTCCCCTCTGTTTCTTTTACCAACTGTTTTAAATGGGGTGTCCTCGGGTCACCGACCCACCCGCCAGTGGGAATAGTGTCTCCTTGTTCACCCGATCGAATCCCCTCATCATTTTGAAAACTCCTATTAAGTCTCCTCTTAACCTTCTCTGCTCCGAGGACAGTAATCCCGGCTTCTCTGCCTCTCCTGGTCACTGAAGCCCCTCATTCCTGGTACCATCCTGGGAAATCTCCTTTGCTGTGTTGTAATGTTTTACCCAATCGTTTTGTCAATTCGTTTAATAGATATTTAGTAGAAAGGCATTCAGTCAGAGACAATCCCTCACTCCGCTTCCAACCGATTCCAACCCCAAAACATCTCGTCTCAACCGCACAAGAAGAGAGTTCCCAATCCTGTCCTTTCAAATATATATTGACAATAGCTCTCAGTGTAACTTATCAAACGTACATTGGCGTAATTTTAAAAACTTGCCGCACAAACTCTTGCAGTAGACAAACGTGTTTCCTTTCAGCTCTTGTCCTCTCCTTTCCCACAGCAGTGCCGCATCGCTGAGAGCTCTTTTCCACGACTCCCGTCTGCCTTCACGGACATCTGTCATTGGGAAGTAATTCAGAAGATAGTGCACTGTTGAGGTGGACGTCAAAGATCCCACAGCGCTGTTGGGAAAAGAGAACGAAGTCCCTCTCTCTCTCTCTCTCTCTCTCTCTCTCCCGGTGACAATCCCTCCCAAATAAAGTCAGTCACTCACTCTGTCAACCGTTTAGGTGAAACACAGTGTGTTGGCGTCTCTCTCTCTCTCTCTCTCTCTCTCTCGCCCCGGGTGGGGCCTCACAACTCGATGGTGTCGCTGTTGACGCTGAGTTGGTCGATTTGCCGGCAGATCTGCACGAACTCCGCGGTGTCGCCGGCGGTGCCGGGGCGAGGGGCGCCATTTGCCGAGCCCCCGCGCCCCTGGCCGCCGAGCTCGGGGCTTGGCGGGCAGGCGGACAGCACCAGGCACGAGCCGGAGGGGCTGAAACAGTCCAAGGCTCCGTGTCGATCGGCGGCCACGGACACGTCCCCTCCCAGCTCGGGCCCTCCCGCGCTGTGTAACCGCGGGCGACGGAACAGGCTCCCGGGGAGCAGCGCCTCGTCGATGCTGCGTCGCAGGTCGATGGGCGATGGAGGGCGTAGGTCAACACTGGAGTCACCGGTCACCCTGACGACCGAGAAGGAGGAGGAGGAAGGGGCCGGGGACGAGCCCTCGTGTTGGGTGGTCTCGGCCTGGGTGGTCTCGCTGCTGTGGTAAATCAGGTTGAGTCTCTCCCCGTTCCCGAGCGGAGGGTCCGCTAGGCTGTAGAGCTGAAGGCCGAGGGGCTTCTCCTGGTTGCCGCTCGCCCAGTTATACTGGGCCGACAAGATGGGAGCCTTCATTGAGGCGTGAGCAGGAGAGAGGCCGAAGACTTTGGCCCAGCAGCTGTGGCCTGGAGGCCTCCCAACAAGCCCCAGCAATGGGTACAGGCCAACCAGGGCCAGGCTCAGGCACAGGCCCCCCTCGCACAGGCTCCCGCACAGCTGCAAGGCCCACCAAGGCCAGGCTGGGAAGGCCTGAGGCCCAGCCAGGCCCAGCCACCGCAGGACACAATACAGCCTGACGCCCGCACAGCACAAGCCGAAGCCTGATGCCCAGGCCCCGGCCTGCACCGCCAGGCCCCACTCCCTCCGCTCGGGACTGAATAGGCCCGAATCGAGTGGGGAGGCTTCAGCCCGCTGGTAGGCCCGGCGGGAACGACAGTAAAAGGTCAAGTAGAGGATGGAGAGCGCGGACACCCAGAGTACAAACAAGACCTGGGAGGCGAGGAGCAGGAACGGGGAGAGGTCAAGCAGCACACAGCCCAGGACAGCGCTGAGCGAGAGAGCACAGTGGAACCCAGCGAGCGAGGCCAGGAGGCAGGCGCGGGGGCACCAGTAGCCCAAGACCTGGGGCCCGGGTCCCAACCACAGCAGCAGGAACACCACCCCCAGGGCGGAGGCGAGGAAGGGGGAGACCAGCTCATACAGGAGCAAAGCAACGAGCGCCGGCAGATTTTCCCGGTGGCCATAAGTGTCGTAGAGGAAGGTGAAGGCCCGGGAGAAGCCGCTGAGCAACAGCAGCACCTCCGCCAGCAGCAGGAAGCCCAGCCTTGGGGGGGGAGGCGATCGGAAGGGGAGGCAGAGGAGGCCAAGCGAGGAGGCCAGAGACACGAGGCCGAACACAGCCCCCAACCCGTACACGTGCAGTTCCCAGGCCACCCCCCACTCCGCCAGTGCCGTGCTCCACTCCACACCCAGCGACACGAACAATGGCGGGAGGGGGAGGTGGAGGAGGCCGGTCTGGGTCCCCTCAGGGTACGGGGTCACGGAGGCTGCCCCATCACTGCTGTTCCCCCTCAGACTGCAGGTGGGCAAAGTGGGCACCGCTCCCGGCTCCTCTCCTGTCAGCCGCTTCTCACCACGGGCATCACCTGGGCCGAGGGAAAGACACACAAACACAGTGGGAGACTCACACACTCACAGTAAAGCTCTCTCTACACTGTCCGTCAGTCCACACTCCCAGGTAAGTGACAGCTGGTGACCATTTCCCTGTATTTCCAGCCCCTTGGGACGTCCTCCCGACGTGAAAGCCGCTCATAAATGTAATTTTTTTGTGGCTGGCGTCGTGACTTGGCCAAGGCTTTGGGGACCTGCGGTGCTGTCTACCTGTCACCTCACTGCCAGTGGAGGGCACTGTCACACCACTCTTTCCATTCCATTCCAGCCCCTGTGCCGACGTTCCCAGTGAAATACTTTTTGCCCGAGCTGGGAATCTGACACACCACCGTCACTTAAGAGTCTCCAAACCCAACTGAGAATTCCCTGCACCCCCACCCACACATGGAAAACCAGAGAGAGATTGCGGGAATGGAATGCGCTCTCTCTCTCTCTCTCTCTCTCCCTGGAGGAACGCTTCCTCCTTACCTAATTCCGGAGAGTATTAGGCGTAGGTTTGGCCGTATGATAATAGAAATCCTTGCGTTTGATACAGCACCTTATCAGTGTGGCTAAAGAGTAAAATGCGGTCACCCTGACCATTTCCCCCCTCCTCGCTCCTTCTCTCCCCTCACCCTGACCATTCCCCCACCCCCCCCCCACCCCCAAGGATCGGCTCGGGTCCTGACCCAACTGTCCGGCGCCCCGGGACGTCCTCCCGACGTGAAAGGCGCTCTATAGATGGAATCTTGTTGTTGTTGTTGTAGGTGGCACGTGGGGGATTCTCAGCTTGGTTTGGAGGCGCAGTGATTGGCTTCCACGTGTGTCAGACACCACGCTGGGCAAACGCAGCGAGTGGAACATGTGCTGGTTGCTGATCTCCGTCTTCTCCCTCCCCAGGGAATCACTGACAGGATCATGATCTGCCCAGAATACTGATGTCAGCCGCAGTGTAAGGGACGAGCTCACGTTAGCATTCCCCTCACATTCCTGCTCATTATTCTCCTCCTCTGAGCTGTCACCTTCATCTGCCCTTCAGTCAGCGAGAGGGGGAGAGCGCTGGAGACTCCTGCAGCACTCTCAGCTCCCCCCTTTAATAATAATAATAATAATAATAATAATAATCCTTGCAATTGATACAGGGTCTTATCACGTCTTCGAAACAAAGCGCTCTACAGAACAAACTGTAAAGTGTAGTGACTGTGCATTTTGTGGGCGAAACCCGGAAGCCAATTGTGCTAATTGCGCACAGCACTGTCCCACAGACATCGCGGATTGAGTGACTAAATTATTACATATTTATTTTTGAAGGGATTATTAACTCCCCCGGAAAAGCAATCCACCAGTCGACTAACAACTTACTGCTGGATGAGCAGAGGTGTGTGGAGTAAGGTCACTCGCCTAAAGTTTTGCCCTGTGCGGGAATTGAACCCAGGTCCTCTCGCGTGCGAGTCGAGTGCTCTAAGCGCTGAGCTGCAGAACTATAATAAAAGAGGGCGCTCACCTGCTGTGGTGCTTTGTGCTGTCTGATGGGTTTGGTTGCTCGCTTGTGGTGGCTTTGTGGGAGTTGGGTGGCTCTCAGTTGGATGGGTTGGAGTGGGCGACGATTTGTAGTTTGGTATTACTTCCGAAGATGCCCTTGTTCCCTCGCTGGGTGAGGGTCCCGTCCCCACTGTGTTGCCCCCGGTGATGGTATCACCAGGTGGCACGGCTGTCGCAGAGCGGCTGACATCACCAGGCTCAGCCGTCGTGTGGTCAGTGGCCGCCGGACGAACAGTGGCCGGTTCCGTGGCTGCCCCCGAGCGGGGGGCCGGGCTCGAGAATCCTGGCGGAGGTTGGGAAACGAACGAAGGCACCATGTGGCTACTGACTGACATGTCGGGGGTGGTCTGTGGAGGGGTCTCTCTCTGGCTCGGGGTCTCGGGAGTGTGAGAGGGTGTCTGCACAGTGACCCAGCGCTCAGGGGAGCCGGGAAAGGTATAAATCGGGGAAACAGAGTGTTCAGAGGGCATGTCCTGAGGGGAGAGTCGGGGACCATTTTGTGTTGCTGGGTCTAAAGGATTGGGAGACGGTTCCCCTGTGGAGGAAGCCCACCAATGACTGGGGTCAGTCAGGCCGGAGGCTTCAATCTCGGAGTGTTCCTCGCTTCCCGACGTTCCTATGTCCAGCTGCTCCAGTTGTGGGTTCAAGCCGAACACTCGCTGGTTGAACAGGACACCGCTCTTGGCCTTGTCATCAGGCCCCACCCTGAGGCGAGGCTGCATTGACCAGGTCCCCAGGCCACTGGACCCTGTGGCCACGCCCCAACTCGTCACCAACTCGCCGGCCCCTGTCTCTTCAGGCAGTGCTGGAGAAGCCAGAGAGGCCAACAAAGGCTCCTCTGTTGCCTCGGGCAACCCTGAAGGTGTCAACGATAGCCCGATGGTCAAGTCCTTATGACTGCGGATGGTGAAAGAGTCAGAGGCCTGGGAGTGAGGGGCCTGGGAGTGAGGGGCCTGGGAGTGAGGGGCCTGGGAGGAGAGCTGGTGGGTTTGATGGACCTCACGACGCTTCACTGCAAGAGCCGCCATTTTCGTTTCCAGTATCAGGGATGAAATAATATTCATGATGAGGACCCTTTGGCACAGCATGCTGATGGGTTTGCAGGATGTTGTCTCTCTGAATGTTGTTGTCTCTGGCTGTCCACGGCCCTGGATTAAAACAATATTCAGTTATTCAGGGGCGAAAGGGCTTTGTGATAAAGCATTATATCAAACATAAGGATTATTGTTATCACTAATACTCTTCTACTTGGGGAAAAAAAAATCTTTCACCTCCTAATCTCTCCCAATGACAATCCTGAGTTCATGTCCGGTTGTTAGTGGACGCATTCGTCACCTCAAGGCTCGACTACGGAAACTCTCTCATTGTCGGCCTCCCCCAACTTTTCCCTCCACGAGCTGCAGAGCATCCAGAACTCCGCAGCTCGTGTCCTCTCCCGCACCAGGCTCCGTGACTCCCATCACCCCCACCCTCGCCCGACTCCACTGGCTCCCCATCCCTCAGAGGATAGAATTCAAAACCCTCGTCCTCACTTCCAAGGCCCTCCACGGCCTCGCCCCCTCCTACATTTCTGACTTGCTGACTCCCTATCAACCTGTCCGCTCCCTCCGCTCAGGAGGCTCCGGCCTGCTCCACGACATTACATTGCTCTTTTCAAAGAGCCAGCACAGACTCGATGGGCCGAATGGCCTCTTTTTGTGCTGTACGATTCTATGATCCTATGCCTCCCGCCCGACCTGCCCTACCATCAGTGGTCGGGGTTTCAGGCTCTCTGTCCCCACCTTTGGAACCCCATCCCACGATCTCTTCCCCTCGCTCCCCCCTCCTGCCTCCTTCAGCCGCCCTCCTACCCCCTCTGCCCTCCCTCATCCCAACCCTGCTCGGACCCTGATCCCTGACTGTTCAGCGCCTTGGGGTGTCCTCCCGACGTGAAAGTATTCACAAATGTCATTTTGTTTTTGTTTGTTGTTTGTGTCTCATCAACCAGGGGAGTCATTTTTCACTGTGGCTCAGTGGTTGGAGCTCTCGCAAGCGATGGGACCCGGGTTCGATTCCTGGGCAGACAAAACATTAGGCAGTTTCCTTACTCCACGCGCCTCTGTTTACCCGGAGGTAAGTAGGAACCCAGTTGTTAGTCGATGGGCGGATCACTTTCCGGGGGTAATAATCCCTTCAAAAAATAAAATGTGGTCACTCAGCCCATTGGGGCATTGATGTGCGCAATTGGTCAACTCACTTCGCAGTATATCCTGCGAAGCGCTTTGAGACGTCTTGAAGGCGTGAGAAGGCGCTGTGTCAAACACAAGGGTTATTATTGTTATTATTAACGTGGTTTTGCCTCAGTGGGATTCTGCACAGTAGGCAGAACGGGGATGGACTGGGGCCCTGGGATCTCACTCCCAGACGGCGGAGTGTCTGATTAGATTATTTCCGAACAAATGCCGGTGGGATTCCAACACACAATCGGGTGACATAACGTCCCCTTGTTCCCATTGTGGGCATTTCAATGGTCAAAAAAAAACATTAATAGAGGCACTCACTGTTTGCTCCGCGCAGTCAATGCTGTTACTCACACACACACACACACACACACTCACATTCACACGCACAGTCACTGCTGTTACACACACACAGTCACTGCTGTTACACACACACAGTCAATGCTGTTACACACACAGTCACTGCTGTTACACACACACAGTCACTGCTGTTACACACACACAGTCAATGCTGTTACACACACACAGTCAATGCTGTTACACACACACAGTCAGTGCTGTTACACACACACAGTCACTGCTGTTACACACACACAGTCAGTGCTGTTACACACACACAGTCAATGCTGTTACACACACACAGTCACTGCTGTTACACACACACAGTCACTGCTGTTACACACACACAGTCAATGCTGTTACACACACACAGTCACTGCTGTTACACACACACAGTCAATGCTGTTACACACACACAGTCACTGCTGTTACACACACACAGTCAATGCTGTTACACACACACAGTCAATGCTGTTACACACACACAGTCAGTGCTGTTACACACACACAGTCACTGCTGTTACACACACACAGTCAATGCTGCTACACACACACAGTCACTGCTGTTACACACACACAGTCACTGCTGTTACACACACACAGTCAGTGCTGATATACACACACACAAGTACAGTTCAGTGCTGTTACTGTCACACACACATAAAAATAATCCTTGCATTTGATATAACGCCTTATCACGTCAGAAGGACGTCCCAAAGTGCTTCACGGAATATACTGTGGAATGGAGTGACGATGCAAATGCGGCAGCCGATTGATTCACACACACACAGAGTTATTTAACCTCTTCGGTGGGCTCTCTTAGACAGATCACTCGCCTCTGAGTCAGACATTGGTAGCTTCAAGCCTCCCCCCACCTCCCCCATCCCCCACCACACGTCGGGACTTTGAGCTCCGAGCCCAGGCAGACGCTCCAGTGCAGCACTGGGGGGAGAAAATAATAATAATAATAATAATAATAATAATCCTTGCATTTGATATAGCGCTTTTCACGTCGGGAGGACGTCCCCCAAAAAAAAGAGAGAGAGAGAGAGAGAGAGAGCGCTGCATTGTCAGAGATGTCGTCCTTCGAAGAGACGTTAAACCTCACTCCCTGTCTGTGCCCTGTTCAGGCGCACGTTAAAGATCCTCGAAGAGAGAAGGAAATTTTCGCTCTCTCACCCGGACAACAACCACAACAACAACAACAAGATTACATTTGTATAGCGCCTTTCACGTCGGGACAACAATCCCCCTCCCCCAGATAAGATCACTTGCTCCCTCTACAACAGTTTGAGGGGACATTGCAGTGTGCAACTTTGGCTGCTGCGAATTGCAAACAAAACACACAGTCATTACACTTTACAGCGAATCCTGTGAAGCGCTCTGAGACGTCCGCCTGACGTGAAAGGCGCTGTGTGAAATGCAAGGATTATTATGATGATGATGTCGATATCAGTCTGTGTCTCCCTCTCTCCCTCTCTCCCTCTCTCCCTCTCTCTCCCTCTCTCCCTGGGCACTTTGCGAATCGATTCCTCTCACAGAGACACTGTAGAGGAATGTGAAGGTGGTGTCTGGATTCTGTGAAACATTAAATTGTTCCCTCTATCTCTCACCCCCCAAGAACGTCACCACCAACCTTCCCATCCCGGGAGTGCGTAGGGGCTGTGACCACTCTAGTTTACATGCCGAATACCCTCCAGGTCTGTGATCTCTCAACAAACACACACACAGATCCACAGTGATACACAGTGATATTGCGCCCCCCCCCCCCCCCCCCCCCCACACACACACACACAGTTAAGCTGATATTGTCCCCCACCGCACACACACACACACACACACACACACACAGATACCCAGTTACACAGATATTGCCCACTGTACACATACACAGACTTGCACTGCTATTGCCACCCCCTACAAACACACACATAGACACAGTGATACACACTGATATTGTCCCCACATACAGCACACACACGTATATACACACACGCGCACGCGCGCACACACAGCCCCTGTTACCTGGCTCCACAGCACCGCCGGCTTTGCCCGATGGTAATTATTTTCTCTCTCTCCCTCGGCTCGCACAGACCGGTGGTTCTGCCCTGATGGTCCCAAAGCTCCGCTCCACTGAGCAAATTTCTTCAATAGCATCAGCTGTCTGTACCAGAGCCGGGCTGAACACTGGGAAACAGGCGGGAGGGGAGGGGAGGGGAGGGGGAGAGAGGAAGGAGAGGGTGGGAGCCAATTCAGCCCTCCCATTGTGTATGCACAGGACAAGTGGGGGGGGGGGGGGGGAGAGGAAAGTGCGGTGGGGAGGGTGGTGGGGGGGGGGGCAGAGAGAGACCGCTGCTCGTCTCCTCGCACAACTCGGCCGAGACGCGGAATGTACCAGAGTACCGTGGACGGGAAAACGGCGCACATTACAACCGAGCCAAGCCGAGAGGTCAAAGGCTCCCAGCTCGTCTGCCAGCCAGCCAGACACGGGCAGCGGTAATCAGTTCCCCCGGCGCAATAATCAATAACCTGGCCATTTTGGCGCACAGTTATGTCCCACATGCACAGCCACAAGGTGAATGTACAGGCCTGTCGCTCAGTGGTTAGACCCCTCGCCTCGTAAGCGAGAGGACCCGGGTTCGAGCAGGACAAAACCTTGGGCAAGTTTCCTGACTCCACACGCCTCTGTTTACCAGCACTGAGTAGGAACCCGGTTGTTAATTGATGGACGGATCACTTTCTGGGGGTAATAATCCCTCCCAAAAACCTATATTTGGTCACTCAATCCACTAGTGTTTGTGTGGGACGCTGCTGTGGGCAATTGGCTGCCGCGTTTCACCCACAAAATACACAGGCAATTCACTTTAGTGTATATTCCGTGAAGCGCTTTGAGACATCTCGAAGATGTGATTTGGCGCTGTGTCAAACACAAGGATTGGATGGGACGGCGAAGTTTGGTTTGGGGACAGAGCGTAAAAACAAAGGCATTTGGGAGATTGTTTGTGCCACAGTGATGAAGCCTGGAGGCAAGGCTGGGTCAATGTGGTGCCGTTTCCTCTCCAGCCTCCGCTCACAGTGATCATTAGCATCACAAAGCTTGGGGCAGGTCACACGTCAGTCAGCACAGGCCACACTGTTTGTCACTGTGTAAGGAGGTGAGGGTTTTCCTCCAGCTGTCCCCACTCCAGCGCTCGCTCCCCCCCACCCCCCTGTACAGACACACGCACCCCCCCCCCACTCCCCTTCCCTTTCAGACTTGTCTTTGTTGTTGATGAGTTTTCAGTCCGAGACCGATCTCATCGCCAATGACCTGCATGATAGAACTTGTCTGAAAAAACTCTGTTTCCCCGAGTGTGAGAAAATCTCCCATGTTGTGCCAGAACAATCCCGACACAAGTCCTGCCTCAGCTAATGTCAGCCCGAGCGAGCCGGGCACGAACACAGAGAGGGACGGAGGGAAAGAGGGTGTCAGAGAGACCGAGAGAGAGCGAGAGAGAGAGAGTTAGAGAGAAAGACAGAGAGGGTGTTTGTGTGTCAGAGAGAGACAGAGAGAGAAAATGTGTTAGAAAGACAAGAGTTGTGTGTGTCTGAGAGACAGACAGAGAGAGTGTGTGTGTGTGTGTCAGAGAGTCAGACAGAGAGAAAGTGTCAGAGTGTCAGAGATAGAGAGAGACAAAGAGTGAGTGTGTCAGAGAGAAAGAGACGAGTATCAGAGAAACAAAGCGAGAGAGTGTCTGTCTCTCTCTCTCTGACATTTTCTCGCTGATACACTCTCTCACGCCTCTGTTTACCCAGCAGTAAGTAGGATCCCACTTGTTAGTCGATGGGCGGATCGCTTTCCGGGATAATAATCCCTTAAAAAAAACGATAGTAATCTGATCAATGAATCCACGACTGTCTGTGGGACGCTGCTGTGCACGATTGGCTGCCACATTTCATCCACAAAACACACAGTCAATTCATTTTACAATATATCCGGTGAAGCGCTGTGAGATGTCTCAACGACGTGATTAGCCGCTGCGTCAAATGCAACTGCTATATTATTATTAATGTGGTGAGAAAGGGAGTGTGGAGTAACTGATGTGTCCACACAAAGGCACTGTTCCCTGTTTCTCTCACTCTACACTGTATACTGAGCTGTGAATGGGGTCAGTGAGTTTATTGTTTTACATAACAGGTTTAGAGATCTGCTCTCAATACGAAGGGCAGTTACCACTGTACAGTTTCTGGTGCCTGTGTTTGTGTCACTGCTGGATCTCTGGGTCAGTCTGACAGGTATCTCTCTCTGTCTGTGTGTGTGTGTGTGTGTGTGTGTGTGGGAGAGACAGAGTGTGGGTGTGAGAGAGTGTGTGTTTGTGGGAGACAGTGTGTTTGAGAGAGAGAGAGAGACAGAGTGACAGAGAGAGTGTGTGTGTGTGAGAGAGAGAAAGAGAGTGACAGAGAGTGTGTGTGTGTGAGAGAGAGAGAGTGACAGAGAGCGAATGTCTGTGTTATTTATTTATTTATTTATGGGGCTGGACAAGATGGTTCCAGCGCAGATGTGATGGGCAGACGGTAAACTCCCAAACTGTTAAACTCTCTCTCTGATGCTGTGAATATTAATTTTCTCTCTTCCGCAGTACAGTACAGATCCCCTCCTCGCTTCCCTTCTTGTTGTTCCATCTTGGAGATGTGAGTGCTACGTTCCTCCTCGGATATGTTCTCCGCGTAGGAGCCCAGGAGGGATTGGGTCCATCCAGCCCACCGCGCCGGTTTAGATCAGGAGATTCGTCAGACAGAAGGGCCGAGGTTGCGTTTGCTCAAATAGTGAGCGTTTGCACTTTACTGTAGCGTAGTGGTTAGCTCGCTCGCCTCGCAAGTGAGAGGACCCGGGTTCGATTCCTGAGGGGGGCAAAACCTTGGGCAAGTTTCCTTACTCCACACGCCTCTCCCACCATCGTGTCCGTGCTGGTGCTCGCTCCCCCCACTGGAGCTCTCTACTCTAATCCCAGAAAAAAAATTACTCGCGCACTTCAAGGCTAGTTATGGGAACGTTGCTGTGTGCAAATTGCCTGATGTATTGGCTCTTCCAACAGTATAGGAAGACGAAAAAAAGACCAAGGTCCATCTAGTTCACCTTCTACCATCCTGGTAGTCACTTGCCACAGCAAAGGAGGTGTTGATAGCAATGAATCCTGTTATGGATTAGTCCACAACACAGTGGAAAGCTTTGGGAACCTTAGACCCAAAGTTGCCTGGTTCTTCCAAGCTGTATGTTTTGTGGGCGAAAGGCGGCAGCCAATTGCGCACAGCAATTAAGGATCAAAAATCTATCTCATGTGTCACATTAGTCACATAGAAGTGAATAAATAATCAGACTTTTAATCGTTAAATCCACAACTGTTTGCGGGGACACTGCTATGGGCAATTGGCTGCTGCATTTTCCCCACAGTCACTACACTTTACAGTGTATCCTGTGAAGCGCTTTGAGACACCTCAAAGACGTGATAAGGCGTTGTGTCAAATGCCAGTATTATTATTGTTGTTGTTGTTATTATTATAGCAGTATTGAAGACGAGGCCCAGTGATTGAGCTTCTCATTTGCTACAGCTGGAGATGAAGCGTCTCATCCAGACGTCTGTCTCTGAAGGGGTGACGGTGACCAGACTGTCCAGCTCCATCACCCTGCACCGGAGCCCGGCCCAGCCCCCACCGGCCAGCCCGAGGTGGGGAGATCGACAGTCTAAACCCCTGCTGCTGCTGCTGCCCTGGCTTGGAGCCCAGCCCCACTCCGTGGAGAGGTAACCCTGTAGCGTAGTAGTTAAAGCGCACACCTCGCAAGCCAGAGGACCCGGGTTTGATTCCCGAGGAGGGCGAAACCTTAGGCCAGTTTCCTCATTCCACGCGCCTCTGTTTACCAGCAGTAAGTAGGACCCTGGTTGATAATCGATTGGTGGATCCCTTTTCTGGGGGGAAATATCCCCTAAAAAAAATAATAATTCGGTCACTCAATCCACGACCGTTTGTGAGACACTGCTGTGCGCAATTGGCCACAAAATATATAGTCACTGCACTTTACACTTTACAGAGGCGTCTCAACGAACTGATAAGGCGCTGCGTAAATGTAATTTGTTGTTGTTGTTGTTGTTGAGGTACCGGCAGATCTATTACCCTGAGGGCTATGACGTGCTGACGGTGGAGAGCTGTCTGGGACACTTCCTGTGGCCTGGGCGGGGGCTGAGCCACGCTGCCCGTGTGCTGGAGCTCCTACAGAGCGAGCGCTTTGCCTCGCGCCCCCTCCTCCTCCACGCCATCTCCCTGGGGGGCTACACCTTCAGCCAGATGATGATCCTCACCCTGAGGGACCCCTCGCTCCACACCGCCTTCAGTCAGCGCCTCACCGGCCAAATCTACGACAGTCTGGTGATCGGGAGCCTGGAGAGGATGGCGAAAGGTTAGCGTCCATTTCCCGAAACTCTGGAACTCTCTCCCTCAATCCCTCTGGCTGGCCCCCTCCCTCCCTCCCCCCCTCCTTCCCTCCCTCCCTCCCCCCCTCCCCTCGACGTGCTGTACCGGCCGAGCTCCAGGACTCCACAGTGAGTCCCCTGCACTCGAGTGGCCCGGACTCCAGCTAACCTTCTCGTCTCCTGATTCCAGGTGTTTCCCAGATGTTGTCCCATTCCCGGCTGGAGCCGCTGGTCAGGCGTTTGGTGCTCCTGTACTTCGGCCTGTTTGCCGGCAGCACCGTGCGGCACTACCGCACTGCAGTGGAGGTCTTCCGGAAGCTTCCGTGCCGGGCCCCGGCCCTGGTCTTCTCCTGCGGGGACGACCCGCTGAGCGAATGGCCCGAGCTGGAGGGGCTGCTGCAGAGCTGGCGGGGGAAGGGTTTGGCGGTGCGCAGCAAACACTGGGCACGATCCCGGCACGCCGGCCACCTCCGCCAACACCCCCGGGAATACCGGGAAACACTGCGCAGCTTCCTGCAGTCGCTCGGAGGCTTGCGCTTGGCAGCCAAGTTATAGACAGGATCGAGCGGCGGTGGGTGTGTAACACAGGAACAGGAGAAATAATACAATAATAGTCCTTGCGTTTGACACGGCGCCTGATCCCATCGTCGAGACGTCTCACAGCGCTTCACACGATACAATGTAAAGTGTAGTGACTGTGTATTTTGTCGGCCAAATGCGGCAGCCAGTTGCGCACAGCAGCGTCCCCACAAACAGTTGTTGCTTGAGTGACCGCAGTATTTATTGTTATACGCTGTATGTTTTTTTTAGGGGATTATAATCCCCGGAAAAGCGATCCGCCAATCAACTAACAACCGGGTTCCTATGGCTCGTGTGGAGTGAGGAGACTTGCCTAAGGTTTTGCTCCGCCCGGGAATCAAACCCGGGTTTCTCCCACTGTCCACAAGGAGTCCTGTAGCTCAGTGGTTAGAGCACTCGCTTTGCAAGTGAGAGACCTGAGTTCAATTCCAGGCAGAGGGCGAAACCTTGGGCAAGTTTCCTTACTCCACACAGAGCCTAATAATAATCCTCCAAAACCAAAAACAATAATAAATTGGTCATTTTCAATCTACGACACTTTGTGGGACATTGCTGTGCGCAATTGGCTGCCGCGTTCGCCCACAAATATACAGTCAATTCACTTTACAGTGTGTTCTGTGAAGCGCTTTGGGACGTCCTCCCGACGTGAAAAGCGCTATATCAAATGCGAGGATTATTATTATTATTATTATTATTATTATTAAAGATTATTATTGTTGTTATTATTGTTATTTGTTCTGGGCAAATCTCAATTGACAAACTGTTCATTTTTATTTAAAAATGCATTCATTAATTTGATTCTTTTTTGGTATTATTTAAAGATTTGTGCTTTGGGGGAGAGCGTTGGTGGGGGTGGGGGGGGAGTGGGGGGGTGGGGCGCGAGTACAATAACAACAACTTCTATTTACACAGCGCCCCTCACGCAGGGCAGCGTCCCAGAGCGCTTGACAGTGGGGGAGCATAACACCGAGCCGGGGTGGGGGGGGGGGGACGAAGGAGGGGGGAGGGGGAGGTGACAGTAGGCTCGGTTGAAGAGGAAGGTCTTTATGTGTGACCTGAATATTGGGGAGAAAAGCGGCAAGGCAGAGGTTTGGGGGTGACTGTGGAACAAGAGGACACGGGGGACAAGCAGGAGGCCCGACCGAGCCAGTGGAGCGGAGGCAGTGGGCTGCGGGTTGGGGAGTAAGCAGATCGGAGAGGTAGGGAGGTGTCAGGGTGGGAAGGGATTTGAAGACCAGGGTGAGGATCTTGAAATCGAAGAGGGCAAACGGGTGGGGGAGAGGGCTGGAGGTGGGGGGGGAGAGCAGCTGACAGTGACCCCCTCCCTCCCGTACTGACATCAGGTCTGTCTGTGACCTCACTCACACACATCAATCAAACTCCAGTGTCCTTGTGGGACCGATGACGTCTCAGAGTGGGGTGGATGCTCAAAGCCCCAGCCATGCTCAATGCTGAATGGCCGTGTTTGCAATCGGAGAAGCCAGGGCAGGGGACCGCGGAGATCAGCTGCCCCGAAGCTGCCGCCTGGCACGCTCCCCGCTCTGTCCCGGCAATGCTGCCCCATGACTCGGTGAAGGTGGGTTTGGTCAGCCCATGTGGTGACTATCTGACCGCACAGAGCAACGGCACCGGAGTGAAGTTAGACAAAACCGAACTGGGCGCCAATCAGGTGATTGATTCAGCAATAATAATATAATAATAATAGCAACAACATAAATAAGCCTTACATTTGATTTAGTGCTTTTTCGTGTCTTTGAGACAACAACAAACACAAAATGACATTTGTATAGAGCCTTTCGCGTCGGGAGGACTTTCCGAGGCGTTTCACAGAATATATTGTAAAGTGGATTGACTGACTTGGCATTTTTTGAGCAAAACGGGGCAGCCAATTGCGTACAGCAGTGAAAGTGATCCGTCAATCGACTAACAACTGGGTTTCTACTCACTCCGAGGTAAATAGAGGCACGTGGAGTGAGGAAACTTAATGATCCTGCCCGGGAATCAAACCCAGGTCCTGTCGCTTGTGAGGTGAGCGCTCTAACCAATGAGCTACAGGACTCCATGATGGTTGAGTGGAGCTCACACTTATTTTTGTTGGCAGTAATGAAAGATTAATTTCAGGATCTCGACGACCGAGCCAGAGAGGAGCCGCGCTAATCTGATGTCGCTGTCAACAGGAGTTGGTTCATAGCCTGTTGTGTGAAATTTTCATTGCGGGTTCTTTGGTCTTGAATTAGTACAAGTACATAATAGTAACCCGCTGGGTACAGTGTTTCTTTCCATCACAGCCATTATCATCACCATTAAATAATCTGTAGCTGAATCATTTACAGCAATGAGATGTTGGGAGGTGTGTGGGTGGTAATGCAACCCATCTCAACATGGATTCCTGACGTCTTGTAAATACCCAGTCTTGCTGCCAACTAGATTATTATTATAATAATATTATTTGGATAGATTATTACCGGCATGCCCTTGCATTACAGAGAAGCCTGCCTCAGCGTAGCGGCTGAAAGCGAGGCCACCGATGGTGGAACCGAGGGCACGGGGGACAAGCAGGAGGCCGGAGCCAGTCGAGCGGAGGCAGCGGGTAGTGGGTTGGGGGGTAAGCAGGTCGGAGGGAGGTGCCTGGGCATGAAGGGATCTGAAAATGAGTGCTAGGATCTTGAAATCGATCCATTCGGCGATAGGGAGGCTGTCAAGGACTGGTGTGATGGGGGTACGGAGTTTGGCACAGGAATTCTCTCTCACTCCCTCTGCTCTCTCTCTCTCTCTTGCTCTCTCGGGCAGGTCTGGGATGTGAAGGTGAAGTCCACGGAAGGATGCCAGACCCTGGTGGAGCTGAAGGGACCACATGGGCTTTCCCTGACCACTGATGACATGGGTCAGGTCAAGTGTGGAGTCACGTGCTCCAACGCCAACATCTTCTTCCTGGAGACACAGTGTAACGGAACCTGGGTGTTCCGCTCGCTCAAGTTCGGGACCTACCTGGAGATGTTGGAGAACGAGGTGACCTGTTTGATGAAGACCCCCACCAAGTGCTCCATGTGGACCCCACACCTGGCCATCCACCCCCATGTTGTCCTCTATCACCTCGAGACCAAGTGCTATACTCGCCTTCTCCCCGCACAGCACCAGCTCTGCACAGACTCCCCTTTGCCTCACTCCAATGAGTTCAACTTTATCCTGCACTTTGAAAAGGGCAAGTACCACCTCCAGACCAGTGACCTTCGCTATCTGTCCTTGGATGACCAGCTCCTCAGTAAGAGGTCCAAGATGACCGCCTTCTCTCTGCACCTGAGGCCGGGCAACATGGTGTCCTTCCACGCTGCTCACCAGAGGGTGCTCTACCCCCATGGACGGACTGGGATTCTGACTGTAGGGTCAAACCCCCCGGATTTGTTCCAGTATTTCGCCCTGAAGAAGAGCAAGCCTTGGGTCAGCATGAAGACCGCCTCCAAGAATTACCTGTCCGTCAACTACGGTGAGAAAGTTGGGTGGTATTTTCCATTCCTAGAATCCTGTTCTTTTTCTCCCCCCCACATCGTGTCTGTGCTGGGGCTCGCTCCCCCACTGGAGTTCTCTACTCTATTCCTGTAGCTCAGTGGTTAGACCACTCGCCTTGCAAGCGAAAGGATCTGGGTTTGATTCCTGGGCAGGTTCCCCTTACTCCACACTCCTCTGTTTACCCAGCAGTAAGTAGTAACCCAGTTGTTTGTCAATTGGTGGATCGCTTTCTGGGAGGGTAATAATCCCTCCAACAAAAATGTGGTCACTCAATCCACGGCTGTTTGTGGGGACGCTGCTGTGCGCAATCGGCTGCCGCGTTTCACCCACAAAATACAGTTAATCCAGTTTGCAGTATATTCCGTGAAGCGCTTTGAGACGTCTTGAGAAGGTGCTGTATCAAATGCAAGGATAGTTAGTTAAACAGTATGTGTTGGTGACATTTCTCCCCCAGGGGTGGAGATCTACGCTCGCTTTGACCATCTCACACGGCTCTCCGTGTTTCAGTTTGAAGCGACGCAGAAAGGGGAGATGGTGAGACTTCGATCCTCCGACAATCAGCTCCTCGCTCAGGTAATGTTCATCTCACAGTCTTCACCCCTCACTCAGCGAACTTCACTCCTCTCCCTTTCAAAACTGCCAGCATGGAGTCCTGTAGCTCAGCGGTTAGAGCACTCGCCTCGCAAGCGAGAGGACCCGGGTTTGATTCCCGGGCAGGTCAGGGCGAAACCTGGGGCGTTTCCTCACTCCACACACACACACACACGCGCGCGCGCCTCTGTTTACCAGCAGTGAGTAGGAACCCGGTTGTTAGGCGACTGGCGGATTGCTTTCTGATGGGTAATAATCTCTCCAAGAAAAAAAGAATAATTTAGTCACTCAATCTACAACCGTTTGCGGGGACGCTGCCGCGCGCAATTGGCTGCTGCGTTTCGGTCACAAAATTCGCAGTCAATTCATTTTAGAGCATATTCTGTGAAGCGCTTTGAGATGTCCCACCCCCACACCCCCACATACACACATCCACCCCCACACACACACACCCACACCCCCCCACACACACACAGAACTGAGCCCTGAGACCTGGTAAAAGCCACTAACAAAATTATAATAATATTTGCATCTGACAGCAGCATCTGACAGAGTTTCTAGGAAATTGCTGCCAAGTGACTATTCCTTGTTGGCAGTCAGTCAACATAGATCACTGTTCTATGCAATTGGCTGCCACATTTCGCCCACAAGGTACACTGAAAAGAAATAAAGATAATAATAATAATAATAATCCTGGTATTTGATACAGCGCCTCATCGAGTCGTTGAGAAGACTCAAAGCGCTTCACAGAATACACTGTAAAGTTTTGTGTGTTTTGTGGGTGAAACCTGGCAGCCAATTGCACACACTTAGGGTCCCCACAAACAGCCGTGGGTTGAGTGACAAATTATTATTACATATAATAATAATAATAATAATAATCCTTGCATTTGATATAGCGCTTTTCACGTCCTTTTCAAGGAGGACGTCCCAAAGCGCTTCACAGAACACACTGTAAAGTGAATCGACTGTATATCTGTGGGCGAACGCGGCAGCCAATTGCACACATATATATTCAGATAGCAGCGGCCGGCGGTGTGATTCTGTACTGTACAGCGCGGTGTAACATTGGCTGACTTTTCCATCGTGACTGTTTTCCCAGCGAGGACAGAGCGCTGTCCTGGCTGATGGGAAGGATGTGGAGGGAGTGACGTACTTCGGGATGGAGTGGAACCAAGGCAAGCTGGCTTTGCAGGCCGCCAACGGGCTCTACCTCCAGGTCAGGCCAATCGGGCAGGTCATAGCCAGCGCACAGGAGCCTGGTAAGCGAGTGTGTGGGTGTCTGTGTCTGTGTGTGTGAGCGTGTGTCAGTATGAGTGTGAACATGTCAGTGTGTCAGTCTGAGTGTGATTGTGAGAGTGAGTGTGGTTTGCAGGGTTAACAGGAGCTGAGGGGGAGGATTCCCTGCCCCCAGTGCCTGGTCCCCCTCCCTTCCAGGTCCTGCCAATGAGACCAGGTTGGGCTGATTGGAAGATATAAGGAGCATCAGTGCTAATTGTTGGTTACCATCAGGTTCTGATGGTGGGCGCTGTGTGTCTCTGTGTGTTCAGGTGTGGAGCAGGAGTTCACAGTCAGGCTGGTGAACCGGCCCTTCCTGATCCTGAGAGGCCGACATGGATACATCGGGTCCTCCTATCGATCCGACAAGCTGGTCTGTAACAACAACATGTACGACATCATCGTACTGATCCCATGTTCCAGAGGTTTCTACCACTTCCAAGGTGAGAGAGAGAGAGAGGGGGAGGGAGGGAGGGAGGAGCAGGGTGAGAAAACCTCCTACGTTACACTCTTTTCCGAGGGAGTGACCATCCCAGTCTCCTTGTGGTTCATTTGACCTCATTGACAAACCCCAGACATGTTCTTGAGATTGGGACCTTAATAATCCTTGCATTTGATACTTGTCACAGGGCCTGACATGCACTCTAATAATAATAATAATCATCCTTGCATGTGACACAGCGCCTGATCACGTCTTGGAGATGTCTCAAAGCGCTTCACAGGATATACTGTAAAATTTAGTGACTGTATTTTGTGAGTGAAGCCAGTTGCACACTAAGCTCCAGCGGGGGACGCGATGGGGCCGGTCATAGCACAGCACAGACACGATGGGGGGAGACACTGTATTGGGAGATTGGCTTCTCAAACTGAAACGTTTTCTCCAGGGAAGAACGGGAAGTTTTGGTCGATGGGGGAGAACTACAACTTTTATGTGTCGGGAGAAAATCCCCTGGATTTCTGTGTGGAGATCCGAGGAGACAACTTGCTGTCAGTGCTGGCCCCCAACGGCAACTACCTACAGAGCGATCAGAGTGGTATCCTTAGTGCCACTGACTCCACACTCTCCCCTGACTCACTCTGGGAATTCTAGACTTTACATTACAAAGGTCAGTAACACTCGCTTTCTGACAGCCCAAATATATATATACTGTATAAATATGGATAAGCTGTTTTATCTTGTACTGAACAGTAGAACCAGAGGACACGGTCCGCAGTTCAATGGGGTTAAATTCAGAACAAATTTGCAGAAACACTATTTCAGTCAGCGAGCAGTAAAGTTATGGAATAGGCTCCTTGGAGAGACAGACAGATGGTGGAACCAGAAAGTGTTGATTCTTTCAGATGCAATTTTAGTTTTTTTTAGGAAATAATATCTCGGGGATACAGTATATAGTTTGCATATGTGCTTGCCACTGCCAGGATGGTGGAAAGTAAGTGAACTAGATGGACATTGGTCCTCTTTTGTCTAGCAAATTCTTATGTTCCTATATGTTTAACATGCATTTATTTATATATGTGTATATATGTGTGTGTGAGTTTGTGTGTGTTTACTAACGTGCGTGTATATATATAATATGTGTGATTTATATATTAGCAGCAGCACAGACACGATGGGGGGAGGGAGAGAGAGAGAGAGCAGGGAATGGGGTTAGAGTAGAGAGCTCCAGTGGGGGAGCGAGCCCCAGCACAGACACCATGGGGAGAGAGAGAGAGCAGGGAATGGGGTTAGAGTAGAGAGCTCCAGTGGGGGAGCGAGCCCCAGCACAGACACGAGGGGGGGAGAGAGAGAGCAGGGAATGGGGTGAGAGAGCTCCAATGGGGGAGCGAGCCCCAGCACAGACACGATGGGCTGTTCACTCTAGGACTCTAACCCTCCTCTGTTTGTGCCAGCAGGTGCTATGAGTAACTTAGTGAAATATGGGACCAAACTTGTTGTCAGACATCCTGGCCGAACACGCTGAACTTTGAGCAGGAATGAAGAAGTTCTCTTATCTATTCACAAGAACTAAAAGTTCTTTCAGTCTTTGAATCGGAGCAATCCATTTGAGGTCACTTTTGAGTCAAACTTTTACTGTACTTTTCTCTCTGGGTGTAGTTAATATCTTTAAAGTGCTTCCTCCCACCCCACCTCTGTTCCTTGCCCAGGAACGCTTTCCTTCCATCTCCACCCCATTGCCCACCTCCGACCTTACAGCACCTCCAAACGCAGCTGAAACCATCTTCCACGTCTTGGTCACCACCTACTTTGACTATTCCGATGACCCCACCCCCCTCGCCTGTCTCCCCAACTCCACTACCCACAACTAATTCAAACCTCCACCTCCTGTATACTGCCCACTCTAAATCCAGAGATAGACTGTTGGAATGGAATGTGTGCTCTCGCTCCCCGGAGGGACAGATCCTGCTTACCTAATTCCGGAAAGTATTAGATTGGCGGGTTGGCAGGAGGCAAGGCTTGGGGGGAGCTCAGAGTGTGCCTTTTGGGTGTAACTACTGGAATCTAACCAGCTAAAACCACATTGCTTGCCATTGGGTGCACTGCTGGGTTGGTGAGTTGGGTGTGTGTGTGTTGCAATTATTGTGTGTGTGTGTATGTTTACGGATAATTACTCAGTGGACGTGTATGTGTGTATCCAGATTTGATCAGCCGGGTGTTTGCCCCATTACGGAAACCCATCACCATGTCTCCAAACCAGACTGAGAGTTCCTCATATGTATGCCACCAATGCATGGAAATTTCCCTGTGTCTGGAACTCTCTCCCTGGAGGGACGCACCCTGTTTACCTCATTCCGGAGAGTATTAGGCACAGGTTGACAAGAGCCAAGTCTTGGGGGGCCCAGAGTGTGTATTGGGGTAACTGCTGGAGTCTAAGCAGCTAAACCCACACAGCTTGACCATTGAGAGCACTGTCTGGCCAAGCTTTCCCGCTGCTTGTCCAGCGAGGACCCCCCTCCCCGTTAGTTAGGGCTTTGGCTGAGGGGTTACCAGGAGCTGAGGGGGAGGATTCCCCGCCCCCAGTGACTGGTCAGCCCTTCCAGGTCCTGCCGATGGGCCGGGCCGGGCCGTGCTGCCATCAGCAGTGAGTGCCCTGGGACACTGCGGCCCCTCCCGGCTCAGGAACCGGGGACTGGAGACCGTCACAGAGAGTGGGGGCTCGGTTCCCACATTCCGTCGCCAGGCAGGTCACCTGGGAGCCAGTTCAGCTCCGAGGAGATCCCCTTTACCTCCCCACAAGGAGGATAGTTTCACCCACAAAACACATTGTCAATTCACTTTACGGTATATTCTGTGAAGATGTGACAAGGTGCTCGGTTAGAGCATATGTTCTTATTATTCTCGGGGACAGTCCCAGGATGAGGTATTGCGTCCCTGGGGCCAAATTTGTCCCCGTCTTGAGCTCCGCCACAAACTAAGTGAGAAAAATAACATGGTAAGACAGAGCCACTCATTGAGGACCGAAACGCAGCCATTAATCCAACACGTTTCTCCAGTAACTGCCAACATCAGGAACTGTGGTGAGTTCATTTTTGTTTATATACAGTATGTACTCGCGTCCCCAGATTTGGTTCACAATATGGTCGCCCTAATTACAGGGTCCACGCGCTCCGAGACCCCACCCCACGTGAAAGGCACTGAGTAAATGCAAGTTGTTGTTGTTGTGGAAATGTTTCCTTTGCTCGGTTGGCACTGACGACCACCGTTGCCCCGATCCCAGCTGAGACCACGGAGCTCCTGCTGCGGGGCCATTAAACAAACATCCTGACATCCAAGTGGGGAAAGGAGCGGGGGAGGGGGTCCGTGCCGGGGCGCAGCAACAGGCCGCCGCTTCCGACCGAAACAACAGGAAATGACGCGCACTCTTTCCCGGGAAGAGGAAGTGAGGGGTAATCCATGCCCGGGAAGGGATGTGACATCACGGTGCCGGGAGAGACGACGAAGGGAGCCTGGTCTGGGGCGGGAACGGGAAGTGCCGGCCCCGTGTCAATCATCCCTGCGAAGCGGAAACATTGGAAGATGATTATTTTATCCTATCTATTTCCTTGCGTTTGATGCACAGTCACTACACGTTGTAGTGAAATCTTGCAGCTTTCGCGCGTGGGAGGGGGGGGGCGGACGACGTCCCACAGCACTTTGTAGGGTAGTGACTGCCACTGTGGTGACCGTGTTTTGAAGGTGAAAGCGGCAGCGCTCTCACCTCTGAGTCGGTCAGAGGTTGTGTGGGTTCAGGTATCATTGGAAACTCGGACAGTCCAAACCCAGACTCCAGTCCAGTGCTGGGGGCGGGCGGGGGGGCGGAGGGGGGGGGGGCAACGCATTGTCAGAGGTGGTCTGTGCTTGTTCAGGTGGATGTAGAAGATCCCTGGCACTATTTTACAAGAGAGAAACAAGTTTTTCACTCTCTCTCCCCCCCCCAGATAAAAATTACTCATTCAGTTCCTGGCCGCTGGTGGGGACGCTGCTGTGCGCAAATTGGCTGCCGCGTTTCACCCACAAAAGTCACCGCGCTTTTGCAGCCTATCCTGTGAAACCTCATCCGCTTGAAAGTCCGACACTGCGTGATACCAAATGCAGGGATTGCTTATCAACAACAACAATAATAATAATAATAATTTGGTCGCTCCGATCCACGAGTGTTTGCACAGTCAATTAATTCACTGTATAGTAAAATCTTGTGAATCGCTTTGCGTCAGAGCCCTCCCCACGCGGGAAAAGTGTGACATCAAACGCCAGGATTATTATTATTATTATTATTTGTACAATCATCGAATTGATTTCCAGTCTCCTCATTGCTCAGTTGAGGATTGGAAGAGTACTGGTGCCCTCTGCTGCAGGAAGCACACACGGCAGGCGATGGCTTCGTGTCCGACGCGGGTTCAAATCGAATCATTTTTGCGTTGGACCCACTCCGAAAATTAAATTCAGTCCCAAACTCCTCACCCATCTCAACTCATTCTGGTCCAGAATTCCAGGGGCCCCCAAATTCATAATTATCCGTCGTAATAATTAGGATACGGATACATGAACCTCGACACAGGGGCTTATCAGGGTGTCAGAATGTCTCAAAGCATTTCCCAGGATTTACTGTAAAGTGTAGTGACTGTGTAGTTCTGGGCAAACGCAGCAACCAGTTTGTACACAGAGATTGCGGAGACCTGTAGCTCAGGGGTTAGAGCACTCGCTTTGCAAGTGAAACATTTGGGTTCAATTCCAGGCAGGGAAACCTTGGGCAAGTTTCCTTACTCCACATACAGCCTAACAATAATCCCTCCAAAACAAAACAATAATAAATTGGCCACTTTCAATCCACGACTGTTTGTGAGGACGCTGCTGTGCGCAATTGACTGCTGCGTTTTGCCCACAAATATACAGTCAATTCACTTTACAGTCTATTCTGTGAAGCGCTTTGAGATGTCGAGAAGACGTAAAAAGCGCTATTTCAAACGCAAGGATTATTATATTATAAATGTCCTACAAACAGTCAGTGCAGTGAGTGACCAGTTTTATTTGGGGGATTGTTGACCAGGACACCAGGAGAGAGAAACTCCCTTTCTCCAATAGTGCCGCGGGATGTTAAACATCCATCTGGACAGGCAGACAGCAGACAGGGGGTCTCGGTTTAATGACTCATCCGAAGGACGGCACCTCCTACAATGCCACACAGCGCTGCATCGGAGCATCAGCTTAGACTGTGTGATTCCAAGTTCCGACATGGGGGCTTGAACCCACAACCTTCTGACTCCGAGACGAGAGAGAGCGTTACCGACTGAGCCGGGCTGACACACATGGGCTCAGAAAGGCGCTGTATAATAATCCTTTCACCTGATATAGCCCCTTGTCAAAGCGCTTCACAGAATAGACAGCAAAGTGAATTGACTGGACATTTTGTGGGCAGAACGCAGTGGATTATCACCCGCGGAAAGCGATCCGCCAATTGACTAACCGGGTTCCTACTTACTGCTGGTAAACAGAGGCGTGTGGAGTAAGGAAACTTGCCTGTGGTTTCGCCCTAATCTGCCTGGGAATCGAACCCGGATCCTCTGGCTCGCGAGGGTTGGATGTAAAGTGTTAGTGTGTTACACTGGCTCACCGTGAGCGATGTCCATGGGGTGGGTCTGGCTGGACCTCAGGCAGGGCTGAGAGGCTGTAGCCCAGTATGTCTCGTACCCACTCGCGAGCGCCCTCCAGCTGTGCGGAGCGGGACTCGGGTGTCGCTGTGAGCTGACCGTCCGGTAAACGTCAAACCTCGGAGCCATCAGGGTATCTGGCAACGCAAAGGCCTGGGTTGGCTGCGGAGAAGCCTGTTGATACTACAATGGAAAGTAAAGGGTTAATCCCCACGATGGTGAGCTCACAGTGGATCAGCCAACTAACAGCACAAGTTCTGATTTCATTATAACAATAATAATCCGTGCATTTGAATATAGTACATTATCACGTCTTCAAGACGTCTCCAAGAGCTTCACAGAATATATGGTGAGGTCAATTGACTGTATATTTTGCGGCAGCCAATTGCGCACAAACCGTCATGGATTGAGTGACCACATTATTTTATTTTTTTAAACTATTATAGAGCTACTAATATCACTTACAAATTCTCAAGCACTGATATCAATGCATAAGACACACCAGCTAGTGACTGAGGGATATACACAGATATATAGTGGTTAGGGGGCTCGCCTTGCAAGGGAGAGATCTGGGTTCGATTCCTGGACAGGGCGAAAAGTTTCCTTACTTCACTCTGTTTACCCAACAGTCAGTAGAAACCGCGTTGCCAGCGCCTTGGGACGCCCTCCTGATGCGAAAGGCGCGATACAAATGTAATTTTGTTGTTGTTGGTCGATTGGCGGATTGCTTTCCGGGGATGAGGATTGCTCAAAAGAAAATGTGATCACTCAATCCAAGCACGTATGTGCCTACAAAATACACAGTCACTACACTTTACAGTATATTCTGTGAAGACGCTATACGAAATGTGAGTATAATAATTATTATTATGATACACTACCTGCAGAGCGAAGCTGTCAGCCAGGGAAGATGGGGGGAAGGTGGGACAGCCCTGAGGGGGGAGCTGTAATGGGTTCACGGCAGCACCACATGTCCTACCTGGAACAGAGCACAAAGAGCCGGGTCGGTACCTCTCGCGATAGGGTGAGACATGATTCAGAGAGGCAAAGGGTAAGAGACCTTAAGAACATAAGAATTTGCCAGACAAAAGAAGACCAAGGTCCATCTAGTTTGCCTTCCACCATCCTGGCAGTCGCTTGACAGAGGCCGTGTCCCAAACTGTACACTGATATTATTTCCAAACAGAAATCTGTTCTTGAAAGAATCAATACGATCTTCTGAGTCAGGAGTGCTACAGCACCAACTGAGCCAGGCTGACACCTTTAGATAGAGGGGTCGTTTCCAGGGGTACATTGGCGAGGCAAGGACGCAGACACAATGGAGTGACTGAGCCGTACCTCTGACAAAGCTGGGTCCATGTTTCACCTTGTCTTCTCGACGCCACTTTGCCCGTCTGTTGGAAAACCAGACCTAAAGTGAAGAGAAGTAGCTGTTATCAGTGGAGTCCTGTAGCTCAGTGGTGAGAGCACTCGCCTCGCAAGCGAATGGACCTCGGTTTGATTCCCACACACGCGCCTCTGCAGTAAGTAGGAACCTGGTTGTTAGTCACTTAGCAGATCGCTTTCCTGGGGTGATGATCCCTTCAAAACAAAATAATGTGGTCACTCAATCCATGACTGTTTGTGGGACGTTCCTGGGCACAATTAGCAGCTGCGTTTCGCCCACAAAAATACACGATCAATCCAGTTTACAGTATGTCCTGTGAAGCACTTTTGAGACATCTCAATGACGTCACGAGGATTATTATTATAAATGAGCCAAGCAAACATTGAATGATCCACAAGAGCCGAACACAGTGTACGTTTGTCGACAAGAGGTTTTCTGTTGAATGCACAAAATGTCTTATGAAAAAATACTCTTATAAAGAAGAGCGAAGACCGAGTTCAGACCCAGCTCTTACCCGGATCCTGGCCTCGGGGATAGACGTTTTGGAAGCCAATTTCTCTCGGGCAAAAACATCAGGATATTGTGTCTTTGTGAATTCTGAAACCACAGAACAGATATCATCAAAACTTGTTATCATAGAGCACTCGCCCCGCAAGCGAGAGCATCCGATTCGATTCCCGGGCAGGACAGGGCGAAACCTCAGACAAGTTTCCTTACTCCACTCACATGCCTCTGTTTACTCAGCAGTAAACAGGAACAGAGTTGTTCGTTGATTGGCAGATTATTTTTCTGGGGGTAACAATTCCTTTTAAAAAAAAGTAATAAATTGGTCACTCAATCCGCGGCTGTTTGTGGGGACGCTGCTGTGTGCAAGTGGCTGCCGCGTTTCGCCCACAAAATATACAGTCAATTCACTTTACAGTATATCCTGTGAAGCGCTTTGAGACATCTCGATGACGTGATGAGTTGCTACAACAAATGCAAGGATTATTAATATTATTATTATTATGCTCTGCTTTTTCCTACCCTCGATATTTACGCCAAATCTCTTTTAGCTCCTTTACCTTGTTCCAATGCCTCAGATTGCTCCTGCATAAAAACTGTCCTGTTCCTTTGCTGGGAGTTTGTCTGGACTTTCTGAGCCCCAGGAAAGTCAGACGCCACAGTCTCTGTGGTTTCCTGCCCTCCGGAACCTAAAACAAATAAAAATAATATAACAATATACTAATAATCCTTACAATTCGATATCGCGCCTTTTATGTCTCAAAGCACTTCACAGAATTTATCAATAAATAATAATCCTTGCATATGATAGAGCACCTTATGTCATTGAGACGCCTCAGAGCGCTTCACAGAATATACTGTAAAGTGAATTGGCTGTGGTCGAAAACATGGCAGCACGGCAATGTCCCACCAACAGGCGTGGAGTGAGTCACCAAATTATTATTAATATTTGTTGAGACTAATTCAGTGCGAAATTCGCTGCCGTGTTTTGCCCATAAAGTATACAGCCAATTCATTTTACAGAATATTCTGTGAAGCGCTTTGAGACGTCTCGAAGACGTGATTAAGCCCTGTATCAAATGCGAGGATTATTATTATTGCTGCTCCGATCCCCAGCGCCTCTGTCACCTCCCATCCACGTCGCTGTTGACATATCCTCAGCTGCAGGATGTTGCAGGTCGGAGTTCAGGTTCCTCAGGACTCGGTTGATGGAGGAGACCTGGAAATAGACACAGGTCTGTAACTGGCCAACGCCTCTCCCTCCTGTCAGGTTTTCATATAATAGGTGAATAAATCAGTGTTTTCTGTTCATCATTGTCTATCCACCGTATCATTGTCACCAACATCAACTATACAAACAGCGCCTCAGTACAACAACAACAAAATTACATTTATATAGTGCCTTTCACGTCGGGAGGACGTCCCAAGGCGCTGAACAGTGACAATGTTACACAGCTCTATGTGTAGTGACTATTTTTATATTATGCACAGTGACTGTTTTTGTAGGTAAACGATGGATGACTGCACGGATGCATGGATGGATGGAGAGAGAAAAAGAGAGAGAGATAAAAGAGAGAAAGATTTAGATTTACAATGTTCAGTATCCCCTCTGAAGTATTTTTTTCCACTCACGCTGGGAATTTTCCCCTTGCAGCAGATTCCCTGGGAGAGCAGCTTCCCGCGGATTTCCCAGGCAAACATAGAGGGGTTTTCCCACTTAAGCTGAGCGATCTTAGCCACCACCTCTGGGGTGGAGAGACGTGGTTTGCTCCCACCAATGGCCTTTGGTCCAACGGAGCCCGTCTGATAATATCTGCCCAGGATCTTACTCACACAGCCATTGGAGACCTGTGGGTGAGAGACGACAACTAGTTACTGTAGATAGCTTTGCGATCCCAAACTGTCTGTCCAGTCCTGGCTGATCTCCAACAACAACAACCTACATTTACACGGCGCCTTTCGTGTCAGGAGGACATCACAAGGCACTGGACTAGACAGGGATTTGGACCCGAGCTGGAGGTTGGGATCAGGAGGGTGGAGGGCAGGGAGGGTGGGGGTAGGAGAGTGGACAAAGGTGTGGTTGAAGAGGAGGGTCTTGAGACGGGCCTTGAAGGAGGCGAGGGAGGGGGCGTGACATAGGGACTGTGGGATGGAGTTCCAAAGGGTGGGGGCAGAGAGGCTGAAGGCCCGACCGCTGATGGTGGAGCGAGCAGGGCAGGGGGACATGGAGCAGGCCGGAGCCCGCTGAGCGGAAGCAGCGGACAGGTCGGTATGGAGTTAGCAGATCACAGAGGTAGGGAGGAGCAAGGCCGTGGAGGGCTTTGAAAGCAAGGACGAGGATTTTACCTGTAATATCCGGGCGACATCACATGCCCGAATGCCACTCACTGCCAGCTCTATGATTCGCTTTCTCTTACATGTGGGCAAAGGGCGTCCATTCACAAAGACGCCCCCCAGCTGGTTCAAACATCCCTCTCCTGGAGAACGAGAGAGAGCGAGGAGATTGAGTCCGCCTTCCGTGCGGGTGTGAACCTCGCGGCTGAAATTCACCGCCAGCCTAGTGTGAATTCCACAGTTCACATATACAAAGTGAGAGGGGAGAAAGAAGACCGATAGAGAGAGAGTCCAAGTGGGGCTTGAACAGAAAGCCTTCTAACACAGAGGCGAGAGAGTGAGAGCCAGAGTCAGGCGCATCTTAAAATCAAATAGAATTGCTGGAGTTACATACCTTTATGCAGCATTGTATCAGATTCAATATCCTGTCCAGTGTAATCTGAGTCCTGTAGCGTCCAGAGACAGCAAAGACATCACAACTTTAGAAACATTGTAAAGCTCCTCTACACTGTGCGTCCGTCCACACTCCCAGGTCAGGGTTAGAGACACAGTAAAGCTCCCTCTACACTGTGCGTTAAGAGTAGAGATGTCATGATTTCAGTTCACAAATGAGTTAACAAGTCAGATGCAAAACCCCAAGCGTCACCTTTAAACTGTTCCCACCACTAGACTAAGAGTATCACACTGTTAGGATAACACAAACGCACATCTGTCAGCAGAGTTACCGACTGGATGTCAGTCAGGACGTTTCTTACACCACAGTGTGTTTTTACCTTGTAATCTCAATGGTTTATCAATTGTCCCTGAGGGTGATAGCAGCACCTGCTGATTTATTTTTATATACACACACACATATATATATATATATACTCAGATCTCTCTTGGAGTCCTGTAGCTCGGCGGTTAGAGCACTAACCTTGCAAGCAAGAATTTTGGGTTCGATTCCCGGCAGGGTGAAACCTTGGGCAAGTTTCCTTACTCCACACGGCTGATAATAATCCCTCAAGAAAAAAACAGCGATGACAATTTGATCACTCAATCTACGACTGCTTGTGGGACGCTGCTGTGCACAATTGGCTGCTGCATTTCGCCCACAAATATACGGTCAATTCACTTTACAGTGTATTCTGTGAAGCGCTTTGAGACGTCTCGAAGACGTAAAAGCGCTATATCAAATGCAAGAATTATTATTGTAATAATTACGCAGATTCTTACAGCGAAATATCGCAGAGGCACTTGCCACAGATATCACACTAAACAAAACTCTCCCTGTCCCCCTCTTTCTCCATCTCTCTCCCACTATATCTCTACTCCCTAACTTTCTCTCTCTCACACACACTTTTTCTCTCTGCCCCCATCTTCCTCTGCACTGCTTCATATCAGTCTGTCTCTCTCTGACAATTCTCAGATCTGTTTACCTCCCAGCCTCCATCCCCATCTCCCTTCGTCAGTCTTTCTTTCTCTCTATTTCTCCTCTCTCACTTTGTCCCTTTCCTCTCTCCGATGGTCTCTCTCTAGCCCTCTCTGTCCTCTCTCACTCTATTTTTTTCTCTCCATCTCTGTCCCTACCCCCCCTCTCTCTCTCTCTCTGTACTCTCTCTCTCCTCTCTGTGTGTGTGTGTGTGTGTGTTTCTGTCTCCCTCACTCTCTCTCCCTCCCTCTCCATCTGTTTCTCTCCTTCTCTATGTCTCTCTCTCCCTCTTTCCATTTCCCATCAACTCATTCACTCTTATTGGGGACTTTTATCAATCAAATCGAACTTTTACAACTCAATCGATCCAGACTATCTCTCTCTCTCTCTCTGTCTCTCTCTCTCTCTCTGGAGTGTGATTCCCTGCTCTACAAACCCTGACAGCCAGTCAGTGTTGGGAGGTTGATCCGCAGTAAGTGTTTAACAACAGGAGAAAGGAATGAGAGGGCAGTTACCTTACAACACACAGTCAGTGTCCTGTGCCTCTCAGTGACTCTGTCCCACTGCTGTCCTCATACCCACTGGAGCCCCAGTTAAACCAGTCCCTTGTTCCTGCCTCTATTTAACCCCTCGTGTGTCTCAGACCAAGAGAAATCCAGAATACAGCACTGTGATAGGAGAGGTGAGGCTGGGAGGAGATTCAGATCTGCAGTAATTACTGTGTGTGTGTGTGTGTGGAGGGAATTGCTGGGGTGGTGTCTGTGTGCGTATGTGTGTGAATGAAATGCATTTGCCAGAGTTCATGTGTAACCCCCCTCTGGGCTGAGTTGTTGGAGGTTTGGCACCAGGTCAGGCGTAAACTTTGCATTCTGCACCCACCTACATCATTACTTAAAACATCAGCTCAAGTCTAAAGTTTCAATATCCAGGAATGGGGTTTAATAAACCAATATTGTGACTGTTGGACGCGACGCTAAAGAGAGAGAGTGTGCGTTTTGCTGTTTGGTGGTGCGTTTCCTCTGGGTCTGGAATCTGATATAAATGTAAAAGTTGTTGGTGAAATCAGAAGCTGTGGTGTGGAATTAGAGATGTGAGTGTGCAACAGATCAGCAGTTACTGCTCTCACACACAAGCGATTCAATTGTTAATCACTCATTACAGGTGATTCTCCAGAGTGTGTGAGTGAGGAAGATGTGGTGTGTGTGTGTGTGTTTCTGTGTGTGTGTTTCTGTGTGTGTGTGTGTGTGTGTTTCTGTGTGTGTGTGTGTGTGTGAGAGTGAGTAAGTGTGTGTTTCTGGGAGTGTGTAAGTGGGTGAGTGTGCACCAGCTGAAGGTGTAGAACCGAACTGCGCCAATGGGCAAACTCAGGTGTTGGTTGGTTTCGAAGTGCGCATTTCCAATCCATGTCTTCAGAGGGAATGTGTTCTCTCACTCACTCACTCACTCACTAAGTGATGTCTTCGACCCAATTTACGCTCGGGCGAGAATGATGCATTGGGTTATTCGCAAACCTATATATATATACATATATATTTTTACAAATGAGCAAAAGATTTGCTTCAAGTCGGTTGGGTTCAGTCAGTGGCGCTGCGCCTTTAAGCCTTGGGAACATTTGGGATAAGTCGGTATCCCCAATAAACAGCTGTTTTGGGCAAAATGCAGTGGGACTCTATAACCAATGGCACAGGGCAGGAGGGAGCAATGTTACAATGAGGAAGGAAAAACATTATATATATATATGTTTTTATTTGTATCCTTCCTTCCCCCTCCGAAAAAGAAATAATGTTTGTGTCCACAGAGGAAAGGGATTGAGCCACAAGATTTCTGTTAGATTCTGTTCCCGAGTTGAAACGTTAACATGTCAAGAAGAATAAAATACGTATCTGCGTAAGAAACGTGAGCAACGTTTACAGCACATCATCGAAATTTGTTTTAATAAGGAAAGAGGTTCCAGACTGTACATCGTAACACTCACCCAGAAACGCACATACACACTCACACACACTCAGAAACACACACCCACACACACAAACACACACCCACACACACTCAAACACACACCCACACACACACACACACACAAACACACACACTGTTTAAATTTGCACATCACAACATTTACATTCGCATTAAAAAGCCATTGCAGTAAACGTGCGCTTCCCAGGATTTGTGGCGGTTGTCAAAGGATTAAACCACCGCCACAACACCACAAGAAAAAAAGCAAAAAATAATATTGTAAATGTGCAAATCAAACGTTGTGCGGTGTGAACAGGACGTCACATAAGATTTGATTTGCACATTTTTCACCCTGGCTCCAGTGGGTGGGTCTGACATCACTAACTTGGCTGATTAATAGGCAACAACTTTAATTCTTACCGAATTGCCTCGTAAAATAAATAGCCTCGTGAGTAACCCCCCGCGACTGGTACTGAAACAAAAACAACCTTTGCCACAGTTTGTGTTGGATTTATAACACCTCTCACTTTGGCCGCCGATATGTCAGAGGAAAAGTCTCAAAAACTCCCAAATTCACATCAAACAAAAGGAGAGAGAGAGAGAAAAAAAACTTATGTTTTGTATTCGCAAAAGAGGGAGAAGGAGAGGGGTTCCGTGTGGTGGGTTCTCGTGACCAGAGAATCTCCTCTTGTGACCTACATCTGTGTTCCCCCTTTTTTTCCCCCCAACAAGTTTGGGAGAAGAGGAATCACAGCACAGAGTGGAGCTGCAGGAAAGTGCATCCAAACCAAATAATGGTGGGTGTCGCATTGATGTCTCCAGTGCCTTTGTGTGGGGAGAGGACTCGCATTGGATGGGGGTGAAGTTTCCCCCCCACCACCACCACCCCTCCACTGTGACTTTTTTTTAACAAATAATAATAATAAAAATGCACAGAAATGAATGATAAGGGCGTTGTGTGTGTGTTGGCTCCTGGGCCACGTGACTCCCCATCCATCCCCTTCTCACCTGAGGCTGAAAACTCACTCCAACCCCAAATCTGATGGGTTTCCACGTCGGTAGAGAGAGAGAGAGGACTCTCTCGAACAAACGCCCGCCATATGTTCCAGTGAACCTGCAGGGATAAATCATAAATCTTCCCCCCCCCACCCTCCCCCTCTCTATTTATTCCCATTTTATTGCGTTTTTGGTGTGTGCATAAATAGTGGCCAATATGGCGAGCCCATTGAGATCTCTATTAATGTCACAGATGTTCTTGCCTGAGTCTATAGATAAAATATGTTGTAAACGTTTCAGAAAATATTTGAAGAGCAAATATTAGCAAATGGAAATCCATAGAGATCTGGTCTGGGAGACTGTTAATGAATAATTGGGAGCTCATTAGCGAAAGAAAGCTCCCACCACGAGTTGTCCTCACACACAAACACTCATCTCTCTCTCTCACACACACACACACATAGAAAAAAAAGCAGGGCTTGCAATTTAAAAAAATACCATATGCTCTAAATTATACATTAACCAGCAAGGATGTGGCTTTTCATTTGCATCTTCAGTGCTTGCTCACATCATCTGTGGCAATGGGCTCAGAGCCTTGTGGCATCCGGTTTGGTTAACCCATCACACATTCAGCCGCAGTTTCAACCGTGTTTCACTCGTCCAAAACATATCCCCTTTGGCGATGGCACTCGAGAGGAAACCCAACTGAACTCCAAGTGTCTTCGCTGGTCACCAGAGCAGTTGTCCTATTCCAATCGATGCTCCAAGAGCCCACGTCCAAACCTGAATGTGCATTCCTTCACTGAACTTGTCCTTTGTTTTTTTTCTTTCTTCCCAATTTTTTTCTGGTTTTCTTTTTTTTTCCTTTTTTTCTTTTTTTGCCCTGGTTCACGCTGTCCAGTCCCAGTCCCAGGGTGGCACCATCCTCTGTACCGAGCCCTGCAACTGGGCTGTGTGTCAGACACACTGGGGTGGGGTGGGGGGGGGGGGATGCTGTAGGAATTGTAGCTCCAGCAAATCCACCACCACCTCCTCCTCCTCCTCCTCCTTTGGGTACCATTCGGTTACGCGACGCTCCTTAAAGCAAAGCTGTCCCCCCACCCCCCAGCAAAGCAGACTTCTGTCTCGAGTCAAAGAAAGATATTATTTTCCCCCTTTCCTCTTTTTTTTGTGAGGGTTTTTAATCCTTTGCATTGCTCGCAAATGCTGGGGGAGCGCACATTGAATCCAAAATGTATTTGGACTGCATCTGATCTTATTAGATGTATTATTATTAATGTAGCTCGCCCAGTGCCAGTCAATAGTGTGTGTGTGTGGGGGGGATTACAGAGTAACTTTCTGTAATGGGTAGACATAATGCTTATTCTTTTAATGGTATTCTTCACAGGGTACAGTCACTACCCTTGCGATTGCAGTGCAATTCCTGTGAGCACTTTCAGATGTGAAAATGTGCTGTGTCAAAATGTGAGTATTATTATTATTATTAATTATTACAGTATTAGGATCGTTTATTTATTGTTTGGTAATCAATAAGAATTGGCAATTGCTGAATTACATTCAGGTTACTGTGGGAATGTGCATTCAGTGCTTTTCTTATAGTTTCTATGGGACTAACACTGGGTGCAGAAATGGAGGTTGCATGGAATTTAATTGGAGATTGGGAGTGTTACTCTCAGTCTGGCTTCTTTAACTGTTACTGAGAGCTAATACATCTTTTTCTAATCCTTAATGATTGTCCATTATTGGTGTAATGTCCTACAAATAGATGGAGTCTCCCCAAATGCAGTCTCACTGCCACTTTCCCATGTATGATGTCCCCTGTCACACAAGGGGAAGCCTTGTGTGTTCATCTCCCTCACCCACCCATCTCTCTCATTTCTTTCTCTCCCTCTGTTACATACTCCCAGTCTCTGCTATTCCGTACCCACCACATTGTAAGCCGTGTCTCTTCCCCCACAAACACCTCTCAACCCTGTTGTCCAAATGACTAGAAATAACCTCTCATTTCCAATGATCCACTGATTCACTTTCCACGCTCTCCCCTTTCTTACCCACTTAGTTCAAACAATAGTGCC